ATATTACGAATTTCCAAGCTGAGGGTCCTTTTCACAAGTTTAAAAGCAAAGCCGTCACAGAATGGGTACCTTTTTCTGAATATTATTTTTATTCCCTTGTCCTCCAGATTTATTGCTTGCACCACATAGCACCTACCATAAAACTCTTATTTCCAATAGGCTGTTATTTGAATTGCAAAAGCAAGCTATCCAAGAACATATCATCAAGTAAAAAAGTAAATATGGTAGAATTAAAGTGATTTATTTGCATACCGATACCTGAGAACTCAAGCCAAAATTTCATCCTAGAATCTGGTGATCATATTATGAGACTCTCCATCATCCCATCTGACTTTTAGCTCTATTGCAAAGTACAAGTCATGCCATGCTTATAAGCCAGAGAAAGAAAATCTCCGAGTCCATTTCTGCAAGGTAAACCCTAGACATTTCTCAAAGTATCTTGTGTCAGTTCCCTCCCTGAACATTGCCGCATTCTTACTTGTATTTTTGAAAAATGATAAACAAAGGTATTTTTCCAAAGTATTTACATTTTTCTATCATGGCAGATGTGTTCTTTTTGTGAATTAGGACCTGTTTTTTATTTTTTTATTTTTGCCGCATTTCCACCTGCCTTAAAAGTTTGCAGGTTTGCAATATAGTACAATGTGCTCTTATTTCATTAGTTTTTTCATTTTCCTCATTCTGCCTCCTTTTTAGCTGGCTTTCAAATGCTAAGCATGAGTTTTGCCTCTTTTTCCTTAGGCTTGTTCACTATGTCCCGAGTACTTCTGTCATTTCACTCTGCCATCTGCTTTATTTACATGTATCTACCACTTGAACTGCAGGTTTTCTCTAGGGATTTGCAACAGTCACCTTTAACTTCATCTTCTACTTGCTGATTCCTCATGCAGCTGCCTCATATCAAACCGACCTGATTTCACTGCCACTTTTATTTAACATGCTGCCCAACTTAGATTGCCACTCAATACAGTGGGCATTTCAAAGGAATTGTGTCCTTGCAATGTATCTTCCAGATTTCTTTGAAAACGGCAACTACTTTTTACCTGCATGTGTCCTGCTGATTGAATGAGCTGAACTAGAGAAGCACCAGGCATTCATGTCACTGGATGACACTGACCTGGAGCAAGATAGTCATACCCATGTACCTTAGTAAGTGTCCATCTCCATGGTGGAGTGTGGCAATTATTAGTACAGTGTTGCTAATGCTGTATTGGGGAGGATCTTTCAGACTGTAAGAAAGAGATAATCTACTTCACAACCTGAATGTGCAAGTAACTAAAAAGTGACTCATAATTGCACTTCATATAAGAGTACCCCACTAGCTCAGATCTGGTGTCTTTGTACCAGGATGTTGGCATTCACTTCACCAAATGAGAAATGCATCCAAATGAAGCATCCAAATGGGTCATTTATTTATCTTGCAGCATTCAAGTGGACAAACTTTGGCTCAGCTATTGAGCCTCGGACCCATCACCTGGGACCAAATAACACTATTGATTTAATTCATCAAAAGGTACAACTCACCAGAGCAACTTCACCCTGAAGGCATTGAAGGTGCCCTTACGTCCAGAAGGGCCTGTGAGCATGGCAACTTCTCCCACCTGCCCACCTAGAGTGGGATGCTTGTGACACTAATTCTCACACCTCGTGAGAAAATAATCCCAGGGGTAGATAGTACAGTGTATATTCTAGCTTCTGTTCAGAGACTGGCAATGCAACTATTACATCAATGTGCTGAAAATTCTTGCAGTAAACTCTAGTTAACATTTCTTAACTAACCCATTTTTCACATGACACCCTATTGACACCCAGTGTAAGATGCTTTGGCAGATGCTGATTTAGACCTCCTGAACTGCCCACTGCCATGAGATTCATTAGTCTCCAAACCAGTGGTTCCCAATCGCTCTAACCCAGAACCACCTAGGGACACTTAACAAACTATAATCAGACTGTACAATTAGACATCCAGAAGTAGTTGTTCTGGAGATCAAAATTAAATGCTCTCCAGGTACACGACCTGCAAATAATAATGTCTCTATGTCACAGTACAATGATAGCATTTACTAAACACATGCTATGTGCCAGACACTAAACAAATGTGACTTTTTTATTACATTCTTAAGTCAACCTGCCTGACGCATATTGACACTAGTGTATAAAAAGGATTTGAAGCTCTGTGCAACTATGCAGCAGCCCCTTGTCATGCAGGTGTTACGTTGCCAAACTGAGGACGCAGGGATTTCTGGGTTTTATACTCATGTTTTTGCTTTACCCTCTTCTTGCTCTGAGTACCCCCAAATTCTGGGACTGGACGCCATAGAGGGAAAATTGACACAAAGCACTTTGAGAAGTGCCCTAGATCAGGCCCTCGTAGCATCAATTTTCACACTTCTATGCCTAACAGCACTCCTGAATTAATGTCTTCTCGTCCAAGGGCCTCTGCCCTTCCAAGAACCCTGCTTATTTTGGTTCTGCTCAGATAAAATGGCAATAATAGCAGTTACACCTATCATAACTTGTAAAAACAACAACACTACAGGGAAATAAGCTCCTAAGAGGAACAGAGGAGTTAATGTTCTCTCACCAGACTTTGAACAAAGGTTCTGTCCCAGCCACATTCCCCAGCAAGTCAGTGAGCACACATCCTACTCATGGTTCTGTCACTAGGAGCTTCTTCCAGGGAACACACCTGCGTCCCACAAGACGGTCAGGAGATAATGAACAGCATTCGGAGACCGACTGTCCAAAGTATGTCTACACCTAAACCTGAAGAGTGCCCATATAATTTTCCTACATTCTTTTAAATCAGAAATGAAAAAAAATCGATCACACGCAGAAGCCAAGACTTTCTCTCAACACTCAGGTGCCTAGAATCTCTAATGAGCTGCTCACAAGGTGCTGCGGGGCCCAGAGAACATTCGGAAGGGCTTTACTGCCACCTGGTGGTCAAAACGGCGCTACCGTCCAAAGCATATAAACTACTGAACCAGCGACAGCTCCAACTCACCTGTTTGCGGAGGAGCATTGTCATCCCACCTTTCCACACGACCCGATAAACTAAAGAGAAGAGAAGCATTAAAGTGTCCTGGAAACTGCCGAGCTTTCCAGGGCAAACACAGTGAGATGCTTTCCTTATATCCTCCTAATTGAAAAGTATCAAATATTTTTCAAATGTTCTCTGTATTATCGATTTCAGATAGCTTTCTTGCAATTCCCAAACTGCTTGGGAATTGCAAGAAAGGGCATAACTAAATTCTAAGGCGACTTCTACCACTGACTGTCTCCATATACACACGACTAATTTTTCCTCCTCACTCCCTCTCGCCCTTCCTGCCTGTATTACGTACATACATCCCTAAATTCTTTTACCAAAGAAGCCCTAGATTCAATCCATCTGCTGACTGTGTGACTTACGGTGAGTTCCTTAATGCCTCTGTTCTCTATTTAGACAGCTAAAACAATGTTCTTCACATTAAAAAAAAAAACATTGCAGGGGCAATAGAACAATTAATAATATGCAACAGATCATATAAGGCCTATGAAATCTAAAAAGTTAACTATGCAGCCTGAACTGTGCTGACCCTGCCTGTTGCTTTCTACACATACAAGCTCATGGTATCACCTGTAAGTATTCTTTTTTTAAAAAATTAAAAATAAAATCAGAATCGAATGAAGACTTTAAACCAAAGGACCAGTTGATAAGAAGGAAGCAGAGGGGCTGAGGATTTAGCTCAGCAGCAAAAGCACCTGCCGTGCAAGTGTGTGGTCGTGAGTTCAATCCCCAGTACCGATAAAAAAGAAAAAAAAAAAAAAAGAAGGAAGCAGAAAGGAGATAGGAACAAGTTAAAGGACACCCCTCACACAGCAGCCTCTGCAGTGTCCTTGAGAGTCCCTGCAGCCTGCAAACTACTCCTTACTCCTAAGCCTGCCCCAACTGTGCAGGCTGGCGCCCATGGATCCTTGCTGAGCTCTCCAGCAAGAGCTCTCTAGAACCCGAACTCCCTCTTCACTGCTCTCCGATGGCTCCATGCTGAGGCTTGTTGATAGGGATGACTCTTGTGTCTTTATGGCACCCACTGAAAGATGCCCAATTCCACAGCAACCCTGCAATCCCACCTGCTACACCAGTGCAGCCCGGTCCTCTCTGTCCAAGTTGGAAAGCCTGCTTCCTCCCGGGCATTCTTGGGGAGCAGATTCCCCAGGTGAGTCACCTGCATGCCCATCTTCATCCCAGGAGCTGCCTTTCCAAACGCGGGACCTAAGAGCACTCTACAGTCTATTCCCAGTAAGCCAGATAGAGAGTTACCCTGCTCGAAGTCAAGTCAGGTCCTGACTCCCCTCTCCTCCTCCCCTCAGTGGTTCCCATCTCCTCCAAGTCCAGGAAAAAGCCTAACCACGGCTATCCCATCCCACTATCTCTGTGACCTCACCTGTCTCCATCATACCAGGTGTACTGGCTTCCTTGCTATCCTGCAAAGACATCAAGCATGTTCTCGCCTCAGGGCCTTTATACACACTGTCCTGTCTTTCTTAACTGCTCAGTGCTCAATTAACTGCTGCAGAGCTCCCTTCTCCCTTTCTCCCACTTCATTCAAATGTCACATTTTCAATGAGAATTTAGCTAACTCCATACTTAAGTGTGCAGGACACCCCTCAGACTCCACACCCCTCTTTCCTGTTGTATTTTTCTCCATAGATTCTATCCTGATCAAGCATACTATACATTTTAATTATTGATGTTGGACAGTGTCTGTCCCCTCCACCAGAATGTAAGCTCCATGAGGACAAGGACCTCATTATTGGATCCCTAGAACCTGGTACACAGAAGCAGCTCAATCAGTATGCACTGAATGAGCAAGTAAAGGAATGAATGGAGGGCCATACGGGGAAAACCAGAAATTCTGCCTGTGATCATTAGGGAAGTCCTGAAACCCTAATTCTTACATAATTTTGGTAAAGACTTATGCAGTGCAACATTTGAGAAAGCACCAGATAAAAAATTGAAAAGTAAATGTGCATTTTTTTATTTAACTGAATTCTTCATCAATCAGCTACTTAATTTTTATAGTCTACTGCCTACCAGATCGGGCAAGGGGAAAGCAACACAGTCTACAATAGTTAGGCACAGAAAATGCTGAAAATGATTCAGCTATTTAAATGAAATATAAAATGATTTATTCCAAAGCCATATATGAAGTGTACAAATGATGAAATGCATCCCCTTTCAAGGCTTAATAAAAGAACAGTGTTTACATTTTAAATGTTGTAACAGTTTGAGGACCTTCTTTCGCCCCTACCAAAGAGTGTGCAATGAAAGTAAATTGCATAATGTGTCAAATATATTTTGTTTACATAAAATGTATCCTCTTTAAATGCAAACTAGTCAAATATAGTTTTATTATGAAACCGTTCTCAATTTCTGAGTCCTCCAGTCTACAGAATCACATTTCTATGTGCTTCTTAAAATGAGGTAAGAAGACACATAAAACTTTTCTACACAAATTTTTCAGATGTTTATGCCCCCACTGACTCAAAGTACAACATGGCCTTTACAATTCCTTTAAAGTGAAATATTTCCCAGTAGTTACTTAGTATTCTGCACCAAGAACAGTAGCAATACCCATCATTTAAAAATTCATAATATGATAATCTTTTTATTCAGTTCTAAGATCCAAATCAAAGCTTTTCCTAGAGTGATTCACTATTTTCCTTTCAGATATTTTTTTCTCCTTTCAGATATTTTAATAAATATTAAACTCTAGAAATCTACACATAATTCTTTAAAGCAAAAATCAGCAAAGATCCAGATATATTTTGTTTTGCAAGACATTTCTCTATTGTATACTATTTTTACAACTGTAAAATTAAAAATTCTTTAGTTTTGCTATACTTTGCCGACTACCACTTTAAAAAATAGAATTGGTCACTAAATTAGGTGACTCAAGTATTTTTAAAATGTAAACTTCACAATAGGCAGTATAATCCATGATTTCTAATTTCTAAAATGCATCCTACTCAAAAAGCGGGACTATAATTGAGATATTCTTTTTAAACAATGGCACTTTCTTACAGCTTTTGGACTGGATAGCTTCTATGTCTACATTTTTATAGTCCTAAATTTTTTATAGGGAAAAATTCTCTTCATGTGGCTACTTTGAAATTTGTACAATCAAAGACTAGGGTACTTCCACGCTAATAGAGGTAGATGTACACATACCATGTGCAGTCACAGATACTTTCATGAAGGAAGCCACTGTTTCACATAAATTCAACACAACACTCTCCACAGTTACAAAGAAGTCAGCGGAAAGTAACGACAAAATACTCAGCAGATTACTGTAGAATGTTCCCATTGGTTTGTATCACATGTAGTTGATCTATTTTTTGGAAAACATGATTTGAATATGAAATACATGAATATAATACAGCAGCATGTGCATAACCTGTGCTGACTACAACTGATCTATAACGTGGTCTTGTAACTTGGTACTGAGAAGCACACTGTGTAGGTGTTCATATGTGTGTGGGGGGGGGGGTATTGTGCACATTTTCTTTCCCCCAACAATCAGTGTTAGGAACAGATTATGGCAAATAAAGGAGAAGTTCTGGATTTACCCAAATATAATGTAAACAAGTTGGAACCCTCTGGAGTTTGGAATTACAATCACATGATATTTTACAAAATCATTTAAAAATTCTAAAGCTGAAAAAATTGAAAACTTTGGTATTCCCAAGAAGAAAGTTCAATTATACTAGGGAGCCTCTGCCCAATTTTAACTATAAAAACTAAATTTTTCAGTGCAAAAACATTACGGCCATTGATAAACAGCAATGATACAACAATCATACAAAACATATAAAGACAATATAATACAAAATATCCTGAAGGTATCTGTTGGTGTAGAAAAGGTCATTTGAAGCCAAGAAGTAGGTGGAGTGTGGGTGTAGAGTTTCAAAGTTTTTTTCCTGCAAACAGACTTAACACGGTTAGAGCTCATCACGCTGCTTCCTAAATGGCCACTTTGGGTGCTGCAGGACACGAGCTGCAGCCTCAAGGACGAGAGCCATGAATTCTTCCACATCAAAAGAGTAGTTGGTGAACTTCGGATGCTCCCCCAGCGTCGGGTGGTGGCCCTGCAAAACCAAACCAGATCACAAATCCTTAAATCATCAGGAGCTTGGTTTTCTCTACAGGAAGGATATTATTTTACTGTGGCAATTATTTTAACTCATTCTATACACTGGAGGTTAGCAAACATTTTCTAGAAAGGGCTATAGATAATATTTTCAGCTCTGTCACAGTTACTCAGCTCTGCTACTGAGGTGCACAAGCAGTCACAGACCATACACAAACACATATATGAATGTTCCAATAAAACTTTATTTACAAAAACAGATGGTGGGCAGATCTGTACTTTAGGGATACAGTTTGCTAATTCCTGCTGTAGCTAATCTGTTAGATCTTTCTGTACCCAAATTTCACAAAGCTGTCTTACCATTAGAATCTTCTCCAATTCTCAAACATAAAATATAATAACCCATTTTTCTACGGTAGAAGAGTTTATCTTTGGATAGAAGCTCAATGATCATTTTAAATTTTCATAATTGGGCACCAGGTGAGCTTTGTGACTGAATTTTACCTTGTCTTGAGGAAAGACTTTGCTCTGCTTTCGCCAAGTGATATAGTGAATGCCTCTCAGCCTGGCCAAGTCTAAGTAACAGTGCTCATCTTCACAGTTGTATCTAAACACAAAGGTATGTCACAACGTGAGGCTTCTGTCCAGCGTTTTGACCCAATCTGCAATTCTGGGGGTAGGGGGGTGGGGGGAAACACCTCCAAAGTATTTCTTGCAAAGGGTTTTGTGAATGATAAAGAAGACTGAGAAACATCATTTTTAAAATATTCTCGAGGCTCAATGGTAAAATGCTCACCCAGCATGAGTGAGGCCCGGAGCTCTATTTCTACCACTGCAAAAAACTTTTCAAAAAATATAAAACTAAATGTTTCAAAGATCATTGTAAGAACTTACTGTTAGCTTTACAAAGAAGAATAAGAACAAGGAAAGGGGGGAATTGATCTTATTCAATAGGTGCTACTAGCTATGAACTTGCATTATCTTATAGGATATTATGCGCGTATACTTGTGGAAGTAGACTAGGGTTAACACATCCAAGGTTGTATAGCTACTTAATGAAAGAAGCAAAACATGACTCTTAATTATATTGCTCTCCCTTTCTCTCTCCTGTCCTTCTCTCTTTTCCTCAAGGAGAAATGAGTTAAGATAAAACCCACAACTGTCTGATTGAATGTCTAACATACACTTTTAAAATGTCTCACATAGCAATGGAAGTTTACAACAACTTTAAAATACCAAATCACCCACGTGGAAAGCTGCCCCTAAACACTTACAGTTCAAAGACCACAGCCCAATCTGGAAGGAAAAGTAAATGGGTAAGACCAGCTCCATGCATTCCAATAAATATGTCCGTATTGTGTGTTATCCTGAGTTGATCTAAAAACCCAAGTTCTCTGTAATGTGTAATAAAAGAGAGACAAAGAGAAGAAGGAAGAAGCCATAAGTTGCACTAGTTCATAATACATGGTAACAATATTTACAAAAGCATATTTTCCAGTTTAAATCAAATTCCACATCTATATTTTTTTTGCCAATTTTAAGCACTCCTTAGTAAATAATAACCTTTTTTTTAATAACATTTTTTCCATGTAAATGCCCTTACCTTTTTAGACTTAAGAATACAGTGGTATCTTGATCCACAAATGCTTTTGTTAGTAAGTCATTTGGTTCACAAACAGAATCATTTGGCAAAATTTGTTTTTGTTTGCAAACTCTGGATTGGGTGACAAACATGACCGTGGCCATCTTTCCCACACAAACACAAACGTGGCCATCTTTTCCAAAATCAGAACGAATTAAGCTCATGAATGGAGATACCACTCTACTTATTATTTGTGAGGGGAACCTCAATAAGTGTCTTAAATGGGGAACCAGTAACATATGACATCAACAGAGTAGGTGTGTACATTGGATTAAGTGTGTAATACTGGATTAAGGGTGCCTGGTACTGGAACCGCCCACTGCCTGAATTAGCATGGTTCTGGGTACGGCTGAATGGATGTACTGACACAGAAGACCCATCCTGGCTGTGAGTGGCACCAACCAATAGTCCAAATGGTAGAAAAGGGAGAAGGGAGGCTCACCACTGTTGCCTTCTGCCATCCTGCCATAAACTGTTCCCCCTCTGCCATGCACCCTGCCTTGTACCCAGCCAACTGTGAAGTGAAACCTCTACAAATTGAGCTAAAATAAAACTTTGCTCCTTCAACTTTTGGGTATTGAGTATTTTATCCCAGCAATAAGAAAGTAACTAAGACAGTGTCTATATATCCCTTCTAGGTGTTTAAGTACCTACAGCTCCTGCTGTAAAAATGCTTTTTAGCCATGATTAACTCATCAAAAGGCAGCAGTGTTTGCTGGAGTGTGTTTTTACTTACTTATACTTGTAATCAACAATCTGGACTTCAAATGTAGATACTGTTTTCAGTGCATTCACCAGCTAAGAAAAGAAGAAAACATTGAGAATTTCTTTTCCTTTCTTCTGTTTTACTTTCCTTTATGAATATTATAATTTCTTATTTTTTGCATGTAACATTTTTCAGATGTTAAATGCTTGGTTCTACTGCTCTGAATCTCACTGAAGTTCAAAGGCTAGTGCTACCCCTAAGAAAATGACTCTATCACCCAAAAATCCTGATGCCCTAGAGGGCCATGAGAGCAAAATAAACAGTTCTTAGGACAAAATACTCAGCATAGCCACACACTAAGTTGCTAGTTTTTCTTCAAATTTCAACACACATTTGCCAAACATTTACAGTGTTCCAGACATTGTACTAAGTCTTTTCTTTCCATCCATCATGGCATTCACGTAAACCACCACCACTTTGAAGATTCTGAAGTCTTAGAAGAAAAACATTTTCGTGTAATAAACCAGAAGTATAAATAATGTAAAATTGATATTGTAAAATAGGAATAAAATGTTCAAATGGGGAAGGGAACAGAGAAAGGAGGGGAAAGAAAAGTAAAAAAAAAAAAAAAAAAGAAAAAAAGAAAAAAAGGAAAAGAGGGGCTGGGGATTTAGCTCAGCGGCATAAGCACCTGCCTTGCAAGCAGGCGGTCATGAGTTCGATCCCCGGTACCAATAAAAATGAAAAAAGACAAAAAGAAAAAAAGGAAAAGAAAACACGGAAACAAAGCTTTTGTAAATGAGGAGAGAAGGAAGTGTTGAAGAGAGAGTAAGGAAATGGGAAAAAAATAAACAAGTTATATCAGGTACAGGTACAAATTCTCTATGATGAATGTGATCATCATGCATATCTAAAATATACCAATAAAATCTGATTTAAAAAATTTTCAATATCTCTACATAGAAGTGATTATTCTTCTAGCCAACAGAAAGTAACCAAACATGATTAATATGTTGTAAAAAATATAGTCCCTGCCATTCACAAACCAGGGGTACAGACAAGGCCACACCAGGAAGCAAGCTCAGTCTGGAAACTATATGGGCTACCACCAGACTGGATCAGCCAGACCCCAGCCCATTCTGGTGGGTAAGCTGGCAAACAAGAAGTACCCCCCACAACTCACCCACGCCCACCCCCACCTTAAGTGACCAGCTTATCCAGAGGCTGTGATGATAGCTATCAAGGTCAAATGCAATTGGATGCCTGTGGTGCTTTGGTGTTTCACTAACACTGCAGGGCTAGGGCTAGTGGTCTGATCACAGGTTCAGAGGATAGTGGTACACAGTGTGACCTCTGAGGGATCTCCTTCTGAGGGCTGCAGCCATTGCTGATTTTCTATGGTCTTATTTTGGAAATCCTATATCATTTCCATTGTTATGCTGGGTTGGGTTTTATTTTTATTTTTATTTTTGTTTAACTGTGTCAAATCCAATGGCAGGAGCAGCTGTTTCAAAGATAGCAAGGTAAGGGCCTGTCTGGCAAGTGCAAGGTCCTGAGTTTGATTCCAGATACCGAAAAATAAAAAAAAGCCAGGCACAGTGGCTCACACCTGTAATTCCAGCACTCAGGAGGCTGAGGCAGGATGATCCTTGAGAGTTAGACCAGCCTGGGAGTTTGAGGCTACAAAGTGAGCTTAAGGCCTACCTGAACTGCATAAGGAGACCCTGTCTCAAAAAGACAAAATTAAATAACTAAATAAATAATTTTTAAAAACACAGCAAGGTATATTATGGTAGCAATTTTGGATTCACTATTGCCTTGTTTTGAAGTCCTTTCTTGCAATCATTGGGTAGTTTTAGTTGTTTCTATTCTGTTACACTCTGATTTTTACTATGTCTGAAGTCATCTGCAGTATTTTGAAGACATCAAAAGCATTATAGTAACTACTGTTGATTTTGTAATGTTTTGAAGTCCTGTTTCTCTTACACTGGTATATTTTGATTGGTTTTATTGTTTTATCCTCTTTAAAATTAAAAATAAAAAAAAAATAGTCCCTTGAAAAGAAAGCCAGTCACTTCTGGGAGAACATGGTGGACAGATAGCAGCAGCTACGGAGGCTCTCTGAGAGACCCAGCTTAGAATTCAGGAATGGAGCAGAGTAAGGAATCCTAAGCAAGAGGAGATATGCCCTGCTGACCCAAGAACGAACTGGGCTGAGAGAAACCAACTAGGAATGCAATCCTGGTGCTATAACAGGAACAGATAAAGCCTCAGCATGGAAGCTGGAGCCCGCACCATTGGAAGTCACGATTTGGGTTTCCTGCCACCACTGCTGTGTCTGAATCGGCTCGGCAGGGAGAGAGAGAGATGCATGAAAGCTCTGAGAATGGGAACCGGTGAACGGAGTCGAGAGTGGGACAGGCGGGGAGCCGTGCATCGACCTGCGGTGAGTGACGGAAACTGGGACTCTTTCATGGTCTAGGAGGCTCCAACAGAGGACATTCTGGGACCGGGCAGACTTGCTGGAACAGGGCGCTGTAGTGACTTCAGTCACATATCCCCTTCTCAAGCAGGATTGGCGAGCAGTGCCTAGCCTACATGATGCTGCTGGCTAAGACCCAGTAGGCTAGCACAACCCAGGTCCTAGTGCCTGGAGGTGCACCCTAGCGGTGAAGCCTTCGGTAGGTTGACCTGGAGGGGCAGGCGCTGGTAGGCTGCCCAGTCTGTATCTCCCTGATGTACTGTGGTAGGCAGGAACACCTAGCTGGCGCAATTCAAACAGACTGTGGCTGACAGGGAAGGAAGCTCGGCCTTCTATATACACTTGTATATAAGGAACAAAGAATATGGGAAGAGGGAGCAACAAGAAAGGCTCCTCGGCCCCCCAATCCTGAGAAACAGGCAATAGCAGACACGGCACCAATAGACATAAAGCGCTATCTCCAGAGCCTCATCGACGAGTTCAGGAATGAAGTTATTAATGACCTGAAGCAAGACATAAGCAGAATAGTTAGAGAAATGCTAAGCACTGCCTAAGAAAAAACAGATGGTGGAATGGAAGAACAGAAAAAAAGGGGAGAATTGTTTGATGGAGAAAATACAGAAAGCATAGAATACATGAAGCAGGTTCAAAGAGATTACCAGGAAACTAAAAAGTCTATCAAAAACTGGCATAACAGCTTGAAAGAAACTAAGGATAGATTATCTGAACTGGAGGGCAGATTTGTAATATGGGAGAATGAAATGAAAAACTTCTTAAAAATAACAAAGAAACAAACAGCAATAATACAAAGACTAGAAGATGATAAGAGGATCTATAACTTAAGAATTAAGAACATAAAAGAAGAAGTAGGGACACAAACAAATGGACTACAAAAGCTACTCGCAGAAATAATCCAGGAGAATCTTCCTAATTTAGCAAAAGGTAAAGATACACAGATATATGAAGCATTCAGGACCCCAGCCACCTACAACTCAAACAGAGCTACACCCAGGCATATAATAATCAAAATACCAGAAATCCACTACAAGAACAGAATATTAAAAGCCGTCAGAGACAGGAAACAGATCACTTACAAGGGAACACCCATCAGAATTACAGCAGACTTCTCGGCACAAACTATCAAATCATGAAGAGCGTGGGGGGAAATAATTCAAGCTTTGAAAGATAATAACCTCCAGCCAAGATTGAGATATCCTGCACAACTATCTCTGGAAATTGATGGAAAAACAAGGTGCTTCCAAGATAAAGAGGAACTAGGGGAATATGCAACCACCAATTCAACTCTACAGAGAATACTGCAGGATATTCTAAAAAAGAAAAATATGAAGAATCCAGAAATAGTGGCAGAGAGGCCACAATGAATGGAGCAGAAAACAAAATGAAGAAGATAAACTGACAACTAATGACAGAAAAAGAGCTCAACAGAAATGAGGCAGAGAAGATTGGATGATATGAACAGCTATTTTGTAGAAAACGACGTCATAATAGGTAATGCTGATTTAGTATCATCTTGTTTTGAAGTCCCATCAAGCTTTTGTTCTTCTGTCTCCATCGGTCTTAACATGTTGTGTCTTATTGGATTTTATTATATGTGATAGTATAAACAAAAACTTTTATAGACAAGGAGATTATACAGAAACCATTGTTCATTTTCTGTTAGTTGATTCTAAATACCCTGTAATAATGTCATTCTCTTGAATGGTTTTACATTGTTTTGATATATTTGATGCTACAGTATATGAAGTTATACTCAAAGATTTCAAGGAAAGAGACAATATGGTAACTACTTTTAAGTCAGGATTATCTTGTGATGAAACACTATTTTGCTTAAATGGTTATGTTTTGGTCTGCGCTGTTTTGCTGTTATGCCCTCTTTTATCTCAATCTCCATTTTATTATTTACTTTTTTATTTTTATCCTTTTAATTAAGGGAAAAATAAATAAAAGAATAGCAGGATATAGTAACCCACTTTGATTTTCTATTAACTTGATTTGAAGCCCTGTATTGCTCTCACCATCTTGTTTTGACTGATGTCCCTGTATTCTGTTTTGCTTGATAGTATCAGGTTTGAAAGTTTAGGCAACAGTTGCGAAGATAGTGGGATTCATTATGATGCCCATTCTGGTTGACTACTTTTGAAGACCTGTAATGTCTCCAATGTTTTGGTTTTGTTGGTTTCTTTCTTTACTGTTTTGTTCAATTTTATTATAACTGATGACATAGGTGATTCTATTTGAGATAGCAGGATGCATTATGGTAACCATTGTTGATCACCTTGTATTATGTTTTTACATTATCCATTATGTCCACCCTTTTGATTTGACTGACTCTGTTCTCTTATGTCACATTTGGTTTTACTCTCTTCCAAAAAAGTAATAAGAACTGTGGGAGTAATAAAACCCAAAATGTGTAATAGTCATTGTACAAAAGAGAGGAAAAGAAAGTGCTCTAAATGATATAACTGCATGTATATTTAAGTGTGTAAGATAGACAATGATATTACTGAGTTTTGTAGGATCATTGAACAGAACTATTTGCAGTCTCACTGTTTGAATGTCCACTTTATATGCTTTAATTTTGTAACTTGAACAAATATTTCTAAGGTGACAATATGTAATCCATTAACTAGTGATTTCCTACTGTTTATTTTTTCTGAAATTCTGTATAACTTGTACCCTTTTTCTGCTTTTTTTCCCCCTCTTTCTCCTTAAATAAAATTTAAAAAAGAAAAGAAAGCCAGTGTAACCTAAAACTGTGGTTCACCATTCAGCAACTCTTGCAGTGGTATCAGGTGGTCCTGTGGCATACACCAACTGCAATAGCAACATAACTGACTAGGGTGGTGGTATAGCTCAGTGAAAAAGCACATTACCCTCCCATGTCTAAGGCCCTCGGTTCCATCCCCCAGCACCACCCCCCAAAAGGCGCGGATTGTGTACTTATATTGTGCAGGCATTTCTAAGAGCTTAGAGTTTACAGAACTTAATCTCCATAAAAATCATACCAAGTGATGCCTATTTTATAAATAAGACCATGGAGACTTACAGAAGTTAAATAACTTTCCTCAGATCTCCTGCTTGCAAATGTAGAACTAAACTTAAACCTAGGTCTGGATCTTTTGATCCTAGAATCTGAATTCTTACCCAATGCTCTCCACTCTGCAACAGGCAGTGACTAAAATCTAATCCCTGCCCAGTTTTACACACATAGACACACAGACACACAGACATACACACACACACACACACACACACACACACACACACACAATCATACAATCACAAAATAGAAGTTTCTCTCTCTAGACATTCCATAAATTGGATGAATGGAAGCCCATCCTTGAATACACTGTTTACATCAAAGAGTTGAAGGAAAGAGATTAGAATTTTCCAGGAGGTAATTAATCAGATGGCATAAGCCTGAGTCTTAATGAGATGTGCCCACACAAAAGGAACCAGGAGCCTGTGAGTCCCATGCAAGTGTGCTGTTCTTCACAGTTTCTAGTCCCACTGTTCAGACGACAGTGGGGCAGGACTGTGCTGTCACGAAATCAGAGGATCCACATCTTACTCTCAATCTTACAACCAGCACTACACTTCCCTACTGGACTTCTCTACTTCTCTTCAGTGGCCCGTGCTGGTTCCCAGGATAATGGCCAGGGTCAGAGTAGACTCAGCCTCCTCTAAGATCTATTTGCTGCTGCACAGCAAAACATTTTGGTGCAGAAGGCAGTCTTAGAGCTGGATTAACCTGATCATATCCCTGCTACCCTATTCACTTGCCAGATGACCTTATGCACATTTTCTAATCTCTAAGCTTCAAGATCCTTGTCTACAACAGAGGTAATGACAAAACACTGACTCAAGGATAACTGGGAGGGTTAGGGGACTCTGCAGGGGGAACATATACTTAGTATGTACTCTGTGTTTCCTACACTGGTGTATACTCTTCACCTGTTTGCTATTGAGGCTTCCCTTCCATCAGCCTTCCAGACCCATGATTTAACCCATATCCATGGATTTAACTAACATCAGGTCAAAAATATGTTTTAAAATTTGCATCTGGGGTCTGGGATTTAGCTCAGCGTCATAAGCGCCTGCCTTTTAAGCGCATGGTTGTGAGGTACCAAAAAAAAAAAAATTGCATCTGTTCTGACCATGGATAGACTTTTTTGTCATTGTTTTTTAAACAATATGTAACAGCATTTACATAACCACATTCACAGTGTAGCAGGTATTACAAGTAATCTAGAGATCACTTAAAGTACAAAGGAAGATATGTAGGTCCCATGCAAAAAGCACAGCATTTTATGTAAGGAACTTGAGCATCTGCAGAATTTGATATCCACAAGGCAAGCCCTGAAATCAATACCCCATGGATATTCAAGGACACTTGTATTTTTAATTCTGCACACACACACATACACTGTTCCTTTCTTTCACCCTTGTAGCTTACCATCAAGGCCTCATTATACCATATGTTCATGTCAGCATGGCTCACGGAAAGAGATGTTCAGTGCATGATTTTGATTGGCCTATGAGGCATTCAAATTAATCCACATAAAATATTTTACTGTCAAAACTCACCCTGTTTTCCTCCTACTAAGTTTGTTCCATTTCAGTGCTATTAAGTGCTTAAGCTAAAAGCCTAGGAACCAGGCTTGATTCTTAGTACGTTCCCTGGCCGCACCTAATGCACTCCTGCACAGGCCAAAAGTATCACAGGTCTCCCCAAACTATACCTGGAATCCATTTATCACCTCTACTGACATCGCCTTCATCCAAACTCTCTCCTGGGCTGCAGTATCTGCTCCTGATCAATCTCCCTGTTCCTACTCTTGCAGTGAGAACAATTTAAAAGTAAATAATAAGTCAATTCATGCCTCTTCCTGTGTATCTGTTTTCTTATTTGCTTCTGTAACAAATTACTACAAACTCAGCAGCTTAAACCAACTTGACTTCTATAGTGCTGCGGGATCGAAGTCCAACACCGGTGTTACTAAACTAATGCAAGCTGTCAGCAGGAGCGTGTTCCTTCTAGGCTGTGTCTTCCTAGGAAGATGTAAGGGAGAATCTATTTTCTTGCTTCTTCCAGCTTCTAGGAGTATTGTACACGTGAAGGCTTGGGGCCCCTTCGTCCACCTTCAAACGCAGCAGCTCTGCATCTGCTTCTCTGTGTCTGTCTCCTTCCCTCTCTCACCAGCTTATTTATTTATTTAGGTGCTATGGATTGAATCCAGGGTCTTTACACTGAGCTATATCACCAGTCTTTTTTTCAAGTTTTTATTTTGAGATAGGGTCTCGCTAAATCGCCCAGGCAGGACTAGAATGTATGACCTCCTGAGATACAGTGTTGAGATTACTGGCATGCGTCGCCACACCCAGTTCTACTCTTAAGCAGTAATGAAGCGTGACTTGATCTGTGAGACAAGGCCTCCAAAGAAAAGTGTTTTCCTGGCCAAGTCAAAGGTCCTCAGGTGGATTTGTGGCCCTTTGTGATCACACTGGGACCACCTGGATAATTCAGAACTATTTCCTTATTTAAGGCCAGCTAATTAGTCACCTTAATTCCATCCATAACCATAATTTGCCATTACCATGTAACAACCTATTCGCAGGTTCTAGCAATTACAGCCTAGGCATCTCTCAAAAGGCAGAGGTCACACTATTCTGTCCACCCACACTCTGCTTAAAATTTCTGGGTAGCTTCCCCCTACACTGAGCTACATTCCATCTCCTCACCTCAGTCCACAGCCTGGCTTCCCGAGCTCCTCTGACGTCACCAAGCCCCCCTTGCAGGGACACTGCAGCACCCTCGAACCCACTGCTCTCCCCGTCTCGGTCCTGCTGGAGCCTCGCTGACAAGGCTGCCCACCAGGCAGTACCGCTTCAGGCACTCGCCTATCTGCCCCTCCCCTCCCACCAGTGTCCCAGCCTCTGTCATCCTGGTTCGCTTTCTTCCCAGTGCACATCACCACCTGACATCACCTTAGTGACTGACTCACTTGCTCATTTGTTCCCATCTGTCTCTCACCTCTAGGGAGACTTTTATGAGGACAGGGACCTTTCCTGAATCTCCTCCATGACCACAGCAGAGAATGTGCCCTGGCTCATGTCCATAGCCAGAGTGCAATGTACTTTTTGGGGGGGCAGGTAGTGCTGGGGACTGAACCTGGGGACTACCACTGAGCCAATCATTGAACTAGGCACAGGCCATCAAGCTTTTCAAACAAGTAATAGTTTCAATGCAAAGCTTTAAATATAACATGACGCAACAAAGCACATTAGTCATGGGAGGTAAATTCAATACAATGAGATTAAAAACATATGTCAAAAAACTAACCTCATTTTGGTTTAGAATTTTCCGGTATTCTGTACTCCGGGCAAGAATGGTGACTCGAATTTTTCCATCCTATAATCAACATGAAAAGGCAAAATAATGTGGATATACCTTGACCAATGAATGAACATCTGAACCTCAAAAGTGATTTTCAGAAAGATATGAAAGTCAATAAGGTTATACTTCTAGAATGATTAAATTTTAGCTGACCGCCTCCACCATTCCACTTTAAAAAGTTACAAATTATATTCACTTGAAAAGAAAATCAGATTACAAATATACCAACTTTGAAAGAAAATGTAGTACATATATGCAATGGAGTATTACTTAGCTATAAAAAAGGAATAAAATCCCATCATTTGTGTTGGATTGGCTATGCCAGGCCTGGTCAGAGAGACCGCATTCTGTTAACTTCGTAGACTGTGGTAGAGATAGAATTTAGTGCTCTGTGGAGGGAGACCACCCATGAACAAAACTCATATTTAGTGAAGCTACACAAAAAGAGTAATAGCAGATGTTCTGACTTCTTTGTGGAAGCTGAAAAGTTGATGTCATAGAAGGAAACAATAAAATATAGTAGTGGCTACCAGAGTTCGAAAGGGTGTCAGGGACAGGGACAGAGAGAAAAGGGTTAACACGTTGGGAAATGCAGTTATAATAGAAGGGTAAGTTTGTAGTGTTCTGTGGCATAGAAGGGAATTATGGCTTGTGTCTAGATGTCCCCCCAAAGACTCATGCAACCATAGGTGGGGCTTTTTCAGAGATGGCTAGGCCTAGCGTGTGTGCTGGGACTAAGAGAACATGATCACTAAATTAGTCTACTGATTGGTTGGCACCCATCTGAAGCCAAGTTGCCTAACTAGAATATAAAAGGGGAAGAAAGAAGCTGCCATTGTCACTGTTGGTTGCCTAATTGCTTTTGTTGTCTTTTGCCTGCCATGAGCCTCTCTGCCAAGCTATCCTGCCCTGGAGCCAGCCAATTATGGACTGAAACCTCTACTAACTGTGAGCTAAATAAACCTTTCCTCCTTTAGTTTTGGGTATTGGGCATTTTGTCTCAGCAATGAGAAAAGTAACTAAAACAATAGGATGAGAATTGTTAGCAATAATTCATTATGTATTTCAAAAGAGCTAAAAGAAAGGATTTTGAATGCTCCCTATAAATAGACATGATAAATGTTTAGGATGGTGGATGAGCTAAACATCTTGCTTTAATCATTACACATTATATCATGTATCAAAATAGTAGACTCTATAGGTTAAATATAGATAATTATTACGTGTTGATTAAAAATAGAAATCAAGATATTCACTTTAGCCATGGAAGACAAAACCTTTTCATTGTCCTGCTGCTTGACTGTTGGTTAGCAGAGTGGAATTTTTGGTAGGGATTTTGTGGGCTGGATGGGGATTTGGGAGAAGCAGAGAGATAATGGCCAAACAAATGGAAAAAGAAAAGGAGGAATAAAAGCCACATTTTTATGATATCTTTAACAGTTGCCAACACCTGAATTCAGACAACTGCAGGTCAGAAAACATTAGCACAGAAACCAATATATCTTGATTATTTCTTCATCTGCCAGCATAGTATTAATTTTGATAAGGGATTAAAAAAATAATTTTCACCTCGGAACCCACAATGCACCTATTACCTTAGGTCCTGCCTGTGTGATGTTTAGTCTGTGCAGCACATGCTGGGAGAAAGCCCTGAACAATCCAGTATTTTGACAGCCAGAAATCTAAAATAAAAATACCAGCTCATATTAAAACAAAGACTTCTGCATTGCCGTGGAAGATGCTCTCAAGCTATTCACAAATGTCATCAAACACGCTTACCAGAGGAGTGTTGTAGAACAGCCCGTACCTCATGCGGGGCAGTAATGAAAAGATAGCTTCTTTAAAACATACCTAAGAATGAAAATACTTTAAAAGATAAGAGAATATCATTTGTATTCTTCACACCAAAGTAGTACATACAATTTTGGAAAATAAATTATAATTAAATATAATCCATTTTTCATTAAAATAGTTTGAATACCAAAAGATTTCAAAGAGAGTAAAACCTATAGTTTTTGAAAAGTTACAGAAAAATGTTCTCAAAAGTTACATGATTCTTAACAATGAGGATTGGTAATAACAAAAGAAACATCAAGAAGTCAGACATTAATGGTAACACCTAATGAAGACTCAAATCAAACATTTATTTTACAAGTAATTCATCTGTATATGAGTTATTTACAGATATTTCAGTAAGGTTTCTAGTACCCTTTTGGAATCGTAAGTTTTCAAGTGTATAACATCATAGTCAGTAAATGCTTTCCAAGTGTCAGAGAACAGGTCACCATATCCATAAGAACTCTGGAGGTGGGGAAAAAAAAAAAAAAAAAAAAAAAAAAAAAACCAAGTTAGAGCAAACAGATTTTTAAAAAACCCTGATTTTGCCTGTTAAGCATTAAATTATATTGTAATCCTAACTAAGGTCATAAAAACCATATATGACAAATGGATTTCTCTTTGGGGCCTAGTTTGATTAAATATATTCAGAAATAATCACTACAATCATCTTCTTAGTGTGTTAACACTAGTTCATTTTCTATCCTAACCTCTTTCATTCTCAGATCTTTGAAATAATTATGGGATTTTTCCACGAAATTTCCATCTATACCACAGATACACACAACACATATGCATGCTACCATCTGTACACACTCTGATATACTAGGGGAGCAAAAAGCATCAAGGTAAATGGGGTGTCTTTGGAAAGGAATTTCAAAGCAAGAAAAAGGTTTAAAAGGCTTAACATTAAAAGTATAATGTTCTTTCCAATGACTGTTGAATAACATTTGATAAGTCCTCACCAGAATTAATGTTAATGGCATTATTATAACTATAATATTATTTAACAATAATAGCACCACCTGCACATTTCCTATGTCCCGGGCATTGTATTAAACCCTTAATGCCATTAACTCATTAAGCCACCCACAAATCTAGGAGCTAGGTAAGATTGTTATCCCTATTTTACAGAACAGGAGACTGGGACACAAATTTTGGTAATATATCTACATCATAGAGCTGTGAATTGCAGGACTGCATTAATCTGTCTGTGACTTCAGACTTCATGCTCATAAACTATACATGACAGTTGCCCGTCAGTGAGAGTTCATTCTAGTGTATTTACCAAGTGCATTTTCCTTTTTTGAAAAGCACAAGTTAATTATAAGTTCCATCAGTGGAAGACAAAGATCAATTAAGCTTCAAATGATATAACAGATTAAAATATTCAGCCAAGGGAAATAAGAAACATGCATTTCAGTTACATTCAAAGTCTACAGTTGGTGTACTTATGTTTATTATGTTCAAATCTTTTTACCTTCATAGCATTTTTTCATGTTTTAAACATTTTTGTTGCACATATTACAGTTATTTCAAAGTTATGGAGAACTGTTAGATGTGATTTTTAAAAAGCCCTTCCTCCAGTCCTTCTCAGTGCTATTCTAATAAAGGTCCTTCTCAGCATCATCAAAAATGAAACATTGCTGCTCAGGCTCAATAATAAATAAAGGGCAATTAAAAGAAGTGGTTCTAGACAGTTTCCTAAGATAAAATACTTCAGATAAAATAAGATACCTTTGAAAGGAAATTTTAATAATAAAATAATCTGACTGATCCCTTCTAAGGGAAATCATGCATTATTCAATAATAAGCACCTCTAGAAACTTCATCTCTATATCCCCCAAATTCCAATTATCTGCCACAGGGGAAAAAGAGGCTTTTTCTGCTCTCAAACTGAAGAATATTTGGCTATCCAGAAGATGATATAAGGTTTCTTCCTATATAGGTCTCAAATTTGAACATGCATGCCGCCTATAATTTAGAAATTCCACTCACAGGAATGTGTCTGACAGAAATGCTACAGTGAGTGTGTGAAGACGTGAATAAGTTGGCAGTATCCATATACAGTTGGCTGAATATGCAGGGTCTGCGTCTGCAGATTCAAGCACTATAAATTGAAAATATTCAGAAAATACATTGGATCTGTACCAGGCATGTACAGTTTTTCTCATTATCCCTGACACAGCACAGTGTAACAACTATTTGCACAGAATTTACATTCTCTTAAGTTATACAAATAACCTAGAGATAATTTAAAATATGTAGCAGAATTGCACAAGCTATGCACAAGTACTATCCCATTTTATATGAAGAACTTGAGAGTTTTGAATACTTTGTATCCACAGAGAACCCTTCATAGATACTGAGGGATGATTATGTTTGCTGACTTTTGACAAATAGCATAGAATTAGAAATGAATGAACTATAATTGAAATGGAGAGAGTGTACACATGCAATCATGCATGCCTCAGATTTCTAAAATATCACTATATGGAATACCATGTAACTTCTCATAAAAGGATAATCCTGAATGTAATGAGTTGGAGATTTGTCCATGATATAATATTAAGGGAACAATATGGGAATATATTTTCTATGAGCTGTAAATGTATCGTCATACAAATTTTATATCTATATACACTGGTTCTCATATTAAACCCTGATACAAATTTGTATAAATTTACATTTATTATTTACATTTATTTATTAAGGTGAAAACAATCTTTCCAAAAATTCACAGACACACTAACTGTAGTTACCCTTGAGGTACAACGAAATTGAAGGAGACTTTTTTTTAACAGTTGTGCTTTTGAACTCATAAGGAAAGGTTACTTTCATATTTTAAAAAATAACATAGCTGGGGCTGGGGATTTAGCTCAGCGGGATAAGCGCCTGCCTTGCAAGCAGGCAGTCGTGAGTTCGATCCCTGGTACCAATAAAAAGGAAAAAGACCAAAAAATAAAAAATAATAATATAGCTATGCTACATAGGAAATTGTAGAAAGTCTACAGCAATCTCCCCTTTATTCATTCCATTTACCAAGAGCCACCCTTCTGTGCCCAGAAAGGCAATCTGAAGAAGTGTCCTTTCTGTATCTCAGGAGGTTGGTGGCTTTACCAGCCTGAAGTTGCTGTCTTTGTGCCTGAAAAGAGTGACCAAACCACTCAGATTTATGAAGAGAGGAAAGACTACAAGCTCCCAGGTGGGGATAGTTGGTAAACTCTGTCCTTGGACAAACTATCCCCATCCCAAAGGCTTTCAACACTGATTCTGTGGTCATACCATCAACTGTGGGGGATTCGTGTCACAGTCTGCAGCTCACAGTGTTGCTTAACCTAAGACCTTGCCAACAAAAGAAAAATACTCAAAAGCCAGTGCTGAATGTAATCCCAGTGCTTTAGATGGATGAGGCAGGAGAATCTCTCAAGTTTGAGCCCTGTCAAAGCAATTTAGCTAAATGCCATCTCGAAAATTTTTCAAAGGATCAGGGGAGCTCAGTATGAATGCTCTGGGTTCCATAGCTAGTCCTAAAGAGGGAGAGGGAAAGAGACACTGAGTAACTGCCCACCCTCATGCACAGTACCCATCCACTCTGCAGGTATCTGTGGGTCAGAATTCTGAAGGAACCTGGCAGAGTTGCCTGGGTGGAGAACCTGACTGAGTGGATGGCAAAGGCCTCTTAGATCAGGAACACAGATTTACAAGATCCACGGAGGAGGGAGGCCACGCCAGCTAACCTGTGTGGCCATTTCATCCTGCTTATCTTCACCAAAGTCAAAGTCAACCTGTCCTCACATCACGGGTGCAGTTCTCTGAGCTGCCTGGGATCATCCCAGAGGCCACACATCCTACTTCACTACAATAGGCACACAGAATGTCCATGTTGTAGACACTGGCTCAGTTTACCTTGGTGCGCTTGAGACAAATGCAGAAAAGTATACCATAAGGAACACAAAATATTTCTGGAAACTGTCCGAGAAGCATTTTTTCAGCCTCACAGGTTCTTTGGAGGACTCTACCAAAAGGTGATAAAGGATCACGGTTTATAAGCCCAGGCTAGAATTTGTGGCTGCATGCTTTGCACAGTATATTATCCCAGAACACTCACCAGTGGCTCAGGCTGCAAGTTCCTGCCTATGGAACAAGCTAATACAAAGCAAAACAAACTCAGTCCAAAAAGAGCAAACAAAATCCCTAGTCCACTGAGGCGGATGAACATTAAATGAGATAACTTCAGGTGTATTTTTTTAAAGGGCAAAACAACCCTGAGTGAATCATTGAGGGCTTCTGAGAGTTGTTTTGACTGTGACCCAGAAGCACATAAACAAAAAGAAAAAAATGAAGGACTGTTCTCTTTGCTCACACATTTCCAAAACTGGAACTCAAAATGGAAACAGAAATGTATATGCAGGACACAAAATGGAAACAGAAATGTATATGCAGGACAAAAGACAGCACCAGCATGGCAAGAATTGCAGAAGCAACTGTCAGTCGAGTTTGGAGCACACCAGAAGTGTAGGAGCCGCGAGCACAACAACCTTCTGCACAGCTCTCCCAGGAGCCTCCTGTCTGTGAAGAAGGAGACAGCAAGACTCTCTGCCCTTCTTCTAGGAGACCGAGGATCTTCGTTACCTGGCTATCTCTGCTCTCTGCAAATGCAGATGGCACATGTCAGCTGTGTTTTACACAGTGTTGCTTCTGATCTTAAAAGATGCTTAATGGATAAACTGCAGCGGGACCAGGAAAGTCAGGTTTAGGCCTCCCCAGCATATGACTCTTACAACTGGGTGTGACACCTGTGGGCACATTGAGGCTTTGACAGTGCCTGCTGCAAGACATGGGTCTCTTCAGTCAAGCAGCTCCTGTTCCTGCCGCAGGTGAAACTTGTCCCCTTACACCTGCCTGAGCTACGCTGTGGACTCTGCTGGAAGAAAGGCCTGATGCTGCTCTGAGAGCCACCACTTCATCATTCACATGAATGTCATCCTGAATTGATTCTCACCAAGAGGAGGCATAGAAGTATCTTGAGTCAGACTGTTTAGTTGAATAGTAGATGAGCGGAGGATTCCTGTTCTCCAGTGCAGGGAGCCTTCAAGGTGCATACTATCATCATCAGTTAATATTCAGAGTATATGTGCCATGGGCCGGAACCATGACCGCACTATCTGTGGTTCCACCTCAAGATGACACTGAGGTACAAGTTCTATTCTATTTTACAGTTGAGGATACCAGGCCCCACCCTGGGTTTACCTGAGCAAGTGGAAGGGCCAGAGGTGGAAGAAACAGGGAAAGACAGGTAAAGAAAGAGAACTGGAAAAGACTAGTAAAAACAAATAAATAGCAAGCGTACTCTAACAAATGTACTTTTGTGAATGTCTAAGACTCATTTTACACAGTGGCCAGTTTGACCTGAAGCAAATAGTGATGAGAGAGCTATTATTATGCAAAGGCGGGAGCTGTGGAACTCAGTGGTGGAGAACAGGCCTAGCACAGGACAGGCTGCATTCCACTGCCAGCATCACACAGGTGCGGGTGTGGGGGAAGGAGAAGGAAGGAGGGAGGGAAGGAAGAAGAAGAAAGGCAAGAAGAAGGAGAAGAAGGGGAAGAAGAAAGAGAAGGAGGAGAAAGAGAAGGGGAAGAGGAAGAGGCACAAGAATAAAAAAGAAAGGCAGAGAGTACAGTAAATTCAAGAGGTCACACTAAACAGAAGCTCTTCCGATGTTAGAGGCGAGTGAGTGACACAGCTTTAGATGCCCTATGTCAGAGGAACACTAAGGCAAACACACGCAGCTCTTGGGAATTCCATCTAATCAAAAGGGGAAAGAAGTCTTCCATTGCCTCCTTCTAAAACTCAAAAAACCAAGGAACCCACACACGTGCAAGTGTACATCTAGCAATGCAGACGTACAGACGCATTCAGACTCACGTGCAGGCATGTGGATGCATGAGTGTATGGCAGTGTATATTCAAATGTGTGTCTTCAACAGTGTGTTTCATCAAGTCACAGTCACACAGTGGCAGAGCAAGGTTAAAACAAAGAGCACATTCTTACTTACAGTGTCCCACATCACGATGTGCACATCTGTGCTGAATGAGTTATTAACATGCTGGGTGATATAAAGGTTGATAAAGTCACAGAAGTGGTGATACATGTTAACACCTAGTGTTGAAAAAAGAAATCTACATTAATTAACTGCAAAGAACATGTGACTAGACAATTTTTATTCTATCCCATCTACTTACAGTTCAAAGGATTTTTAGTTGAAATAAATGATGGAAAAAAGTAATTTTTCCTGAGCAAACTCTACACAGAAATACAAGCCATTTACAAATGGATTGAGTTTAAGACTTTACTTTTTAAACTGATTATTTGAAAAGGAGGAATGTATTGTCCCATATGAAAAGTTCTTGTCCTAGTATAAATTACCGTATAATTATGGCAGTGGTCTAGAGTGGCGGAAGCCCAAAATTGCGAACGCTTATCACTTCCTGACGCTTCTTCAGCCCTAATTGTAACTTCCCTTTCTGTTTGCACACACAGAGTATTCCAATCGGTTCCTCACATGTCATCAATATCTGTCCCATGCGCCACTTCTGATCAAAGGTCATACATATACCCCTCTGCCTCTCTGTATCTGGTCAAAGGAAATGGCCCAACCACCATGGGTTGTGTGCTCCTTTCCATGTCCTCAACTCAATAAACTTGTTTATTTTGTATTTCTTATTTCTCTATTGTGCCACAATACTCTAACATCATATATACCAAATAACAAATTAAATTCCCAGAAAAAGCCACATAGGTCTATTTAACTCAAAATGAGGTAGAATAATAAATTCATAAAATTATTTATTCCTCTTGATCACTTTTTGAAAAATCAATTAAGCAACATCTATTCCCAGAAGCACTGTTGATGTAAGTGTGATGGCAATTACTAACCATTTGGTGGTTTTCATTCTCATCTCTTTTGACTACTTACTCACTGCTCATGATATTCTTTCTGGGAAAATACTAACCAATAGCATCTAAAAGAGATAAATGTCTCACACCCAAATTGAAAAAGCATAAAGTCTGGAGTTGGAACTGGCTTGAATTCTAGGTCAGTCATTTATGAGCAACTCTCCTAGATAAATTCATAAAGTCTCTAAGCATTGGTTTCTCTACTAGAAATGGGGAGTAGTTGGACCTAAGTGCCAGCCTTGTCATAAGAAATCCAAAAGGATGCATCCTTAAGTGCTACCCCGAAGTCTGGCACATGGCAAAAGGCCAGCTGTGCCCAAGGTCAGACAGAGCAGACAGTGCTGAGGCTACCACCATTGGTAAATTCTAATGTCAGTCATTTTAAAACAAAACAAAACAGGCTGGTCCGATGGCAGTGGGTTATCAGAACTTATTAACATTAGTGTCACTAAAAGTTGGTATACCACCCCCCCGCACTGCTAAATTTGACTGGCTTAAAAAAAAAAAAAACAGGCAGTGATACTTTAAAATGTTCATTTTCAAAGAAGGAAAATGTTGACTAAAAGAAAAACAGTGACTTCCAAAAGTGGAAACCACAAAACAGTCAGACTTCATTCTCATAGTGAATAGTAACATTGTGTGCCATAAAGTAAGGGTTAAAATATTCAGTTCTTCTCAGCTTGGTTATCTCAGATGAATGAATCTTAGGGAGGGCTAAATTTTTTTCATCCAGAAAAATTCTAGTAAAAAGCATACTATAGGCTTAAATAAAATCAAATTCTGGGAGAACTCATCCCCTTTCCCCCAGGTGAGCTACCCAGTGAACATTAGCTCTCAGGTACCATTTAGTAAGCCCCTAACATTTACTGGAGAATTTAGCATGTGTAAAAGAGCGCTTGGTGCTATGAGGATTTATAAATGAAGGAGCAAACATAGACTTCATCGTGGAGAAATGTGCCCCTGGCGAGCTTTGTTCTGTAGAAATGCTCACTCTCCCAAGGTAAGAGTTAATAAGAAAAGAAAAATTGGATGACAACTTAAATTAGAAGAAAAAAGTAGAGTTATGAAAATAAGAAAGAAAAGGCTCACATCTACCTGAGTCTATTATTCCCATTTTACCCACTTTATTGCATCAGCTCTGCATAAATTTAACAGCTCACACATATTCACCTCTTTTATAGGCAGATCACTGTTTTCTTTGCCTCTTTAATTTGCATATTTTTAAGAAATGAGTCAGAACCTTCAACATAGCACTTTTACTTGCTCCTATTTCAAAATCCTAACTTGTCTGATTTCTGAATCTAATACTTTGTGATATAAGAATTATGACTACCGAAGGTAGAGAACATTAAAACTATGATCAATAAATTATGGTAATTCTCAAATATTCGTGACAGAGGGCTGTCTATATTTCACTGTAGGCCAAGCCTCTCATGAATTTTGATATGATGTAGCACAGTAATCTCTGTCTCTCATAATGAGAGAGATAATATAGAATGATCTGTGTTTCTCCTCTCTAGGGCAACTAGATCATAAAGTTAAAGTTATGCTTGCAAGCTGAGACTTAGTGCCTATAGGCATAAGTGGAAAATAATTCTAATCTTTTTGCCAAGATTATATTCTTTTGGAAGTGTAACTTTCAAAAGAATTTTAAGTTCACATTAGCCATGGAAATAATATTAATAAGTTTGCTAGGAGTCGTTATGGACATTTCTTTCCCTCCCTTCTATTTAAAAGTAACTATAATGAAATGATTTAAATCAAGTGATGAGAGAAACAAGAGGGGGTAAAGTTAGTGTAAAGGTGTACATGCCGTCTTTCATCTTCAGATTCAGAATGAGTCATTTGGTGCAAACGTGAAGGTTTCTTCTAGAATACTCAAAGTACAAAATAACAGGAAATTCAATCTAGTTCATCTACTTCAGAGAAGAAACCAAAAAGCAAATTACCATGTGTCATAGTACTTTTTTTAAAATCCAAAGGGAAAAATATGTATAAATTATACACATAAAAATTATATATATGTGTGCTCATAGCCAATATACAAATAATTGAAAAATTAACTGCTTACCTGCATCTAATTTCATGAAATATGTTGGTTTTTCAATCACAATGTCACATTTAGCATCTTCTATAGGTCTGAAGTTGAGCTGAGTATAGCTTTGTAGCTCAGCAAACCTAGAATGATGAATTGGGATATAATTTCAAAGTGACTACTGTAATTTAGGATCTTTCTGTTCATTAGGTAAATTTTATTTTTAGAATGTAAAAGCACTCCCATGGAGACATGCAGAACTCAAACTTACTGTCATTTATATAATGTCATATCAACTTTAATATTAATTTAAAGAAATTTTTAAAATCACCTCATGCAAGACAGTTAAACTGGGAACCTACCACACAAGGGAAAGAGGAAATTTATATTGGAGTTGGCTAAAAATCTACCAGTGAAGCGGGAAGCTTCAACAAGGCTTCCGGTCCTTTAATGAGGTTCAGAGCGAACAATGTGCCAGAGGAACTCTTGCTGCAGCGTCTTTGCAGTCTGAGAAAGACGGCATTCCAAAAGTTACCTAGTACTCAAAAGACAGCAGACACCTAAGCATCTCTGAGGAATGAAAAGTCTTTTTTCTCAAAAAATGTCTTTTCTTCCAAATTGAAGACAATCACAAACATGTGACAAGAGATATTCAGAGCTAACATCTGTAACTCTTTATCTTTGAGATCACACTTCATGTAAAATAAATACCAAAAAGATCCTTTTAGAAACACACTGAAAAAAAGATCATGGTTTCAAAAGTATGTCCGCAAATCCTTTAACACTTTTCCCTGCAAGAAGTGGAGGTGAATTCTCTTCCTTTGAGTATGGGCATCATTAGGGGCTCATCTCTCACCAACAGAACACAGCGAAAGTGACGGGGTGTCACTTCTGAGATTATTAAACGCTGTGGCACTCACCTTGGAGGAACTAGGAGTCATGCTGTGAGTGGCACAAGGGTGAGGCCATATTATAAAAACTTAATCCTCTGCCAATGCTCAGAGAATTATGGTTTACAACAACCGGAGTCAGTTCAGAAATATGATTTCCCAGTCCAGCTGAGCCTAGAAAAGCCTACAGCCCCGGCCACCCTTGACAGCAACCTCAAGAGAGACCCAGCTATGCTGTTGGCAAATTGTGACCATTAGAATCTGTGTGAGATATTAAATGTTAGCTCTGTCATGCTATTACATTTTGGAGTAATTTGCTATACAGCAGTAAATAAATATAAATACACACTAGAGGTGTATTTTGTAATGACACATTACACAACAATAAATATTTAGTACATATTCCTCAGGTAACTCTGTTATAAAAGTCAGATCTTAAGACATACTAGGAAAGAAAATGCCCTATACAATACAGGAACTACCTACTGTTAAAATCTGGTAAGTCACATGAGAAGCATCAGTGCAGACTGCAAAACACTATACTGATGAAAGGTAGGTTATTATTCTGAATGGTTTGCTCAACCCCAGAGTATGACCTCTAAAACTAATGTTATATAAGAGTAGCCTATGTGACCATGAAAGGAAGCACACGCATTTTTTGGATGATGGAATAATTCTTCATCCTGACTGTGTTGGTAGCAACACAGACCTAGACTGGACTTTTTTTAAAAAATGACTGCATCTAAACATGGTAACACACCCTGGTGTTTACTTAGTAACATTGTGCCAGTGGCAATTTCCGGGCTTTGGTCACTGTGCTAGTGTTATACGAGATATTATTATCTGTGGGAGCTGGGGTAGTGGTACAATGGGAACTTCCTGTACCATTTTTAAACTTCCCTAAGTCTAAAGCTAATTCAAAATAAAGAGTTTTAAGTGGACAGGAGACTGGGTGCTGGTAATGCTCTGCATTTTGACCTGAGTAAGACTTATAAGGGTGGGTTCACTTCTTCATAAACCACAAACTGTTATAGACAGTGATAATTTTGTCGAACTCAATTCATTCCAAGTTTGTATTGGAACACTGAAAAGTTCAAGAACTGAATGTATTTTTCCCATAAGAAATAATAGAAAACCAAATAATTGTTTCTGAGACCTGAAAAATTACATATATAAATTCATTTTTCCAAGACTTTAGCAAATCTTGCAATGATTTCTTTAACTCTATTGTGGCTCTGTTTTCCTCTGAGCTTTACTGCTGGTATCACTAACTTTCTTTGAGGCCATGGTTCTAATATTTTACACAGATATATCACAAAAATAAAGCACAATGACAAAGGCGGTAATGCACCAATACAAGCACTGTACGCTGTCTGGTGAGAGCGACGCTCAGACGGAAGCGTCACCCTTTGTGTCCTCGGCCAGACGCAATGCATTACTCATTCTTGGCCCGTACAGAAGGCAGCTTCCTGTTGCTTCTTTGTTCTTCCTCTTCCTTCTCCTTCTTCATCTTCTTCATTCTCTTCCTCTTTCTCCTTCCCCTGTCCCTTCCTTTTTTGTTGTTATTGTTGTTTGTTTTTTGATTTTTGAGGGTTTTATGGGGCGGGGTTTGGAGACAATGCCTCCCTATGTAGTGCAGGTTGGCCTTATACCTGTGATGATTCTCCTGAGTCAGCCTCCCAAGTGCTGGGATTACAGACATTCACCATCACGCCTGGCCTATGCAAACTCAGGACCTCACACTTGCCAGGCAGGTGCTTATGCAGCTGAGCTAAAACCCAAGCCTTATACAAGCTTTTTAAAATCAGATTTTCAGTTTGACTTTGAAGCAGAGTTACAGACACCAAAGAGATTTTTTTTCGAACTTCACTGTTTGAGTAGTAGAAAGTTTGGGCTTGGAGCCATTCAACAACCAAGGTATCAATGTATTTAAATATGAGTTCATTTTTCCTAACAGTGTTTCCCAAAATACATGTACCAACTATAAAAACAATAAAAATTAATTTTAAACTGATTTTTTCTTTTATATGCAAACAACAGTACTATATCATATTTCCTAGTATTTTATAAACATGTTCAGTTATACTAAGGAATTCACCTGTAACCACCATTCTTAAGAAGTTAGTGCTTATACAAATTAAGTAACATTTACTTAAAATTATCTGCAACATAAGTAAATTTTCCATTTTGGAGTCCCTACCACAATATCTGCAAGGACAAAAAATGAAATTACATGTATACATGTATGTATTAAACAAATCGTGTTACCAAGATTGCAGGGGGCTTTTGCGTTGGCCTTCAGACATCAACATATGAGTATCAAGTTTACAGTATCCTCCGATTTCACCACTCTGGAAAAAATCTTCCTTAAATCTAGTATATAAAAAAAAGATTGAGTTTGAAAATTTTTTCATGATTCCAGCTCATGGGTTGTAACTAAATGGAATTATCAATTTCTAAAATTAATTTTTCTTTGGAATTTAACAATAGGCAAGTGCTACATAATGACATTCCAGTCAACAGCTAACCACACAGTTGATTGTGATTCCTTAAGATTGTATCACCTAGTGTCACTGTAGCTATTTAGGTTTGTGTGAAGCCACACAAACTACCTGAAGCCAGGTAGTTAGTGACACATGCCTGCAATCCTAGCACTCTAAGAGGCTGAGGTAGGAGGATTGCAGGTTTGTGCCCAGCTTGGACAACTTTGTGATTTAGCAATACCTTTTCTTAAAATAAAAATTTAAAAAAGGGCTAAGGAAGTAGCTCGGTGGAAAGTTCCTAGATTCAACCCATTCTCATGGAAAAAAGAGTTTGTGTGAGCATCCTCTCCAGTGTTTACACAGCAGTGAAATCACCTAATATATGCCCTCTGTTAAGCAAGGCCTGCATGTACAGAGTCTGTCAAAAAAGAAGAAAAAAACCTCTATCTACATTTCAGGAAAAGAAAAATAGTGTGCTGCTTTTTCAACAGACGGTGTTACCCTGATATGGGGGCTTCTAGAGGAGGTCATGCATAGCAGTAAACCCACTACACTGCTGGCCCTTAGAGAAAAAATTGAAAATGTATGTGCAGCAATCTCAATGACCAAGACTATCCAAGCAGCAGCTCACAGTACTGATAAAGGTCTAGAAGCTGGTGGGCACCACACTGAGAACCTGTTGTTAATTATAAACTTGAGAAGTTGGGAGCCAGGGTCCTTGCTTTTGAGCCTGCACAAAATGAGGGCACAGAGACTGGTATGTGTGCTACACCCTCCTGAGGGTGGGTAGCCTGCATACAATACAAGGGAGGAAAGAGGCTTGCTCTCCCCTCTTTTACGCCTGCTGCTTTTGCTGTTTTCTGCCGCCTTAAACTGTTGCCCCTGGTGCCATGCTATCCTGTCTTGGAGCCAACTGATTATGGACTGAAATCTCCACAAACTGTAAGCTAAATAACCTTTCCCTTCCTTAACTTTGGGTGTCAGGTATTTTGTCCCAACAATGAGAGAAAAGTAATTAAGACAAGTGACTTGTTTTAATTTTATGTCTCAATAAATTTAGAGTTAAAATATTTATGTAAGGTTTTCTTTTTCTAAAGTATGCATATTTCTTTTGGCAGACTATAATAGACAAATTTAAACATATACAAAAGTAGGTTTGGGGACAATGTTTGTCTGGCATTCAAGAAGTCCTATGTTCAAACCCCAACCCTGCAAAACAGAAACAAACAAAAAACCTACACAGAATTCTTATAAGGAACCCATTGTACCTATGATCCTAATTTGTGATGTGATCAACCAGTGACCAGTTTGGGTCACCATCCCGGACCCATTGCCTGAACCCTCAACCAAGACATAGTTACACCTGAAAATATGTGATAACGTCTATTAGAATCTACCATCAACCATTTAAGTACCTGTCGTGATTTCTCTTGATGTTTCTTAAGTCAAGGTAGAGATGGGTTGCTCTGCAATACTGAAGATAACGGGAACATACCAGACTTGAGTCACTCTGAAATTAGGTTGACAAAAGGGAAAAACTGCCTCTGAGTCTCAACAGTTTGAGAACTCACCAGACATACTAGACAGGGTGACAGCAAGTACACCCACATGATGGGAAAAACTCTCCACACACCACAACTGTTTCTTGGTGTTTTCCCCTTCTGCAGAACTTGGTCAAATACACTTTGGTTTCTACACTTTAATGTTACAATGAAGAAATCCCAGATGCTCTGTTTGTATCAACTCACATTTTAAAGCCAAGAGCTGTATATAGGGTTTAACTCAGTCTCCTTTAAAAAAAAATAAAAAAAGCAGCACTAGAAACCATCACCTACCCACAACTATATGAAAAAGCATTTTGCACAGTAGAGCCAAAGGAAACAAGAAAGAATGTACATGCTAGACGCACCAAAGTACAAGGTTGGAAAGGCAGTTTGCCAGTCTGAGTAAAAGGCACTTTGTGCAGTTTCCCATGAAACTTGTGAGAATCTCTCTCAACAGCAACCAGAGGGCAATCTCTTCTAAATAGCTAAATAAAGCAGTTGACCAGTCAACTACCAGAGCCAGTTTCTTCTTCAACCAATCTTCAGTGTGCTGACAGAGTAAGTATTTCAAAAAATTTCCTGCTTTGGATTTTATTTAGACAAGTACATGCTATTTATTATTTTTCCTAAAATTTCCCATGAACACAGGCCCTTCATCTTGACCAGTGTGATATTTTTGGACTCTGCAGTTAGTAAAAGATTACAATGAACTGAATGTTTGTGTCCCTGGGAAACTCACATGTTAAAAATCCCAACTCTTGGTGTGTTAGGAGGTGACTAGAGCATGAGGGGGCACCATCACAACCGTGCCTGGTATCTTCCTAAGAGGGACCAAAAAGCGCCCTCTCCTGTGAGGATATAAGAGGCAGCTGCAGTCTAGAAGAGGTCCCTCACCAGAACCTGACTATGCTGGGACCTTGTGCTGGCCTTCTACCTTCCACAACTGAGAGAAATTTCTATTGTTTACAGCCATCGAGTCTATAGCATTTTGTCATCGCACAAGACAGTGATTATATTCTAGTCACACATCTAAGTAAATTGTGGCCAGGAAAGCATTCCACAAGCCCCCATGAGAGAGGTGTGCAAGGAATAATTGTGGCCCTTGCCTCACCCTCTCCATGTAAACAGCTGGGCTCTAAACAAAGTGTGCAAAGTAACACACAGTTTCTATTCCAGGTGCACTGGGGCAGTGTTAGTTACCATCACAGGCACTTCATTCCCTTTGGTGGAATTTCTAATAGCGCCATCATGTGCCAACCCTTCAACAGCACAATAACATCTATAGTCAGATTTGAATGCAAATGAATTCATTTCTTTTAATTTCCCAAACTTCTAGAGATAATAGAGATCCCCAAGATGGCAGAGACTTTGTGGTTCAGGACCACCAGATTACAGAATATCACACCTTAATGATAAGCACTTAAAATTCCAGCAAAAATAACACTGAGCCCTCTGCTGGGAGCCAGACTCTGCACTGAGCACTTTTATATGCAGAACCTCACCCCACGCTTCCTGCATGCTACAAAACCATCATGGCTCTAAGGCTGAGGAAACTGGAACACAGAAAGCTTGAGCACCTTGCCCAAGTCGGCATTCTAACTCTCAAGTTAAAATTCAAGTTAAAATATTTCTTAATATTGAAATATTGAACAGCCTCAAAATGTGACTCAAAATCCAAAGGAGAGCAGAGCTTCCAAAGTAACCAGAACTACCTATTTGGAGATGTTAAATAAAATTGTGAACCAAATAAGTGAGATTCTTTTCCTACTGTCATGTGTCTTGTTTTTATGTTACAATTCATACAGTAAGGTAAACAATAAATAGAAAGTAATGAATGAAAAAGGCTACTCTTGAAGGAGCTGGACACCCACCATCTTCTCTGGCTGACAGAGCACATGCATCTCCTCCAGTCGCTCCCTGGCGTACCCGAAGTCTGCCTGTTTCCAGAAAATGTCTTCAGCTGACTCCATGGTGTCTGTCCTATTTGCAAAGGAAAAGATTCCGAGGTTGTTTTGGTTTGGTTTTTTTTTTTTAACTTTTTTTTTTTTTTCGTTTGGACCTTGAATATTCTTTCTGCTAGACATCTGTTACTACTTATATTTTTTAAAGTATACTGTCATCGTTTTCCAAAATCCCCCACCACACATGAAGTTACCAAACTAAGTTGTTCATAGGCATAAAATAAAAAGACCTAACAAAAATGTATGAAGTTTGGGTTATCTGGAATAGAAGACGCTTTGTTTTTTGTGTTGTTTTGGGTTTTTTTGTTTGTTTTCTGTCATTTTAAGACAAGGTTTCACAAAGTAGTTCAGGCTGTCCTTGAACTCACTGTATAGCCCAGGCTGGCCTCAAACTCCACAGCAAGTCTCCTGCCTCAGTTTCCCAAATTCGAGGCCAGCTGGGCCAAACGCTAGTCTGAACTACATGGTGAGATTGTATCTCAAATTAAGAGAGGGAGCGACAGAGAGAGAGAGAGAGAGAGCGAGAGAGAGAGTATCTACCTGGAACTCAAAGCAACAAAACCTACTGTAGAGAAAGTGACAGACTTCAAAGGGAGGAGTATATTCCCCATGGACACTCACCATCCCATGTCCACATAGCTGCAGAAAGGGTAACCAAACCTGAACTCTGGTTTGCAAGACTTCTCATAACCCCAGCAGTACTGTAAATTTTCCAAGTGTTTCTAGAACATAAAGCATGAACATTTAGACTGGTCTCCCTTCTTTTGAAATTTAGAAAGGGCTTTTAAATGTTTCCATTAAGAAGAAATCTTCATAGCACATTCATATTTACATTCCGCAATACTCAGTTACATAGTGAAAGTAATGGGAGGGAATTCTAAGAATAGCAGCTCAGAGCTCTTTGTCTCTGTTTACTTCCTCATGTCAGAAGTCTCTAACCAGCATTCTCTCCTGTAGCTAAACTTTATCTAAACTGACACTGGAGAACTGAACATTGAACTTGGGGCCTTCACAGCACAGCCTCTACTTTTCCAGGAAAAAGCTTGTTTAGAAATCATTGTCCTCCTGCCTCAGCCTCCCAGAGTGCTGAGATTATAGATATCTGCTACCAATCCCTGCTTGAATTAGAATCTCCTGAGGTAGCTAGGGAAATCACCTTTCTCACAGAACAAATCAATTTTAAAATCAGTCATATGAATTAAAACTTCTGTTAACCAAAAGAATGGATCTGCAACTCTACTCATCAATCAGAACCAGCAGGAACCTCCCAAGGCTGACTCCACAGCAGCTACGCACGCCCAGGAGCAGTGCTGGTCTGAGTCCAGGATCTGCTTTTCCATATGCTTCCTGTGCCAGCACCATGGGAAAGGAAGCCTCTCACAATGCCCAGCTTTGATCTTCAAGGCCGCAGGAGACGTCCTAATGGGCTCCTATTTGAGGCTTTTCCAACCCCACAGTCTTAATTATTTAGAGACAGAGGCTGAGGTGTTATTATGGAAATTAAATGCTAAGAGACTTCTTCCATGCAGGTGAGGAAAAGAAGAGGTGTGAAATTCTCTACTTTGTACAAGATGGGTCTTTTTCTGCCGAAAATCGCATTTGCTTTATACATAGAGAATAGCGATAGTATTAGCTGCCTATTTATTTTAGTGGTGATTTAGATTTTTAAATATCACTTTTGTGAATTTATATATATATCACTAAGAAGTGTGAAAGGAACTCAAACAATGACTGACTCACATCAAAAACTAAAAGTGAGACGTTTACCTTCAGTCCTGGATTACAGGCAGAAGCAGGAAGCTGGCATAAATTGTATCTTGTTAATTTATGAGAAGAGGAGAAATAATACCTACCTTGTATGGGCAATGTGAGTCCTTCTTGCAGATGGTGGCAACATGCCTGTTGTTGTGCAAAAAGAAGGGAATGTGTTCCTCTGGCAGGCGGATGCTGGCGTAGTCATACAGGGGCTCTCCTGGCATGGGGTCGGCCTCGGGATAAGCCTCATCTTGGCCACTCAGTGGAATGTCATGAAGTAAGATTCCCAAGATAAGCAGTATTAACATAGCAACCTCGAACCTAGAGATCAAATTGGACACACCTTTGTTAAGAAATTGCATTTAAAAGTTCAAGAAAATAGCAAGCACTACGCATAATTACAATGTACTTTGCTACATCACTGGGTGGTGTTCTTTACTCGTCAACTATTTAATATCTGCTGTGTGATAGGCACTGTATATTCAAGCATGCGAGAGTAAAATGTGCTACGCTACATATATTTCTTTGACATTTTTTTGAGTTGGTTCCTCAGACGAACTGCAGGCCTCTGCAGGCACTGGAATAGCTCTGAAAAGTTTGTAATAAGAGATTTGCAATTACCTCCATCTGGAAACACTGCATGCAGGCACAGTTTCCCTATCTACAAAAAATTGAGGGTCTGACACCTGGCCAAAAGGTGGGTGGGCACCATATCCTAGGCATTCTAAGTGCCCCCAATATAGCCAGGAAGTGCAATGTGAACTAAATTCACTGCCTTTGGGAAACACAGTGATACTGGTAGGTATAGTGATACTGTGTGTTAATTACTATGACTCGGAAACTCTAGGAGTAAAATCAAGCAGTCTGCCTCAAAGGCTGTGACAGTCCTTACACTACCTGCCTTCACACTGTGAAAAGTGGTGATGATGGTGAATCTCACTACCTTTCCAACTCACCCCAGAAAAGTCAAATTTCTCCAATATATTCCAGACCATAATCATGCTTTCTCAGTTCACTGTAGTGGTATCTCTGCTTAGGGATTTTTGTTTGTGTTTTGAATTTTCTTTCTACTGAATGATAGAACCATTAAATACAAGATGGTGCTCAGTAGGGGCTGGGGATTTAGCTCAGCAGCATAAGCGCTTACAAGCAGGCAGTGGTGAGTTCGATCCCCGGTACCAATAAAAAGGAAAAAGAAAAAAAAAAAAAAAAAAAAAGATGGTGCTCAGTAAGGTTTGCTGTGTGCTAGGCTAGACAAGATCACACAACTTTCAAAATCAGTGTTCACTGAAACAGGTTTTTAGAAGTAGACTGCCGTGTTCACCAAACCTCAAGTTCCAAGGTCCTGGGATCATAACTAGAGAGTAGGGAAGCCAAGTAAAAAACACTTTCCCGGGGCTGGGGATTTAGCTCAGCGGCATAAGCGCCTGCCTTGAAAGTAGGCAGTCGTGAGTTCCATCCCTGGTACCAATAAAAAGGAAAAAGACAAAAAAAAAAAAAAAAACCACTTTCCCCTTCTGGAGCTGTAAATACCCAGGCTTTTCATTCAAGCGGCCCTGTGGCGTCTGTTATCTGTTGCAAATCTGATCTGAATCAACACTTTTAGTTGGGGCAGTAAATTGACAGCAATTTTATAAAACTTAAAAGTATATATTAACAGAAGCTGGATATGGTGCTGCATGCCTGAAATCTCAGTACTCTGGAAGGCTGAGGCAAGAGGACTCCAAACCCAGCCTGGGCAACCTAGTGAATCAGAAAGACACTGTCTCAAATTAAAAAAAAAAAAAAAAAAAAATTTAAAAACAGTTGGAGATGTTACTCAACGTGAAGGCCCTGAGTTAAACTACCACAAAATACCAGTACCAGTATCACAAAATAAACAAGTCTAAATATATATTTAACAATACACATATATAATATATGCAAGACTGTACTGGTAATGAAAATACTTACCTCTTTAATCTTCAGAACCACCCAGAAGTTGTTGAAGTTTCCGGCATCTAAAACCTGTCAGAAATAAAATATACTACTTTAGATGCATACTAAAGTATACTTTTATCATTCGAGTAGTATTTGGATTTAAAGGAAATAATAAGAGTGAAAAATCATTTAATGTGCAACTGCCTGACCAGAGGGTCTGCTCAGAACTCTTTCTCTTCTCCAATGAATACCACACCTCTCAAAGCAAAGCCAGCGCGGCCCTCCCCACAGCAACTCCAAGACAATTCTAAGAGTGAGCAGGAAGGAGATGGCCCACCCCATGCCGCCATCAACAGTGCCAGCCAACAGGTCACTTAGGACAGAAAACTGCCGCCTCAGTAACGCTGTCCAGTCTCTCCCTGACTGTCCTCTCCTGGGGCTCGCTCTCCCTGTAACACATAAGCCATGGCCACAAGCAGTCCTGAACTGTGCTTATCCAAGTCCAACGCCTTGGAGCGAGCTCTGGCTTTCCCTAAACTCACCCATCCACCGAGAAGAAGCAACACTTTGCAGGAGGAAAACCAAACACGCAGATCAAACACATAGCTTCTGCGCAGGCACGTACCCACTTGCATGAGCTGGATAGGGTGGTGGCTGGCGCTGAAAGTACAACCCCGGGGCCTGGCAGACAGCCCTGGATGCTGAGTCCTCTCGCAAGGCCTCGCAGCGATGGTTGGATGCACAGCTACAGACACGCAAGATTCGAGGTCTCTCTTATGCTACGCTTTCCTTACACACAAAACAGCTGGGCGCATTCCGCTCTTGGACCGCTTGACTGGATTTCCACAAGCCTAAAAAATAAAAGGAAAACTCTGAAAGATGACGAAACCTGGGTTGACAGGGACTCAGTGGGTGAGGCAATGCTCTGAGACAGAGCTTGAGAAAACAGTGACAAATGTAAAGTTATGCACATCTGAGACGCAATGAAACCTACACGGCTGGCCTTCCCGTGTGTCACAAGCCCGCGGTAGGTGCAAGGCAGAGGTCTCAGACAAGAATGGGCTGCAGCCAAGGCAGAGGTCCCTGCTGTCTACCACTCGATCTGAGCGGCGGGCTCGGATGCTGCATGAGGGTTCGCAGCCCCAGGCAAGCTCCAGCCGGCACTGCTCCGAGACAAGAGAACCCCGGGCCACACACTTCCCCGGGGCCAGGTGCGCCTGGAGGTCCTTCGGGAGGAGCTCCGCCCCGGCGGGAAACAAGGCCAGCGGGACCCGGGCCGCAAACTGCTGCGGGCACCGGGAAGGTCTGGGAGCGCGGCCCAGGAGGGCCAGGACCGGTCGCCTGACGCCCGCGTCCACGGCCCGCAGCGGACAGCAGCAGGACGCTGGCAGAGTCCGAGGATGGCAACAGCCCTCCGCCGAGCGGCGCGGGGAGCGGGCACGGCGCGCAGGGCCGGGAGGGAGCACAGCGCGCGGCCGCGGCGGGAGAGGGGCGCGCGGCTCCGCGCTCCGGGTCGCGGGGCAGGCCCACCTGGTGCCGGCGGCGGCGGAGAGGCGGAGGCTGCTCGGGAGGAGGCGTCGTCATAACCGGCTACTGCGGCTCACCGGAAACCTCGGAGCTGCAGGCGGGCCAGGGGGCGCCAGGGAGCAGCCGGGACACCTCGCCAGCCGGCCGGCAGGCAGAGGCTGTGCTCCGGCGGGGCAGGGCCGCGGGGCCGGGCACCCCGACCTGAGGGCGCCGTCGCTCTCCGTGCGTGCCCTCTAGCGTTACAGCGCCAGCTGACTCCGCTCCCCGCCGAGGCAGAAGGCGGTAAAGCCGTGAACTCCGTCTCCATCTCAGCAAGAAAGCGCCAAAGCGCTTAAAGGACACCGTGATCCGACGGCTGGAAGAGCGAACTCTCTTTTGCCCTCCTTCTGCATTGTTACATGGAGGGAAACTTTGCTCTTTTCTCCTTCCCGGTATTAGTTGTCCTGACTTTCTAATACAGAGACCGGACATAGTTAACAGAAGGCACTTTCAGGTGCTGAGACTACTTTGGAGCCTACACGGTTTTTACAAGTAGGCTACTTTTACCTCGCAGTAAATTCACCAAGTTCAAGTGGTGCTATGTGAAGTTTAGTTTTTATGCTTTTGTTATTTTATCATTACTTCTAGTATAACTCCTTCCTTCTATTATCTTGGTTATCTGACTGCCTACCCCTCTACCCTTTTCTACTCTCTGCGTCTTTCAGCTCCAGCATTTGACCTGGAGTACCCGGGAGTTAAGCATTAAATACTAATTCAACTTGCCCTCAAAATAAACGTGCTCACACAGACCATATGCCACGATTAATGTGATCATAAAGAAGTTCACATTTATTCTCAAAGTCTTACTGAAATAATTGTTCTAAATGCTCTGTTACAATTTCTACAAGTTCTAATAGTAATCTGCTAAATTCAGGTTACTTGAAACTTTTTCAACAGCAAATCATACATGGGTATTTAACTCGTACAAGGCATTTACAGTGTTAGTCCATTATTCTTTATTTTAAAAAGGAACTTTGCCTCCAAGACAACCATTGCTCTATTATATTATGCTTTCCCCACCTGTACCAATAATAGCTGTATTATTATTTTGGTTCAGTGCTGGGACTGAACACCCTGGTCCAGGGCAGCAATTTTTAAAAATGCTTTCCTAGCCCATTTGTTACTATCACATTTTTGTTATGTATAGGAAGTGTACTTTTATATGTTATTGTATTATTGTCATTTTAAAATGATTTTTAAGCCCATCTTGGAGTACACCTGTAATCATACCACTCTGGGGGAGGCTGAAGCAGGAAGACTAACAACCTCAAGTCCTTCCTGTTCAAGTTGGCAATTCAGTGAGACCCTTTCTCAAGGTGAAAAACAAAAAGGGATTGAGGATGTAACTCAGTGGGAAAGCCCTGGGTTCACTGCCTGTACCACAAATACTTTCCAGCAAGAAGAAATTCATTAAATAACTGGTACAGTAGCTATTTCTGTAACAAATACCTCATATCATCAGTTTACAAAGCAAGTGTATTGGACTGTTTTAAAGGTTTCTGTCCATTGCCTCTAGCTGTAGTGAGACACCACAGGTAGGAGGTATAGGGTGAGGCAAAGCCACTCACCTCACGGAGGGTAAGTGTTACGGTTTGTGGGGAGGGTTTTGGGAGGCAGCTGAATCTAGTTTGATTTGGGGGTTCAAAGCAGGGATTAAAGGTGTGCCCCAGTGTAGGGCACAGAGTCAATGTACACCGTAATGGACACAAGGAGTTTCGTCTCTCTCCCTTGTTGCTTTTGCTGTCTTCCACAGCCATGAATCGCTGCCCCTCTGCCTTGGAGCCAGCTGATATGGGCTGAAACCTCTACAAACTATGAGGTAAATAAACCTTCCCCCTTTAACTCTGTCAAGTATTTTGTCTCAGTAATGAGCAAAAACTAAGACAGGAAGGGAGGAAGGAAACCGCTGGGACAATCTCTTCCTTGACTGGAAGACCTGACTTCCTACGAGGTCCCACTTTCTTCAGTTTCTATCCTCTCTTGATAGTGCCTCACCGGGGACCAATGCTACAACATGAAAACTTTTATGGGGCATTCTAGATCCGCCCTACACCATAGGCTTTATCCACACAACACTGCTGACCTATGCAGGTGTGAAAAGAACTTACATTACAGGCACTATTACTGAGGATGTGTAATACGTATCACTCATCTAAGAAAGAAGGGAAGGACAAATATATACACACATGCACTTACTGGTATTATACAAATGGAAGAATGTTTAAAATGTATGTCAGAAAGAGGAAAGAAGAAAGATGTAACTTTGGTGAATATATTTCATATAGAGGTCGCTTTGGGATCATGTAAATGTATCATAAAACAAAAAATTTTAAGAAACAGTCCTTGAAAATTGAAAGTAAAATGAAGCTAAGTGAACCTAAATGCTACCCAACTGTGTAACACCCAGAAGAACTCACCCAAATGACTCTGAAACACAATTTGTATTTCCTTAATAGGACATATCCTTAGAATTGGAGGCATTACCAAAAAAAAAAAAAAAAAAAAAAAAAACCTTTAGGCTATTTTTAATAACTAAATTCATAAAAAAAAGATTTGTATTGTGGAATAAGCAAAGAAGATTAAGCTGATATCTTTGAAGCAGCAATAGAAAAGTTTGATGAAGTCATAAACACCTTGTAGTTCTGAATTGCAAGTCTCGATGTAAATTAAATTTTATCTACAATAACAAATCTCTCCAACACAGTCTATTGCAAGGCCAGGATACAACCTACCCAAAAGCACACAGCATACTCTGCACCCAACTGTGATCTTTATAAGCCATTTCCCACTAAAAGAAATACACAGTTCATAGAAAAAGGGACAATCTCAGGTGTGTAGATGTACAAGATAAACCTGAAACACCTCATTTCAAAAACTAGGGAATGCTGGACTAGGGATTTAGCTCAGCGGCATAAGCACCTGCCTTGCAGATGTGTGGTCATGAGTTCGATCCCCGGTACCGATTAAAAAAAGAAAAAAAAAAAATATTCGTGTCTCAAACTAGGGAGTGCCAAGTGTGGTGGAGCACACCTGTAACTCTAGTACTTGGGAAGCTGATGGAGGATTGCTGTGAGTTCCAGGTCGGCTTAGACTACATAGTAAGACCTTGTGGTGTGGGAGGGCCAGGGAGCAATCACAGGCTATGAGCATCATATCCATAGCATTTAGGAGCAGGGTGGGTGGCATATGCCTGTAATCTCAGTGCTCTAGGAGGTCCAGGCAAAATGAAGAAAAGTTCGAGCCCAACCTAGGCAATTTAGTAAGACCCTACCTTAAAAAATAAAAAAAGCAGGGGCTGGGGATTTAGCTCAGCGGCATAAGCACCTGCCTTGCAAGCAGGCAGTCATGAGTTCGATCCTCAGTAACTGATAAAAATGAAAAAGACAAAAAATAAAATAAAATAAAAAAACAAATAAAAAAGTGCTGAGGATATACCTCATCGTGGAGGCCCCAGGATTCAATCCCTAGTACTAAAAAAAAAAAAAATCCTCAGGAACCAATCTGCCCAAAGAGAAATTTTTTGTTGTTTTTAGAAACAGGGTCTTGCTACAATAGGATAATTTAAAACACCAATAAAGGTAATTGTAATGACTGAAGCAAAAATATGTTTTAAAAATTATATTAAAAGATAACAACAATCATATATGCCAAGACTATTAGTCAGTTTTGATGACAGAAGGTAACCAACTTTATTTGGAAAACTGGTTAGTAAAGGTAAAGAATCATGCATATTTATCCTGCCTTTCCTATAGGAATTGTAATGAAAATAATCAAATAGTTGAGATAAAGTTTCTTCTTAAAAAACATTCTACTGTGAAATAAGGGCATGACAAACTAGATCATCATGCTACAAATTATGACTAGGTTTAAGAGAAGATCATCAGTGACAACTTTATCACAAAAGGACAGGCTATCTAACATCACTGATCTCCTGCTGGAAAAATATAACTCTATTTAATGAGTATTTTTATCAAAAACAATTGCCTTTAGATCCAAATACAGGAGAACTCATTAAACAAGCACAGGCAAGCATGCAATTGGCAGCAATACAGATGTAGGAAGGGAAGTTCTGCTTGACTCAGTTTCTTCTTCAAATACAAGAATTAAAAGTGACAGAGAAAGGAACCTATAAAGTGCAAGAGATTAGAAAGCTACATCAATCACAATGAGTAAACATTTGGATCCTAATTTTAAAATGAACTTCTAGGGCCTGGGATGTAGCTCACTGGCATAAGTGCCTGTCTGGCAAGCACAAGGGCCAGTTTGATTCCCAGTAAAAAAAAAAAAAAAAAAAAAAACTTCTAAAAAGTGTTAAGACAGTGGGAAAATATATTGACTGAATATTCAGTATCAGGCATTAAGTTAATTTTTAGGTGTGATACTAGTGGTTTTTTAAATTCTTAAATTTTAAATTCTTAAATGGTTAAACGTATGTCTAAGTCAGTCAAAATAATCAGTATAGGGTTGCAAGAGAAGGTATAAATGAGGTATAAATGAAACAGGCCAAGCTTGTAACTACTGAACACCACTGAAGGTGGGTAGTGACTATCGGCATATTCATAATCCTGGTCTCTACTTTTGTGTACTTGTGAAATTTCTGCATAATCAGAATTTAAGCACTGCACCAAAAGTGTGGTTAAATGTGACATAAATTCATGGCTACAATACACTTTAGCTCATAAAGAGTGCTAGCAAAATGCTGAACTATCAACAGAATACTGTTTACTAGCTCTCTGACACATCTGTGTACATCATTATTAAAAGTAAACAGACAGAAACCAAGTATGGTGATACACAGGTGTAGTCCCAGCACTCAGGAGGCTGAGGCAGAAGGATCGCCAGAAGGCTCTCCTGAGCTACATATAAAAAGACTGGCTCAAACACACATACACACAGATAAAACTTATAAAGCTTAGTAAAATATAAGCAATATGAATAAAGATAAGAGTATCTGTTATTATTTAAATAGAGAACTGTTCGAATACTTTGAAAAGAATTCTCGGTATTAAGGTTTTAAATTTAAAAATTAAATTTTTTTTAAATTTCTTTTTTATCGGTACCGGGGATCGAACTCACCACCACACACTTGCAAGGCAGGTGCTTATGCCGCTGAGCTAAATCCCCAGCCCCTAAAAATTAATTTTTAAAATCAGGTTTCTCAATATTCATCTTCATTACAGAAAATAGGCCCTAATACTCAATAATATTAACTCAGAAAAATGTCGCCTTATTTCCTTAAAATGGGTTCCAAAATTATACAAGCTGTATGGTTTTCATAAAACAATACTATCTGATTTATTGGTATTCACTACTCTAAATTGTTAAAAATAAATACATTATTGCTATTTTAAAGTCTTTATTAAAATTAAATTCATGCTTATGTACATTATCTTTCAGTTAGAATTAAAATATTATCAATCTACAATTTAAATACTTTTAGCCCTTTACAAATATGATTAAGGTTTTTATAGTTTAAAACTGACCTACAACAGGGAAAGTTAGATCAATTTTTGTTTATATAAAAATGATATACTAGAACATAAATTATACATCCTAAACAGTAGTAAAATAAAACATCTATAGCCTTGTTTTTCTGCTAGTATTTTCCAAGTACCAAAAGGTTTTTAATAAAGCATTCAAATAAACTTTAAATAAATCAAACGCTACCCATTTTCCTGTACATTCATTTACTTAACTGCAAAAATTCACATTCTGTAAGTCAGAAATTATCTACACTTATAGTATCTTAAATCACAAGATAGGTCTATTTCATACATTCTACATGCTAACAACTGTATAATTACAACTGTTAAAGAGGCAAAAGAAAAGAAAAAAATGTAGTCTCTACTCCTCCTCCCAAAACCTGAAAGGGTACTTAATGATCTGCACATCACCAAACAATGTTCATGCCTCTTTCACTGTTTTTTTAATAGTCTTAATATTCTCCAGTATTAAACAAAAATCATTTATAGCTTTTTTGTTTTCTTTCAATAATAGAAACATTTATTTGTAAACTACTTTTAATCTATTAAAACGTGAATATTATTTTACTAGGATATGGATAGAGAAGTTTTAATGACAAATAGCAATCAATATTTAACGTATTCTGCCACGTTTTTCAGAAAAAATGATTCAGTATCCCTTTCTCACTTATTGGGAGATCTGTTTCATAAAATAAGATCTATGTGACTATCAGCTGTTAATTTGTATTTAGAATATATAATGCATGGCTTTTATGCATGTAAAATGAGTGTGGTGGCCCATGCCTATAATCCCAGCACTTGGGAGGCTGAGGCAGAAAGATCACTGCAAGTTCAAGGCCAGACTGGACTACATACTGGGACCATGTTATCAAAAGAACCAAAAAAAAAGTCAAAAACATTTTAAATTTAAAGTGAACTGGTTTTACTAATGTTAATGCGTAGTAAGAAAAATACTTCATGTTACAAGAATGAAAGGTGAAGGAAAGACTTCTGTTTCAACCTTTTCTCAGCATTGGTTTCTTTTTAACTAATAGATGTTTTAAAGGAACTATGTCATAAATCCTAAATTCCTAGTTTGCAAGCTAAGTTTCTTGTATTTTCTAATTTTGCACATTTCTTACTGCTGTCAATCCAGTCATTCTACCCCTGAATAATTAAAAGCAGGCGACACAAAGTGATTAGACTGGTTTTTAGCACTAAAATATAGAAAATTAATTTTATGAATTTGACTTTCACTGAAAGGATATTTATTAATGCTATAAATCAGCACTCCAATGACAGAAATATTGCCTCTGGAATATAAAAAGAACAAAAATAGGTCACTTGAATTATTCTGAAAAACCTCTAGATCCTTCAAGAAGTCTTATTTATAGCTATATTCTGAAGTACTATTGCCTAAAATTTTAACTTAATTTTTATTTATTAAACTTTAAAAAATCGAACTTTTTAATTACAAGTATAGTAATCCCTCCTCATCTACGGGAGATACGTTCCAAGACCTCAGTGTATGTCTGAAACCATGGATAGTTAAAAACTGTATGTTCAACAGGATCTTTCACCTTCTTAGCCAGACATGGTAGTATAGTAGGAGGCAGAAGGAGCAGAACCACAAATTCAAGCCCACGAGTACCTTGAAGAATTATCAAGACCTTATCGCTAAAAGAAAAAAAACTGGGGTGAGGGAGCCAGCCCAGTGCAAAAGCTGTGAGTTCAATCTCCAATATTTAAAAAAAGCCTTCTCACTTAAAGGAACCACTTCACAGTTTCTCTACTCTTGCGCTTTGGAGTCATTAAGTAAAATAACGATTATAATACTGCGGTTCTGTGAAAATCAATTTTATAACTGACAGGGCTACTAAGTATCTACCCAAGGAATGTGGGTGTAATAGACAAAGGAATGATTCATGTCCCAGAAGGAATGGAGCAAAAACAGCAAGATTTCACTGCACTACCCAGGGTGGTGCACAATTTAAAAGTTAAGAATTGTTTATTTCTGGAATTTTCACTTATTCTTTTTACATTGTGGCTCTGACTAACTGAAACCATAGAAACTAAAACCACAGATAAGGAGGGAATGTTATAAAGGCAGTTAAATAACCTTCAGTAATAAAAATGCATCAAAATATTTTACAAATGGTAGTTAACTTTTGAACAAAGTAGTATTTGGGGAAGAAGGCATAGGTATTTTTTAAGCTAATCCACATTATTTTTTGTTTTGCTTTGTTTAAAGCTTTAAGAAAAAAAATGAGTCAGTCATGGTGGTAGACACCTATAATCCCAGCATTTGGGAGACTGAAGCAGGAGGACTGCCACAAGGGTGGCCAGCATGGGCTACACAATGAATTCAAGGTTCATCACTATACAGATTCTGTCTCAAAAAGACAAATTTCATAAAATTGTAAATGTTAAATTTATATTACCTCATAATTTTTATAATTTGTTATGAATATTCCGTAATATCATTTAACCTGTGAAAAATGACTTTATAAAATGTGAACATTTTTAAAGAGCAAATTATGTTATTTTGTTACTTTTGGTTCCTTTTGTAAGACAGTACCTCTTCAATGTTTCTTAAGGATTACTGATTCCATCACACATTACAGTAAGTAAAAATTTCTACTATCCAATTATGCCTGCATAATTTTTCTTGGATAGGTTCTAAAAGACACCAAAAACTTGTTCCCAGTTATGGAAGATGAGTGAAGTAAATTTTCAAGTCAAAGAAATTTTTAAATGTTTGAATTATTCACTCCTTATATTTCCGATAGTATCAATGTGACTTTTACTTTTAAAGTAAGAGAATGGATTAAATTTTAATAAACAGAGGTTTAATGCTTTTTTTACCCGAATACTTAAAACATTTGCAATGAGTAGTAATAGGCTGAAGTGTAAAAGATTCCAAAATATCAATGTTAGTATTAACTCTTTAAATGTTCTCAAAATATACAAACACATATAAATTATAGATACAATTACTTATATATCTACAATAATATATAAACACCACTCTCCTTCCCTAGCCATATTTATACACTGATAAAGTAATAAATCTTTGTGCTATATTCAAGGCAAAAATGAGAGGCTTTGAAAAATAAATCTTTAAGGAATAGTTTCAAAAATAAAGTCCAAATATTGCACAAAATAATTTAACTGAAAATATTACTATACTGTAAATCAAGTTTTAAAAAGTTTTTGTACTCTATGGCAAATTCCATTTTTACTTCTATAAAAGAATTTATTGGAAGTCTATGTTGAGATATTATATGTTTACATTCACTCTGATAGGAATTCAATGTTCAGAAGTTAACTGAGCCTCTGTAAGAGTTCATCTATTTGAGTCTTATACATATTTTTTACATCTTCAAGATCTAATCGAAGTTCTTCTGCTTCTTCTGCTTTTTCTCCATACATCTGCAAAATAGTGTTGTATCTTTGATCCAAATCCTGAAAAATACATTTACAATTTTTGAAATGATTATACAAAACCCATCTTCAGCTATCATAAGTCAACAACAATCTAAGGGAATAAATGTATACACTCCTCTTTTAAAAATTAGACTCATTTATGTATTGTAAACGTGTTAATAAAAAATTTTTAAAAACCTCACAACTGTGTTCAAATAAGTAACAAAAAAATTTTAAATACCTAAATAGCTGTAAATTGTACCCATCTCTCTCCACTAAATGTATAATTCTCCCACATGTATGACACAGTCTCCTCTTTTCCATTAATCTAACCACATTTGATGAAATTTTAGTCTTTGTGTTTCCTTGTGGTTTTGTGCACTTGTATGTAGGTATGTGGCACTGGGGATTGGAACCTTAAGTCTTCACACTAAGCTACATCACTATCCCTCTCCATTAGGGATGGTATCTCAGTTCATGAACTTGATTCTTCCCACGATTCTGGTCACAAATTAAGTTGGACCAGAACCTGATCACATTCAGTGGTTAGGTTCAATGTGGAACTCTGATTTGGTTCTCATCTAATTCGGTTTGCAATCAGAATTGTGGAGAGAATTGGATTTGTGAACTGAGGTACCACTGTATTTTTTATTTTGAGACAGAGTCTCACTAAGTTGTTGAATCATCCATGCTGGGTTCAAATTTTCCATCCTCCTGCTTCAGCTTGCCAGTGTTGGTAGTACAGGTATGTACTACCAAGTCCAGCTTCATTATGGTTTAAGTATTACCTGATACTTAGGGCACATCATAAGTCAAAAAACACGCATTCTTTTTTTGTGTGTGTCTTTTTAGACAGGGTCTCACTAAGCAATTCAGGCTGGCCTTGGGCTTACTTTGGAGCACAGATTGCTCTCGAACTCACAACAATCCTCCTGCCTGAGCTTCCCAAGTACTAGGATTATAGGAGTGCACCACCAAGCCCAGGTTAAAAATATACATTCTTATTTGTGGCTTAGAAGTCCTATAACCAAATATAATAATTGTGATGAAACATGTAACATCAACAATAAAATATTACTAAAAACATGCAAAGTACAGTTTTATTACAAACGAGTTTTGGTCAAATAAAATCTAGTTCTGTTCCTACATTAGAACTAATCATTTTTTGTGAAAAATCCTTTTAATGTATAATGACAAGAAAGACTCACCTCTGAAGTTTTTTTTTTTTTTTTTTTTGTCTTTTTCTTTTTTATCAGTACCAGGGATCGAACTCATGACTGCCTGCTTGCAAGGCAGGCGCTTATGCCGCTGAGCTAAATCCCCAGCCCTCCTCTGAAGTTCTTTACTCAATATTGATGCTCGAATTTTTTTTAAAAATCACAAAAATATATGTATGCACTTTACATAAACTAAAAATATGAGATTTAGTATAACTAGATTAAAATATATAAAATTCATCCTAAAGTGAGGAATACTTACTCTTAGTTGGATTCGAAGTTTGGGTATCTCCTTCACCTTTTCTTCAAGTTCATCATTTTGATTTGTTAATTTAACTAGCTCTTCAGCCATTATTGATCGGGTTTTTTCTAGATTACCAATTTCCAGCTGAGAATTATTACAAAAAGGTTTTTTATTAAAATACACCTTATAAATCTCACTAATATAAAAGTATTTTGTTATTCATGTGTTACTTCTGAAGAAATAGATATGTTAACATATAACTCTGAGTTAGGGTGCTGGGGAGTGAGATCCTCTGTTCCTAGATGTGTGTAACTCATATCCAGGTGGACAAAATGCATGGACGGGTCTGCTTGGGAATGAAGTACTGCCACTGCATTGCTTGTTCAATTTGCTCAGAATTCAGGTGGAATGAAGGGTGTCACTTACTGGACTCCAATATTTACTTGTATAGTACACTAATTTTTCTCATACCTGTAAATGTGCAATTTCTCCTTCCCTTAGCTTTAGTTGAGACTGCAGATTTTCAATAATGCTTGACCCTGCTCCCATCCTTACAGCATCATAAAGATTGGTGCCACTCGCTGATGCAGACATTGGTCCAAATGAGTGATCATAAGACTCATCCTATTTTGAAGAAAACAGAGCATTACCCAGTTTTCATAGATTATGTTTCCTAAGGCTCAAACAAAACAATTCTGTCAGTTCCTGCTTTAAAACTTTCTATGCTGTATTTCCTTGCTGCAATGACCCCTCTCACTCAGATGAACACTCCAGAGAAAGGTCAGGTCACAGCGATAGCCACCTGCAAGTGCCTGTTGCCCTCTATCACTAGTCAGTTTACAAACTAAGTACATGTGAGAAATAAAACATTACCTGAGACAGAAAAGACGTTTGTAGCCCTGCCATATCAACTCCACTTACTGAACTTGAGCGTGACAAGGTGGGAGTACTAGAAACAGAAAACGGCTTCCGTTCCTTAGAGAGTAAAACAAAATTCTGTTAGAGGGACAAGCAAAAAGATAAGTAGGGAAAACAAAACAAAACCTTTTATAGGATTACTAAAAACAAAGGCCAACTCTAATTTCTCAAAGAAATATTACATAAATAATTTCTTATATAGCCAGAAGTCTTACAAAATGTAAAATACTTAAGGAACAGACAGACCTGTTTTAATCATCACATGGACCTATTTATATTGCAACAAAATTTATTCTTAATGGAGTAGGACAAATTTCTGAAATAATTATGGGACCTGCTTCATATTACATTATAAGGTTTCTGGCTTATACATTTTATCTGTCCATTTTTTAAAAAATTTCCAAAACTCAAAAGGTAATTTTTATTTATATTTACTTATTTTTAAATGCTAACTCCAAGTACATTATAATATTTTCAATATAGGAAACTCATTTTATAAAAGAAAGAAAGTGAACAGGCCAGTTCTATTCCTAAAATGCCTGTAGGCCAACTGTTACTTTAGTTTCAGTAAGATCACAAAATTCACTTTAAAAGAAGAAGACAATTCAAAACAGAGAAATAAGTCCCTATGGGTATATTCAAATTACACTAGGTCCACTCAGAACAGACACTGATAATATTACTAGAATTTATCAATATACTAATTTTAGACATAAAATGGTACTTATAGTATGCTATGCCATGTGTGACGGTATACACTTGTAATCCCAATACTCAGGAGGCTGAGGAAAGAGGATCTCTGTGAATACCAGGCCAGCCTGAGCTATATAAGTGAGTTCAAGGCAGCCTCATTACACAGCGACACCTCGTCTCAGAAAAACAAACAAACAAAAAAAAACCACAAAAAATAAAAAATGAAGTATGGTTAAAAATAGAAATACAATGATTACAATAGTTCCTGCATTATATACAAAACAAACGAACAAGAAGTCAATGAAATTCAATACCTTTTCTTTCACTGCTTCTTGAGTGAAAATCGCTTTCTTCCTTTCTTGTTCAACTTTTAGTTTTTCCATTTCTAGTTGACTATTCAACAATGTCTAGTGGTGAGAGATAAAGTTAGATAATCCTCATGATGTTAATTCATGGCATTGTAAGTCAATTGAAAGTATGGAACAAAAAGTATAAATTCTTATTTTACTACTAGAAGACCAAGTTCTGGAAGCAGTAGCAGCATCCTCCATTCCATTCTTGGCAACTCATTAATTTGCAACACATTCTCTAATGTAAACCCTAAGAGGTGAGGGGCACATTAAGAGAAATACCTTTTCTTTCCTTGTCTCTTCAAGTGTTCTTACATATTCATCTTTTAGGTTTTCTAATTCAACCTGGTACCTAGTAAACCAGAGGGAATTAAACAAAACAGACTATTAAAACTATATAAAACTCACTACTTTTTAAAACTCCAGTTACATATTTAGTAGTCATTTTTATTACCAGCAAACAGTGTATGTTTACCAGATCACTAGGGTTTTACTCAGAAGTTGAGCTACAAATGAGAAGGCTCTACTTTTATTTACTGGTTAAGATTACATTCTTTTAAAAAAGTTTAAAAATGGCATTTTTAGTAGCACCATTCTATAATATGCTTAAATTTTGCCAAAGCAGGGGTTCTATCAAAATGTTTACAGAAGTTGAGATATTTTATTTTAATAAATCATTTTTACTTAACCACTTGTTTAAAAAAACATAATTTCCAAGGTAAAACTCAGAGGTAAAAACATTAATCACAACCTTAATATTATTTTCATATAGATAGATTTTATAACTGGTAGATCCCAAAGAACTCAAATATTTGAAGACTAGAATGCTGCTAAAACCACTATAACATAAAAATAACTTCAATGAGTGATCTCCATACTACTTTGTAGTGTTAAGAGTCCTTGGGAAAACCTGATTAATGATATAAATTACTTTCCAGGAAAAATGCAAATAAACATAAAACTATCACATAACTTCAAACCCCTATATGAAGTTTGAGGAATCCCAGTACTATATACCCCTGACTTTAAACACTACATGTATTTATTACTGTTGGTAAAAAAAAACAGTAATACATTTTTTTTTTGTCTGTTTCTTTTTTATCGGTACCGGGGATCGAACTCATAACCACTCACTTGTAAGTCAGGCACTTATGCCACTGAGCTAAATCCCTAGCCCCTAGTAAACACATTTTTTAAAAGTGCTTTAAACTGCCCTAAAATTAAAAAGAACAATAGTCAAAAAACATGCTCACCGATTATTTTCATCCTCCACCTTTCTAAGCTTATTTTTCTCTGATTCTAGCTGTGCCTGAAGTCTACTATTTTCCTGTCTTAAGAGAGAATTCTGGGATTCAACGGAAGACATCTGGGTTTTGTTGGCAAGGAGTTCTTCTGTAGCTGCACGTTCTCTTTCAACTGCTGCTGCCAATAAGGTCTGGGACTCACCTGGTTGCAGGACAGAAAGAAAAATCATGTGTACATACATGGGCATGACAAAGATAAAAATTGATTCTGACTTCAAACTCTTTCCTTTTTATTGGTATCAGGGATCAAACTCACGACTGCCTGCTTGCAAGGCTGGCGCTTATGCCGCTGAGCTAAATCCCCAGCCCCCTGACTTCAAACTTTTAACTGACAATGAATACAAAGTAGGCACACGAAAGGAGGTTTAACATTATTCATCATTAGGGAAATGCAAATTAAAATCATTGTATGTTATGAGTACATACAAAACACTAAAAGAAACACTGCTGAAACACTAAAAAAAAAAAAAAAAAAAAAAAAAATAGGGACCATGACAAAACGCTAGCAAGGATGTAAAGAACTGGCTTACTCTGAAACATATAGCCATGGTGGAAACAGTTTCGACATTTTCTTTGAAAATTAAACATACAACTACCATAGAATCTAATAATTGCACACCTGAGTATTTATACAGAAGACTTAAAAAATACAAGTCTACACTAATCTAGTATATGAACATACACGGGAGCTTCAGACATTACAGCTAGAAGTTAGAATAAGCGTGGATGTTTTTCAGCAAGTTTAAGGATTAAACTGTGTTACACAGTCTATGGATTAACACTCAGCAATAAAAATATTAACCTATTGATACACATAACTTAAATGGTCATCCAGCTAATTATGCTGAGTGAACAAAGCTAGTATCAAAGTGTCACATGTACAATTTTATTAATAAAACATTTTTGAAATGACAAAATTTTAGAAAGAAAGGACAGATTAGCAATTGGCAGGAACATAGGATGAAAAAAGGAGGGTTCAGACGGTGGTAGGTACCTTTATAAGGGGAAACATGAGAGATCTGATAAGTGTTGGGACCACTCATCATGCTGACTGTGGTCTATATACAAACCTACACAAGTGGTAAACTTGTATATAACCGATACACATAGAAATACATACCCAGAAAACTGGGGAAAACTAAATATAATTTGGCTTACAGTATCAAAGTCAATACATGGCTATGATATTATGAATTCATTTTGTAAAGTGTGTGAAGGACTTGTCTGTTTTATTAACTGTATTTGAATCTACAATCAGGTTAATTCAAAAAATTCAAAAGAACACAAAAGAGTACTGGATAAGGTTCTGAGATTTAACTGACAAGTAGTTGAATGAGTCTAGAGTAAATATCTTGCTTCAGACTGGCCAGGTGGTTAAATATACCAAGTCCATGACTCTCAACTCCTATTTAGCTCTGCTTTTGCCACTATATCATGACAGCCCTCAAGTTTTAGGTACAGCAGTTTATGCAACAGAAGCACATATCAATTTTTCATGAATTTGCTGGCTCTGAGATGTCTACCATATACATGTTCTACCTGTCTATCCCTGAAAAGAAACATCAGAGAATAACAACTTTCTTTTCATTAAAAGCATAGAAAGGCAACCTAAGGCGTATCTGTAAAGAGGCAAAATATGAACTGCAAAGATTCTACAGTATTTCTCTTTGGGATTTGAGCTTGACACTTTTCTACCTCTGCTCCTGGAATTCTACCAGTGAACTAGAAACCACATCTACCTACATATTACAGAGACACTAGAATGGGGTTAGATGTAGCAAAGGACAAGGAAAAACTACAGTGTAATAACAGGCTATAGAAATAAATGAAAGAGCAATGTGTAAGGGGAAAAAATGGTTTCAAAGAGACACAATTAAGGCATTAAGAACATAAAACAAGAAGAGATAAAAATCTACCTATAAAACATACACACACAATGAAACAAAATGTGATCATCAAATCAAGTTAATTTGCATTTCACACCATTATCCTAAGAATAGAAATAAGATAAGAACAATTGTGCAAAAACAAAAATAATTACCCAGCCTGTCAGAAAGATTCTTCTCCAACTTCTCCCATGATGATGTCTGGGACCCTAGGGTTGCTTGTAAATTTTCTATTTGTCTAAGCAATGGTCTGGTTGTTGATGAAACATTTTGACTCAGTTCTTGATTTCGATTCTCTGCTTCCTGGAGTCTCTGAATCAACAAACTCTTAAATCATTACCATGGACAGCAATAAAATTTCCAAAAATACTAGCAAACCTAAACTTTACCAGAGATTTCTGGAAAACTTTATTATTTCAAGAGAAAAACTACTTGTTTTTTACGAAATTTTTTTGTTCAATTCTTCAAGTATAAAAAAGTTGCATAGAGTAAATAAGTGCTTCTTAATATAGTATTTCTAAGAGAGTCTATGGTAATTGGAAGGTGGAAAGGAATCCATTCAAATGTCTCAGTAGTCTGGACCTCTATGTCCAAAGTTTTATAGTGTTTTTTGTTTTCTGAGACAGGGTCTTGCTATGTAGTTCAAGCTGGCCTGGAACTCACTATTAGCCCAGGAAGGCCTCAAATTTGCTGAGATCCTTCTGCCTCAAATAGGCATGCACCACCACACCCGGCTCCAAATATTTTTAAGCATGTATAAAAAAAGAAAGATCTACATAATTTATATTTCTTCTCTGTTTTCTTATGCATGTTCACTAACTAAAATTGAGTGGTGGCACAGACACCAGGCACTGATTATCTGCACTACAGTAATCAAAGACTGATGATCACTAATAAACCAGCTGTTACAAATCAAAAAACAGTATCAAAAAAGCTCGGTGGTAGAACATGCCTAATGCCTGGACTTAATCCCCAGTACCAGAAAACAAAGCACAACTACTAAATATACAAGAACTTTTCATGATAAAATTGGTTTTTTAAATAGAATTAAAGATTTTCCCATATATACTCTTAAAGTGTCCACTGTAGTTCATGTAAGCCACAAAAATACAGCAACTAGTAAGTATGTAAGTTATCCCAATGAATCATTTTTGTATTTCTAGGAAAACACACTTTTTGAATTTGTGACTAGGAAAACTGTGGCAATACCTGCTGAAGTTCACTGATCTCGTGGCGTAAATAATCTTCTTTCCTAGCAGCAGCTTGTTCTGCACGCTGCAGGGCTAGTCTGAGGTCCCCCACCTGGAGGATAAACAACACATATCACAATGTCAAAGAATTACAGATAACTCCTCATAACTACTCAATTTGTGTTGTGTTGACCTAGTGTTTATGCATAATACAGAATACTACCCAAGTTTTTATATACAATTATCATAATCCCATCTATCAAGCAATTCCAAAACAGCACGGATACTCATTACCTACTTTTAAAAATGCTCTTAGTGAAGGAAAAGATATAAAGATGTAAAAGCACATCACTAGCATACAGTGTTCAATAGATAACACATCCATAAACGCTTATCATATAAAGCAGAATGTGTCAGAAACTAGGTAAGCTATAAAAACTAGGTGCTACTACCTAGCATAGCAAGGCTAGCAGGATTTAATCCCTAGCATCACCAAACAAATGAACAAAACAACCAGTGATACACAAACACTGGTGCTTGCAGGGCACAGTGTTGTGTGCTATTAGTTCTCCTGGGGCTAAGATGGCACTGCTTTCACCCAGGAGTCTGCAGCCAGCCTGGCAATACAGTGAGACCCTGACTCACAATAACAACAACAATGAAACAACTAAGTGCTATATTCATACACAGCTGCACACATTTAAACTGCCACAGGGCTCCTGGAAAAAATATAGAAATGCATTTGAAGAATTAACTAAATTGTTTATGTCCTTTCACCTGGTCAAACTACTTCTAAAATTTACTCTACAGAAGCAGATATATAATTATACAGAGATGTCTCCTAGGCTACTACAAAAAAAAAAAAAAGAGTAAGAAAAAAAAAAACATCTGGAAGTATTCTAAATATCCATCAACAGTAATTTATATTTACCAACACTGATACATGAATATAGACATTAAAAATTATGATGATGTATAAAACATGTAAAATATTTATGATTTAACCTTAAATAGCAAATGTATAAGATACATCTATGATATTGATTACACAAAAATTTACATGGAGATATATCTCTATCAAATTATAAAAGATAATATACAAAATTAACAGTACATGTAAAACAGTGATTCTATGAATGATAGGCCCATATACTTTCTACCTCTCATTTTTCAGTTTTTCCTAACCTTGGGATACAATTACCACAACATGAGTTATAACAGCAAAACTGTAAGCAATAATCCAAACATCTTATATAAGAAATAGCTAAAAATACTTCACATAAATTTATAAAACTACAAAAAAAATTTTTTTAAGGACCTAGGGATAAGTGTACACATTTGTAATTCCAGCCCTCAGGCTGAGACAGGAGGACTGCCATGATTTTGAACCCAGCATGGCCTACATAGTAACTTCAAGACCAGCCTGAACTACAGAGCAAGATCCTGTCTCAAAACAAAAAGTTTCTTCTTATGACAAAACGATCCACTATTACATGACGCTGAGGGTATTTTACCATGTAAATAAAACAAGCTGTAAAATAGTAAAAACAGCAAATTATATTTTATGTAAGAAAGACGAAAATACAAATAAATGTGTACAAGTCAATGTGTGTGTGCATATATACATATATGCACACACACACAAATGTACAGCTATCTATATTATCTTCCATTTACAAGTAAAAATATTGAAAACACCAAAAAAAAAAAAAAAAAAAACAGTAGTAAAAGAGTTCCACGTAGGCAAAGAGAAGAATGGGAAAAGGCTAAGTTAGAAGCAAATGTTGTCTAAATATATTTTGTTAAATTGTTCTTCAGAATCATGTAAACATTTTATGTATCCAAAGTATAAAATTAAATTAAAAGTAACTGATGCCAATGAGCAAATAGTTTTCAAGAAACAGTGCTGAGAAAATAAGATATCTACATATGAAAATCTAATGTAAAAGCTATGATTGTAAAACTGGAAGAAAAAAAAAAGCTGTATGATCTTGGAATATACAATGATTTCTTTACCATGATGCCAAAAGCACAAGGAAAAAAGAAAAAAAGAGTTAAGCTGGACTTCATCAAAATTAAAAACTTGACTGGGTATGATGGCAATAACCTATAATTCCAGCACTTGGTGGGCTGAGGCAGGAGGATTGCCAGACTGGGCTACACAGTGAATTCAAAACCAGCCTGAACAACACAGTGAGCCTGTATCTCAAAAGAAAACATTATTTAAAACTTTAAGATAATCCATGGAAAAAGAAAATATTTAGAAATTCTTTATCTGATAAAGATCTACTACACAGAACATAACAAGACAAATAGTTCCATTAAATATGGGCAAAGGAGTTGGGGTAACTGAACAAATTTTACTAAGAAGATATATGAAAAATTGCTCATCATCACTGATTATTAAAGAAATGCAAATCAATCCCACTCTCAGATACCACTTCATCCCTACTAAAAGGGATATAATAAAAAACAAAATATACAAGGCAAATATTTGCAAGAATGTGGAGATACTGCAGTCCTCAACCTATTGCTAGTAATAACGTAAAAAGATGCAGCCACTACAGAAAATATGGCAGTTCCTCAAAAAGTTAAAAATAGAATTACCATGTGGCTCAAATTACCATGTCAGGTAGAATTGAAAGTGTATGTGTCGGGGCTGGGGATTTAGCTCAGCGGCATAAGCGCCTGCCTTGCGAGCAGGCAGTCGTGAGTTCAGTCCCTGGTACCGATAAAAATGAAAAAGACAAAAAAAAAAAAAAAAAAAAAGAAAGTGTATGTGTCCCTACAACCAGGCATGGTGGTACACACCTGTAATCTGAGCACTCAGGAGGCTGAAGCAGAAGGATCCCCATGTGTTTGAGGGCAGTCTGGCCTACACAAGGAGTTCAAGGCTAACCTGAGCTACATAGCAAGACCCTGTATCAAAAAAATGTATATTCCTACAAAAATTTGTACATATTTACAGCACATCAGTCATAATAATCAAAAAGCATACGTCATATACCTATCTGCTAATGATTTTATAAAACAAAGCCCACCAAATTTTATTTTTCTCCTTTCATCTGAGAGACATAAACTGCCACAAATTTTATTAATAAAGGAGTTAAATGTATTCTCTTGAAATTACATGCAATACATTTTTGAATTTCTTTTTTTTGAAACAAGGACTCACTAGCTTAGACAGACTTTGAACTCACAACAATCATTCTACCTCAGCCTCTTCAGTGCCAGAATTATAGGTGCACACCACCATTCCCAGCTAACATGTAATAATATACTTATGTGCATTTCTCTGGACGTGGGATATCTATAGGTTTCACTTTCAGGGAGGGTAGTAGTCCTAAGGATTGAACTCAGGAACTTGTATACGGTGAGCAAGCATGCTAGCACAGAGCTACAATCCAGCACCAGTAAAATTATTAAGTTAGTCTGAAATTCACACACACACACACACAAAATTGGCATCACTTTAACAGTACCTCTGGAAAACATTTAGAACTATTTTTGCATAATCCAGGAGTTTTTGAAGAATGCCCAATGCAATTATGATGGAAATCTAACACTTGCCCCACTACATAATGTTCAATTCACACTAGCTAAAGAACATACGTAAAGGTATAAAAGACTACTTTTATTCATCATCCTCTTCTTACTTGAATTGCTAATGTTTCTTGCTGCTGACGGGCTTCTTCTTGGGCCTTCTCTAGCGCTGCAGAAAGTTCTTCTTTAGCTTTCATTTCACGACTCAGAGCTGCTTCCTGTGCCTCACTATCCTTTGCAGCATTGGCTTTGTGAAGATCAGTAAGTTCTCTTAAAAAATTAGATTGATAATTTTTATTTAATAGACAGTTAACTACATGCCCAGGTTAATGAAGTTTCCATGTTCCACAGACTCTATCACATAACAAACACTGGTTATCAGTAAAGACCCTCTTTCCACTGAACTTGTCTTGACCAGTAATAAGCTCATAAAGAGACAAATTTATAAATGTTGCTAATGATTACATACTAGAAAAAACATTTCTCCAAAATCTTTGCTGATAAGTGATTTAAAATGGGCAGCATGTATGTGTATTTTCTTACTTGTATGCACTATCCAGGGCAGCCTGAATACTTCGGTTCTTTTCTTCGAGTTCATCTATGTCTACCTGAAGCCGACCAAGATCTTTCTCTTGGCGTTCTACCACAGAATTTAGTTTTTTAATATTTTCTCTATGCTGTTTCTCAATCTCTTCTTTGCCATCAAGGACCTATTATAAAAACAATGAAAATATTTTTAATAAATTATATAACAGTAAATAATAAGTGTTCCGGGAATCTCAATTGTAATAATAAATGTAACAAAAATCTTGATCTACTAAATCACTGAAAAAACTCTTCTCACGATACATTCCTACATCTCATTAAATCATTTCAAATGTTTCATAAGCAACAGTCAAGTGTTCATACAGAAAATGATAACTTACATATAGAGAATAATGATTGCTATTCACCTGTTTTAAATGCTGTAATTCCTCTTCTAGTTCTTTAGCTTTTTTGTTCAATTTTGCAATAATATTTTCATTGTCTTTGTCTTTTGTTCTCAATTTCTTAATGATGTTAGAGTTATGCAGCTGCTGCTTTGAAAGTTTTTCACCTGGTGATGGTAAAAAAGGGTAAAGCCAAATGATAATTATTTCCTAAGAATGTGAATATTTTATTTAACCAGTAATATAAAATGGCAATTTTTCAAAAACCAATTTGTAAGCTCAATGTTAAAACTGATTGGGACAAGGATCATCAGTGAAGCCGGGTATAGTGGCTCAGGCCTGTAATCCCAGCACTCGAGAAGCTGGCTGAGGTGGGAGGACCGCCATGAGTTCGAGACCACCAACCCCGTCTCAAAAAAAGACTGCATGGAAGCATACTAGAGAATAGGATACTGAGAATCTGTTACAAAATACTTCATCTACGAATCTTACGAACTGTGAAGTGAAAAGTATACTTTTATAATGAGAAACATGGCAGTTATTCCTTAACCAAGCACTGTGGTACCACTGTGGCACTGATATGATGCAGTAGTGAATTTACAATTATTAACCATCACATCAAATTCTGATGAATCATGATGAAAACTGAAAAATTTCTGAACATGGGACACCGTAAGACAACTGTCCTGGACACTACATACGGTCTTTAATGTAATGAAACAGAGCTATCTGAGGTTTGTGGAAAATTAAAAGGCAATAACAGACAAATATAATGGGCTATCTTTAATTAGACCCTAAAGCAGGATAAATGGCCAACTATAAAAGGCATTTTTGAGGTAAGTGATGAAATACTGACATGGGTTATACTTCTAAATTAATTCTGATATTCTTAGGTATTGTTATGGTGGTATGCTTGTGAAGGAAGATATAGAAATGCAACACTAAGGTGCCTTTAATTAAAATATTAGTTGCAAGTATTAATTACTATTCTTTAAGTGAAAAACTTTTAACTTATCCAAAACCTTATCCAAAACCTCCTGCCCTAGGATACTGCACAAAGAAACTGAATTATTCATTTGGAATAATGTATCTATGAAGGATCTTTAATTTCTACAACCTTGTTAACTATAAACTTATTCAGAAACTTTGAAAAGCTTATTAATTTAAAACTTAAAACATGAATACAATAAAAAAGTCACTATTAACACCAAAACCATACCATCTGGTGCTCAGAAACTATGTAAACCTCAGAATTAAGACTTTCAGACACCTTGTTTAAACCATGGGCTATTTTAAAACTTGTTATAAGGTTTCTTTTGGTTGTCTAATTTTTAAAGTCATTTTTAAAAACATTTTCCAGGCACAATGCACAATGGCACATGCCTTTAATTCCAGTACAGTACTCTGGAAGGCTGAGGCAGCAGGACTGCCAAGTTGAATGTAGCCTATTTAATTGAGCAACTTAGCAAGACCCTGATTGCAAAAAAAAAGGATGGATATGTAGCTCACTGAAAAGGCCCTGAGTTCAATCTCCAGTATCATTCTCACATTCAAACACACACACACACACCCTCAGAAACAAAAATCTGCACACATATTTTTCTACCTCAAGACACCTTTTTTTTGTCCCAATACAATTTACTCATTGTTCTTTCATAAATTGTCACCTTCAATTTCTGTGGTTTAAGTTCAAACCTTCCTTGTCATCTATGTGTATGTATGTGCATATTTACAAAACAAACAATGTTTTGAGACAAGTTCTTGCTATGCTGCCCAGGCAGTTCTCAAACTCATGGGCTTAAGCCTCCCATCTCACCATCCTAAATACTAGTTGGGACTAAATGTCACCATGCCCAGCTTAATGTTTGTAACAAGAAACAAATCTGCTTGCCATGTGTCAAATATTTCTTCTGCTTTTAAAATATTTTCCAAAATCAACAGAATACTCACCCTCTTCCATTAATCCTCGAATCTGTTCATCTTTCTCTTTCAAAAGATCTGCAGTTTCACTACTATTTAATCTAATGGCAAGTTCTTCTTTTATAGTTTTGATTTCCTAATTAAAAAAAATCTGTGAATACCATAATTACTTTCAACCTAATATATTTTTCTATTATTTTTCCCTATCTAAAAAATGCATCCATAATCACATTCTCATGAGTTTTGCTCAGTTAACCTACTAGCTTGGTTAAGTAAGACTAATAAAACAGTTTTCAAAATGATATACAAAACCTAAGTTAAGATAAATAGGCAGGTTTTAATATAGAAATAGAAATAAAAGTAAGTTAACTTTTAGTGGGGCGTAGTGGGGCACACCTGTAATCCAAGCACTTGGGAGGCTAAGACAGGAGGATCGTTGCAAGTTCAAAACCAGCCTGGGCTACAAAGTGAGCTCAAGGCTAGCCTGAACTGCATAGTGAGACTCTGTCTCAAAAAGACAAAAAAAAAAAAAAAAAAAATTAGTTGGGGCTGGGGATTTAGCTCAGTGGCATGCCTTGCAAGCACGTAGTTGTGAGTTCAATCCCTGGTACCAAAAAAAGTAGGTTAACTTTCAATATTCACCTTCACTATCTCTACACATACATTCTACATATTAAGCATTACATTGAGAATAGCACAGTAGGGAAAGAAAATTTGTTAGGTAGTCTCAAGTTAGTAGTGTCTAAAATAAGCTAGTTTATTTAATGTTCAACCAAAGCACCCAAGTAGGTGAAAGTGCCTGATTTACTGTCCATGAGTATACAGAAAAATTATAAATTAATACTGACATTAGTGAAAGGGAGAAAATAACAAGTAACTTAACTGAGGAAGGATGAATGTAGAGACAATGTCATTAGTAATAGCTGGGCTCAAGTACTACTCACTAACTCTAGTTATTACCAACTTCTGAAATAAACAACTATTCCAAACAGAAGCATTAACAACGGCTCCCTACCAGGGGTAACTGCTCTCAAGAGAATATTCAGCAATCTATAGCAACTGGCTCGAGGGAGAGTGCTACTAGAATGGCAAGGATAAAGGCCAAAGAGGTTGCTAATCATCCTGCAAGGCTCAGAACAGCTCCCCACAACACAGAATTACCTAGCCCAAAATGTCAATAGCATTGAGGGTGGAAATTCTGCATTCAAATAAGTCAACATTATTCCTCCCAAAAGACAATATTAACCACTAGAAATTTATATTTTAAAATTATGAAAACAAAAGTTCTTTGACTTAATGTATAAATATTTGAGGCATTTGGAAAATGAGAGTAATAATTTTTTAAAATGTATACAGTTCTGTTTAGATTTAGGTATTATTTTAATAAAACTATCATCCACAAAAACTCTTCTAATAATCTTTGCTATATATCTTACAAAGATTTACATATAAATTACACAAAGTAATATAAGCTTAATTCTTTTAAAATATCAAAATCTTGGGTCAGAGATATAGCTCAGTGGCGTAGTGTCTGCCCGGCAAACATGAGGTCAATGAGTTCGAGCCCTAATACCAAAAAAAAATCTTTAAATTTAAATGCATCAGAACTCTATAATTTATTTGGGTATTTTTGTTTGATTTTGGGCCCTTAAGTCACTGAGCTAAATCCCGACCCTATAATTTACTCGTTAATATGCTATTTCCTCTTAATCTTACTTTTATTCAATACAAAATGTGATGAGTGCATTCACCACAATCTTTCTCTTTAGAGTTTAATTACAATTATTTTAAGTTTCTATTACCTTTTTAGCAGCATCTCTCTCTTTGCAGGCTAGCTGAACTTTCTTTTCTGCTTCCGCAATTCTTTGAGTGAACTCATCTTTCAAGGATGAGATGCTACTGCTTTCTTCTTTCACTCTGAACATTTCACTACATTTAAAATATTTGAGAATGAAGATTGTTTATATACTAGAAAGGTAACAAGATGAATTCAGTTCTCCAACATATACCTCATTAAAATAGACTGGTTTTCTATTAACTTTTAAGAGAAAAATTACTTCTTAAATTTATTTTAAAATAGGTCAAATAATGAATTAGAAAATGTCACCTATGCTTGATGTGTAAAACTAAGAAACAAAATGTTTAATTTTGAATCTTATATCACATTTCCCTAATTACCACCTTAAGGCAAACCAACATGCAGTATTTTAACTATATTACAGATTCTTTTAAAGACATGTTTATTTATTTTTGGATACCAGAAATCGAACTCACAACCTCGTGCTTGCCAGGCATACACTGTACCACTGAGCTATATCCTCGGCCCCTAAAGACATGTTTTAAATTTCTAATGTGAAATGATTATTAATAATAACGGAAACTGTAGTTTACGCAAAACATCTCCCTTCAGTGCCAAAGGCAAAATGGTAAAGATAACTCCAGGAGAAAAGTAATCTTAAGATAAGTTTCTTGGGGCTGGGGATTTAGCTCAGCGGCATAAGCGCCTGCCTTGCAAGCAGGCAGTCGTGGGTTTGATCCCTGGTACCGATAAAAAGGAAAAAGACAAAAAAAAAAAAAAAAAGATAAGTTTCTTGAGTGAAATGCTATTCAATTTTCAGTAATTATAAAAGTTAAATTATAAAACATTTTAATAACATTCTTAAATAACTGCAAAGTATTACATGCCTCCACAAAGTAAAAAATTATCATATTCGTAGTATACTCACTCTTTTAGGTTATCATAAGCTTCTTCTAAAAGTGCTTTTTCTTTACTGAGAGTTAGTAACTGAGCCTCTCTTTTTTCCAGTTTCTCATTCAGGAATTCAACTGTCTGGACACAAAGTACATAAAAGTCAAAACATGTACTTTTTCAAAAGATCATTTGTGCATGCAGGTGCTAAGCTGTAAAGGTATCTCAATCACTATACTAAAAATAACATTATCTCATAAAAACAATTAAAAACAGTATTGGGAACACAGTGGAGACAGAACAAGAACACAGCTGGTAGAACACAAATTGGAACAACCGCTTAGCAGGTGGGAGTAAAAATACACCACTTTGAAAAATAGTTAAACAATATCTAATTGAATGTCTGTGTCCTTTGAGGTATGAAAAGTCCACTTCCAGGTAAACTTAAAGGAGAAAACTACAGGTAAATACACTACACGTGTTAACTACATTTGCAACAGCTTCTCTGTTAACAGCAAAACTCTGGGACAATCATTATATCCAACAAAAGAGGAAAGTATGCAGAGGTAATCAAAAAAGATCAAAGAGGAGGTCAAAGAGTATCTGTTTTCCACATTATCCTTTAACCTAAATATGTAAATTTTTTAATGTGATACACTGTATTTAAAAAAAAATTAATTTTGGCTAACTCATGGTCAATCAATATTAAAATTTCCAGACTATATCAATTAAGGCAAAACAAAAAGCAATTCCTAGAATATTATTCCTTGGCTCCTGCAGAAGCAGTGATAAATTTGTGTGTGGGAAGAATGGGTAACTTCTGGACTAAAAAAATTTTTTTCATCTGAGTTAAGTGTAAGCTAACCAAAAAGTCACTTGCCTGAGGTAAACTTAAAATATTCAAAAATATTTTATTGATAGTCACTTAGTGTTGAGTTCTAGGAATTCAAAAAAACCATTTCATATTTTATGGTACTTTGCAACTACTAATTGGAGTAATATTGCATGACATTTTGTTTCTGTGTTAATATTGAACTTAGGAAACAGAATCCCATCCTTTAAAAAATATTAGACAATTCAATACATGGCATTTTAAAATACCCTATGTCTCATAAGTTTATTCAAAATGTCAGTACATATACATAAGATAGTTATACAGCTACTTCCTCTTTTTTTTTTTGGTCTTTTTCCTTTTTATCGGTACCGGGGATCGAACTCACGACTGCCTGCTTGCAATGCAGGTGCTTATGCAGCTGAGCTAAATCCCCAGCCCCTAGCTACTTCCTCTTAATTCACTGAAAAGAAAGACTTGTACTAATATTGTTTGGACAATATTTTATGCCTATTTCTTGTACTCTGAGTAACTACTATGAAGATAACTATGCAATATATTATTGTTACTCTGTTGGCCTGATTTGAAACTGTTTTATTTCTATTTTTCCTCTAAAAAAAAATTAGATTCAACTCATTTACTATATATAAAAATCACAGGAAAAACCAAAATTGTGACTTAAAATTAAAGACTCTATACCACTTTCCTTTAGGATGATATTAGGTAGAAGCAATATGTCATTCCTAAGTATAATGATGTCTTTGTTCCTTGGACATTTCCCTTTCTCATGCATGTAAGACAGTTTTCAACAGGAGATATTAAAAATATTATGTACATGCACCAATTCCCCATAAGGAATGTCAACATTATGTATCACACACATGTAGTAATAAAAAAGTAAAATAGGGAGACCAGAGAACATGGCGGACAGACAACAGCAACTACCAGAGGCTCTCTGAAAGGTTCGGCTCAGAGGCCAGAAATAATGCGGACTAGGGAGACACGAATCAGTAGAGATATGCTCTGCTGACTCAGGAACGAACTGGGCTGAGAGAATCCAACTTGGAATACAGTCCTGGCGCTAAAATAGGAACAGAAAAATCTCGGTGTGGAGGCTCGACTCCGCGCCATCGGAAACCGGTTTGGATTTCCCGCCGTGCGGCGGCCGGCTATCTCCACAGCGGCTCAGCAAGGAGAGACGCGCCGAGCTCTGGGAGCGCCGAGCTCTGGGAACGGGAGAACGGAGTCGAAAAAAAAAGGACGGACAGAGGTGTACACGAAAACTGACTGGTGGCGAGGTGAGTGAGAATCTGACCCCCCACCACAGTTTGACTCTAGCGGAGATCTCTCTGGGCGCCATTCCCCTCTCGGACGGGATTGGAGAAAAGTGCCTGGCCTGAGTGACGCTGCTGGCGGACTCTCTAGGCTAGACTAGCCTAACCCAGATCCCAGAGCCGGACGATGGCCCGGAGGAGCGACTGACTTCCGCGTAGGCTGCCTCCTCCGACTCCCTGGTGCGCAGCGGTGGGCGGGAACAACTAGCCAGCGCAATTTGATCAGGCTGTGGCTGACAGGCAGGGAAGCCGGGCCTCCTTTGTAAGATTGCATTTTATAAGGAACAAAAAATATGGGGAAGGGAAGCAACAAAAAAAGCTCCTCAGCCCCCAATCCTGAGAAACAGGCAATAATGGACGCCGCACCAGTATACATTAAGCACCATATTGAGAGCCTCATAGACCAATTCAGGAATGAAGTTATCAATGATCTGAAGCTAGAAGTATGCAGAATAGTTAGAGAAATGCTAAACACCACCCAGGAAAAAACAGATGGTGGAATGGAAGAACAGAAAAAGAGGGGAGAATTGCTTGATGGAGAAAACAGAGAAAGCATTGAGTATGTGAAGCAGGTTCAAAGGGACTATCAAGAAATTAATAAGTCTATACAAGACTGGCATAACAGCTTGAAAGAAACTAAGGACAGACTATCTGAACTGGAGGGCAGACTTGAAATATGGGAGAATGAAATGAAAAACTTCTTAAAAATAACAAAGAAACAAACAGCAATAATACAAAGACAAGAAGATGATAAGAGGAGCCACCACTTAAGGATTAAGAACATAGAAGAAGAAGTAGGGACACAAACAAGTGAATTACAAAAGCTACTCACAGAAATAATCCAGGAGAATTTTCCTAATTTAGCAAAAGGTAAAGATACTCAGCTGTATGAGGCATACAGGACCCCAGCTACCTACAACCCTAACAGAGAAACACCCAGGCATATAATAATAAAAATCCCAGAAATTCAATACAAGAACAGAATATTAAAAGCTGTAAGAGACAAGAAACAGATCACTTACAAAGGAACACCCATCAGAATTACAGCAGATTTCTCTTCACAAACCATCAAATCACGAAGAGCATGGGGGGAAATAATTCAAGCTTTGAAAGATAATAATCTCCAGCCAAGATTGAGATATCCTGCACAACTGTCCCTGGAAATTGATGGAAAAACGAGGTGCTTCCAGGATAAAGAGGAACTGGGGGAATTTGCAACCACCAATTCAACTCTACAGAAAGTATTGCAGGATATTCTAAAAAAAGAAAAATACAAAGAACCCAGAAATAGTGGCAGGGAGGCCACAACGAATGGAGCAGAGAACAAAATGAAGAAGACAAACTGACAGCTACTGACAGAAAAAGAGCTCAACAGAAATGAGACAGAGAAGATTGGATGATAGGAACAGCTATTTTTGAGAAAATGACATCTTAATAGGTAATGCTGATTCAGTACCATCTTGTTTTGAAGTCTCATCTAGCTTTTGTTCTTCTGTCTCCAATGGTCTAACCAGGTTGTATCTTATTGGATTTTGTTATGTACGTTAGTATAAGCAAAAACCTTTTAAAGACAAGGAGATTATACAGAGACCATTGTTCATTTTCTGTTAGTCAATTCCAAATACTCTATAATGCTGTCATTCTCTTAAATGGTTTTACATTGTTTTGATATACTTAATGCTACAGTATATGAAGTTGTACTCAAGGACTTCAGGGAGGGAGTCAATATGGTAACTATTTTTAAGTCGGAAATATCTGGTGGTGAAACACTATTCTGCTTAAAAGGTTATGTTTTGATCTGCCCTGTTTCGCTGTTATGCCCTCTTTTTCTTTTTCTCAATCTCCACTCCATTATATACTTTTTTATTGTTATCCATTTAATTAAAGGGAAAAATATAGCAGGATATAATATAGTAACCCACTTTGACTTTCTATTTTCTCGATTTGAAGCCCTGTATTACTCTCACCATCTTGTTTTTGACTGAGGTTCCTCTATTCTGTTTTGCTGAATAGTATCAGGTTCGAAAGTTTAGGCATCAGCTGAGAAGATAATGAGATTCATTATAACGCCCATTCTCGTTGACTTCTATCTACTTTTGAAGACCTACAATATCTCCAATGTTTTGGTTTTGTCGGTTTTATCCTTTATGGTTTTGTTCAATAGTATTACAACTAATGATATAGGCAATTCTATTAGAAATAGCGGGAGGCATTAGGGTAACCATTGTTGATCACCTTGTATTATGTTTTTATATTATCTATTATATCCACCCTTTTGACTTGACCGATTCTGTTCTGTTATGTCACATTTGGTTTTACTCTCTTCCAAAAAAGCAATAAGAACAGTGGGAGCAATGAAACCCAAAATGTGTAATAGTCACTGTACAAAAGAGAGGAAAAGAAAATGCTCTAAACTATATAACTGCATGTATATTTAAATGTATAAGACAGAAAATGATATCACAGAGTTCTAATGGATCATTGAACAGAACTGTTTGCAGTATCATTGCTGGAATGTCCACTCTACAAACTTTAATTCTGTGACTTGAACAATTATTTCTAAGATGGCAATATGTAATCTATTAACTAGTGATTTCCTACTGCGCATTTTTTTCTTCTGTAAATCTGTATAACTTGTACCCTTCACTGTTTTTTTTTTTCTTTTCTTTTCTCCTTAAATAAAAATTAAAAAAAAAAAAAAAAAAAAAAGTAAAATAAAGATCTACAAAGGTCAAAAAAATAACAAGGAACTAAAACATTACAAGAAGTATACTTCCTATATATCAGTGAATATTAAACTAAAAGGACAGTATCAATAATTAAAGTCTAAATAAAAGATGTAATTTAAAATTTGGTTTTTGCTTTTGTTTTTGGTGGGTGCTGGGAATCGAACTTAGGACCTCACACTTGCCAGACAGGTGCTGCACCACTGAGCTGTATCCTGGCCCCTTAAAATTCGGTACAACTTATGTGATCATGCAAAAGCTTTTCATCTAAGAAGTCGTAATATTTAGGTTCCTTTTAGTATACATATCTGCAAAAGGGCTGAAAAAATAGGTTAACGTAAGAAAATAGTCCTTGAAAGATACATAGTAAAAGAGAATTTTAAAGTGATAAAGATAAAGATGGGTAGGGTAGTACATGCCTGTAATCCTAGAACAGCACTTCTGGAGGTTGAGACAGGAAGATCACACATGAAAGCCAGCCTGGGATATACAGAGAGTTCAAGGACAGCCTTGACTACTTAGTGAGACCCTGGCGGGCAGGGTGGGAACAGACTGAGTAATAAAGATGTAAAATGCAACCTGTTCTACCACTGTTCCTTTGGAAATTTTTCAAATAATTTAATATCAGTAACATTTAATTTAAAGGTCCTGAAACCTACATTAAAATGGCAAAATATTTTTTTTCTTTTGGTACTGGGGATCAAACTAACAACCTTGTGCTTGCCAGGCAGGTGCTTATACCACTGAGCTAAGTCCCTGGCCCAATATCTAACTTTTAAACTACTATAAATCATTATGCATCAATGAGAACGTTTCTACATGTTCTAAATTTCACCTCTGAAACATATATACAAAATTTCTACATTCCACAATTACCTCGCAAACATCTCCCCTCTCACAAAGTGCTTCTGGCGGACTTTCCGTAGCTTCACACCGCTCTACCCCCTTGTCCAACACAGCATGTCCTTCACTCAGAGGTGTAGAAGAAACCAATGTATCTGGCTGCTCACAATTAACAGGAGTGGCACTTCGCCCACTTTCTTCCATTTCTGCTTCCTCAGCAGGTATATTTAATGTTTCATTTACTTCTTCTTCAGGTTTTCCTTCAATAGATTCAACTATTTTAGTCTTTGGGGTTGAAGGATTAACTATAATAGGCACTAAGGCATATCCCTTGCCTGGCAATTCATCATCTGAATTGATTTCGCTTACGCTCCGGCTATCTAATGACTGTACACTAAATGAGTCTATTCTTTCAAAAGCATCAGATGAGCAGCAGCTCTCGTTTAGTTTCTGGAAATCATCTAAACGATTATAATCTGGACAAGCAGATGCAGTGAGAAGCTGGAAAGATGTCTGCATCAGGTGAAGGCTTGATTTTGCATCTGTAGTCTCTTGCCTTGAACTCGCTGAGCTCTCACTTATAACACTCTCATGATCTAAAACTTCAATGTCACTGGTGGTAGAAGTACCTGATGAGAAGGTACTAACAGGAGGAGAAGGAGTATTACTCTGTCTGTCTTCATGCTTTTGTTCCTTAGGTTCCAAAGCCACGTCCTTGGTCTCTGTAGTGAGAGACTGTGTAGAAACAGTAGATGCAGTTTCTGTAGTTGTCTTTACATTAGTTACGCTTTCAGATACTTTCAAATGTACAGCTGGCCCCTTCCCATCAGGCTCTTTATTAACAGTTTCGTCATGCTGGCCTTCAGTTTTAGGTGGAGAAGCTACTGTCAGACTTTGCTCTGATATACACAAAGAAGAGTCCTTCACCTTTGTTTCAGTTGTTTCAGTAGTTTTTGACTTTACAGTGTGTAAAGACTCAGATAAGGTGCTTTTCACTTCTTCTTCTGGTCGCTGTGATTTAGCTGGGGGCTTTGAAACCACTGGACTCTTCTGAATGGTCTGGACATCGGCTGGAGAGAGAAAGGCACTGAAGAAATTTTCAGATTCATCTACTACAGTCCTCCGAACTGGCTTTGTAATTGCTTTAGGAGAGGTTGTTGGTGGACTCTGGGGTTCAGTGTTCGATTTCAACCCCCAGGTTGAAGTATCCCATCCTCCACTCACAGGGGAACTTATTCCTTTGACAAAAAATATTCAAATATATTTATATTAGATTAATATTTCAATCATTATAAATGTGAATTTACATATCTATGAAATACAGCCTGTAACTTGACTGTTAAAATTCTTGCTTACAAACCAGGTGTTATGGCATATGCCTGTAATCCCAGCACTTAGGAGGCTGAGACAGGAGGATAGCTGTAAGTTCGAAGTCTGTCTGGGTTACATAGTAATTCAAGACCAGCCTGAACTAATTGCAAGACTCTATCTCAAAAACAAAAACAAAAACAAAAACTCCTTGCTCACTGCATCGTTAATTAGTGCCTGGGTTAATTCAGGGCCTTAAAGAATAAAACTAATGTGCACTTGCCTCAGAGGAACTAGTGGTACAGGTAAGAGATCAGACCTGGCCTAGAGTAGTAGAAGCAAGTATGTCACTCCCTCCCACAACAAATTAGGAAAGTAATGGTATATGATTTTTAATCCATAACTCCAAGATACATATGATTCATCTCACCAAAAAACCCTTATTTTACAGGTCATATGCAGTAATGGCAAAATTCCGAATTTAGTTTTAGTATTATTTTTATTCTTGTAATATCGTAATAAAACATAGTTACAAGAAAAACAAATGGCAACACTCAAAAACTGAATCCAAAATAATGGAGATGAATATACTTTTCAGAGATCTAATTAAACTGATGGGAACAGGCAGTTCTAGCAAACATATTCATTTTCGTCCACTTCAGTGCACAAGCATTTTCCAAGTCCCACTCCCCAAACCTACTCTACAAGTTTTTTCTTCCTCTTAGAATTTGCTTCTAACTTCCAAGTTATGCCATCAATTTTCATTATAATTTCGGAAATGTGCAATTTTTAGTTATTGCTTTTTCATATAAAAAGTAGTAACACACTAAAGAAAAAAATAAAAAGCACCTGACACTAGGATCTTTTTTTTTTTCTATTTGAGACAGGGTTTCATTATGTAGTTCAGGCTAGCCTTCAACTATACAACCCAGGCTGGCCTAGAGCTCACAGTATCCTTCTGTCTCAAGCCTCCTCAAGTGCTGAGATTATAGGAAGATACTACCAGATTCTGCTAGAATCTTTTTAGAATACAGTATTATAGAGAAAATAAATTCTAGGAAAATGGTAATTATATCAGTCACAGAAACAGCAACTACTAAAAACCCAATGATAAAAATGGCTATTTGCTAAAATATGTAAAGCACGCTTTAACTTTCTTTTTCTAAATTAAAAAGTGGCTGAGCAGAATTACAAAAGATTTTGCACAATTAGAAGTTGGTGGGGGGCTGGAGGTTTAGCTCAGCGGCATAAGTGCCTGCCTTGCAAGCAAGCAGTTGTAAGTTCGATCCCCGGTACCGATAAAAAGGAAAAAGACAAAAAAAAAAAAAAAAAAAAAAAAGTTGGTGGACAGAGCACAAATAACTAAAAGCCCCTGTGGTAAAGCCTATTCATTATTACAACTTTAAAGCTGACTGGAATAAAAAGTGCATATAAACATTTCAGTTTGCGGATAATGGCTTTAAATTCATTTATTCAATATATAAAAATAAGAACTCAAATTAAAGATTCAAGTGAACATGCAAGATTATGTCTGCTGATAAGCTTATCACTATCCTAATGTATGACAGAAATTGTTTGTTCTTAGAGAATGGTTTATACAGTACTTGTAGGGTTTCCTGACAACCATTTAAACTACCCCATTCTCAAGATTTATGGTCATTTTTGTAAACACAAGAAGCAATCCATAAACATTTATGGCCCTTAACTAGAACCTGAGTCCATTATTTCAAAAATAAATTATATAGCATAATGCATGTCCCAAATCTCAGAAAATGAGTAGCTTTATACTTGAAACTTACATTCTCAGTTTAGTAATTTCACATATAAGGTCTACATAGGAAAAAAAAAAAAAAAACAAATTGAGATACTCCAGCACGGTTAAGTATCACCATGTAAAAAGTAGTAAGATCATGATATAAAGATATTGTATCTTAAAATGAGGTGTCTCCAATTTAGGCCTTGATTTCAACGATGTAAAATTTAAAAAAAAAAGGACTTATACTTTCAAAACCTGGAAATCTTCATTCACACAGAGAAATGCTGAGTTTTTCCTTAGGTAAAGAGCAAATGAGTTTTGAAAGGTTAATTTCAGAGAATGTAACAGACGTGGCTATGCAAAACAATTCGATACAATCTAAAATTCCTGGACCACAGATTCCATGCCACTGGTAATATCTCCGTCAAATCCTACCCCTTGACTGCTGTGTGACCAACAGCAAGCTCCTCAGGTGTTCTAAACCTCATTTCTATCTTCTCTAAAACCTGGGTATTAACAAACCTACCTTGTGGAGCTGAAGATGAGAAATCCATGTAAAAAAATCTTTTGTGGAAAAAAAAAAAAAACTTTTGTGCTAACAAGCACCAAGTACTCATTAAATGTTAGCTATTGTTCCATCCATCCCTGCGCATTTACATACTTCAGACCTAGGTGTCAGTGCAGCAACTCCAGGTTCAAGAAGACTGGGACAGTAGAAAATGAGCTTAGAGACAAGACCAGGAAATAGAGGACCGGGCACCTCAAGTCAGCAGGACCCGCACTCAGGACAAAAGGCACCGAGGACTGTGGGGCTGCGATTTCCTACAGACAAACTGCAAAAACCAACTTGGAAACTAAAGCAGCGTCTGGGAAAGAGCCAGGAACATCAACCACTAGACCGGTGTTATTTGAAGGAAGCCTGTGGGGCCCAGGGCGCCCGCCACCATCCCACCGCTTACCCGGCTCTCCGTAGGGAATGGTCTCCACCCAGGCGCTCGGCTCCTCCTCCTGGATGTCCAGGACCCTGTCGATGGACTTCTGGGCCTGGGACAGGGCCTGTTTGGCGAAACTGGAGAGCTGGGAAGCGTTGAACCAGCTCATCGCTCCTGTTCAGCCAGCGGTGGTGGCGGCGGCGGCTCCGAGAAGGCCGAGGGCCAGGCCGGGCACCTCGGGCCCTAAAGAGGATGCGGCGGAGCGGCCTCGGCCCCTCAGCCACTGTGCTGGCAGTCAGCAGGGACCCATGGCCCTGCTGTCTCCCCCGAGACAGGAGTCTCACCCAGCTAGCCGCGAACAGCTGAGAGGAAGGGCCCCGCCTACGCATGCGCGGGCTCCTTCCACGTACACAACCACCAGATCCGGGAGCCCAGAGTTCCGGCGAAGCGGAAGAACCCCTCCGAGAACGTGACGTAATATCCGGAAGCCCGAAGTTGCTGTTAGTTGCCACGCAACGCCACTTGCTTTTGAAGTGCTCCAAACTAAAGAGTAGTGTTTGGTCAGGAGGAAACTCTGATTACCAGGAAGCAAAATCCTCTGTGAAGAATGAGTGAGCTTCATGTAGGTTCTCTCCCAAAAGATAATTCAGGTGTTAAAGTCTATCACCGTGCCAGTCCTAACTAGAGAAAAAAGGAAATTTGAGTGTGGCACTACTCTTAGCATTTTGACTTAAGTATTTAACCATTTCCATTACCTGAGCCTTAAAAGAAATCTTGGTTTGGCCTTGCCTACTACTGTGAACACTCTTGTATCATGAGAGGGTCAGTCTTTCCCTTCAGTACCCCTACACTCACTCCCTGGGTCAAAACATTAGCACAATGGTCTTGAGTGTCTGCTTGCTACCCCTTCCCGAGATTCCTATATTTAAACCAAGTCCCCAGGAGTTGAGGATTTTAGGTTGTTAAGTCATGAGAGTGGAAAGGACCAGGAGTTTCTGTTTGTCTTTTCTACCATAGGATATAGTGAGAATATGCCATCTATGAACCAGAAGAGTACACGAGTCCCCCTCACTTGGTTCCTTGATCTTGGACACCTCAGCCTCAGCACAGTAATTAATTTTACTTATAAGCCGCTCAGTTTACAATTTGTTACACCAGTTCAAAGGGATAAGCCACCTAAAACACTATTACTTTACCAATGTATCCTGTGACATTTCTTAAAATACCTTTTCTACATGCACTGCCTTCAACATGTGGCCATGGAAAGAAATCTTAAATTGACTGCTTTTCTAATCTAGCCAGCAGCTGTGTTTGTTTGGCCCCAATAATGTTAAAAATACTAAATTCTACCAACACTTAAAAGTAATGTAATATAAAAATTCAGAACTCCAACTGTTTTTGAAAAATATGACTAATAAGGGAATACTCCCCTGGAAATGGCCATCCTTCAATAAACAATTTTCATGCACTCAAGTTTCCCATACACCCACCACACTCACTAAATTTCATTCATTCTCTCCCTGCTGTGATTATTCCCTTAACCTGCCTATTGTTCATATGGTGTTTATCCCATCACAAGAAACTATAACATTAAAAAATTATCATTTTTTTTTACAAAAATCAACTGGAACTGAATCCTCAACATGTTCTCCATTCTATTCTATTTTTTTCCCTATTGCACTAAGAATTGAACTCATAACTTCCTGCATGCCAGGCAAGCACCCTACCATTGAGCCACAACCCCAGCTCATATCATCCCTTAATATTTTATGGTTTTCCAATTTTATATAAGTACATTAATATGTATATGATAGGGAGCTTCCATGGGTGATGACTGAGAAGTGGGTTTTTGTGAGCCTAAGAAGGTATAGATCTGTACCATGTCCTCACAGATCTGTTGTTCCCAGCCCTTAGGCCTGAAAACGAGGAGCAACATGCCCAGAATCAGTTATAAGACAGGAAAAGGAAAGGAAATCCTCATAGAAAAACTCTACAGTGAAAATGATGGAAAACGGAAGAAAGTCAGAACATCAAAGTAGTCTGAAAATGAAGCCAGGTAACAAAGAAAAGCTAAAGGTAGAGGGCAACCCAATATAAAAAGGCAAGTTTGAGGATGAGGGAGAGATATATGATGGGCAATAAAAGAGAAAGCCAGAAAAATCACAGAGAATTAGAAAATGACAGCAGGCTGCAGCCACCCCTGGGGAAGAACCACCAGTAGTCTCCTGAGATCTGTACCATGTTGCAACTTAGGACCCTGGGAAACCAAGCAAGCAGCTCCCCTCCCTGGTAAGCAGCTGTGGTGTGGCAGGCTGTGACCCCTCCAGGGGGACAACCACCAGCTCCTGAGACCTGCACCATGTTGGAACTTAGGACGCTGGGAAACCAAGCAACCAGCCTGTCTCCGTGCTAAGCAATAGTGAGCCTACTGGTGCTGAGAGTCAGTCATCCCACTTCCCCTACTCCCTTTCTCCTGCCCCCCATTAGCAAATGGGAACCAGAGATCTGAGCATCTCTTGGGAGGCTGACCATAGCAAATAAAGGGGATTTCCTTCTACCATCTCTTTGAAGGCAAATATTTTTATTACCATTTTGCTTTATTCTGATTAATGGCACTGCTCTATTCAATATTGTTTTGATAAGTCCTATAATGTACTGTATTTCATTTTGATATATGTGATTGAAAGAACTATTGTGAAAATAACAGGATATACTGTGATACCTAGTACTGTTATCCCAGTAACCTGCTGTGAAGTTCTGTAACAATTTTCACTACACTGTCTCAGTTGGCTTTATTCTGTCTTGTTCTGTTGTATTTTACTACCTTCAAAATAAAAATTAAAAAAAAATACAGCAAGCCAGAACAGTCTAGGCAGCAATAGTGAAGAAGCCAAAAGCATCTGGCTGAATACATATGCCCCAGAAGAGGGTGGGGAGAATCCCCCAAAGGACTCAGGAGGACTACCTAAAAGGCATTTGAGCATATGACAGAAATGTTCAGATGTATCTAAAGCTCAAGAGTTAAGGAAAAAACTGAAAATAGGTGTTTTTTACTAGGATGCAAAGAAATGTATAGGAAGCATTTGTCCCAATGGAACAAAGGAAGGGGATAAAGTAGGGATGATAAAGGGCTTACATAGTATCTCAAAACTTCAATATCTTTGACCTGGAATTTGGACGCAGAAAATACTCGCAGTCCTGCTTTCCCTGGTAGATACTTCCCAGAGACTAAGGGGATTTACAGCAAAGAACAGTTGGGAATCCCTGTCCCATGATTAAGTGTAAACATCTGGGCAACTTCCTACTCTTTATTCTGCTATCAAATGGAAATAACTTTTACCTTCTCATAAAGCTGCTCTGTGACTCATTACAGTACCTCTATAAAAGAGATGCTGTTAAATTTCTTCATCTCAAAAACTGAGGACAGGCCAGGGATGTAACTCAGTGGTAGTGATGGCCAAAAAATCTATACATAAGGCTCTGAGTTAAATTCTTAGATTTGCTTGAGGTAGGGAGGACTATGTAACTTTACACTAAAGCACATAAAATTACCCAATATGGCTTTTATAGTGAAGTAATTTGTCAATATGGAAATATAAAAAAATTAAAACTCAATCTACTGAAAATCACAAAACTCTTGAAAAATGCCATCTAGGCTGGGCATGGTAGTACATGCTATAATCCCAGCCAACTGAGAGGCTGAGACAGAAGGATTGCAAAATCAAGCCCAATTACTCAGTGAATGAGATCCTATCTTAAAATTTAAAAAAATCAGAACTATGTACCTGTTCCCACAGTGTAACAGCACAACCCAGGTTTTTAGTGCTTAATTTGTATTTCAAGGATTTTTGAGAAACAAAGGAATGGCAAATGTTATGACCTGTATCTAGATATCCCCCAAAGTCTCACAGTCACAGGTTGAGCTTTTTGGGAGGTGGCTGATTCTAGGTTGTGTGCTGTTGGGATCAAGAATGTAATGCTGGGATTGACTCACCAGTGATAGGAGTATGGGTATATGTGCTACCATCCTAACAGTACCCTGGGTAAGATGTAAAACACAGAGCTGCTGTGCTTGCAGCTGATCATGTGCTTGCTGCTTTGACTATCTTCTGTCATGAACTGTTTCTCCTCCGTGAAGCCCCTCACCAATGCAGCCAGTCAACTATGAACTGAAACCTCTACAAACTTGTGAACTCAATTAAACCTCCTTTAACTTTGGGTATTGTCTCAAAAAGAGAAAGTAACTTTGGGTGTTTTTTCTCAACAAGAGAAAGTAACTTAAGACAAAATTTGGTGCCAGAAAAGTAGGATCACTGCTGTTACTATAGCAGACCAGGTTGTTCAAGAGCCTTTGGAACTGGCTTATGGGAAGTTTGGTAGAGTTGCCATCTAACAAAGTAGCCCAGGAATGCCTAAGGCTGTGCTTGATTTCTGGCCAGTGCTCTAAAGACCAAAATGTTTATAGAATTGCTGCCAGTAAAGACCAGGCTCCAGAAGTTTCTACTGGAAGACTGCATTAGCTGTTGGACTCCACATAGTGTGTTATACCTTAGCAGAAAATTTGTTCCCTTTGCTCATGTTCCAGAGACTGCCCGAGACTGAGATTAAGGGTGAGACTAATTAATCTGACCAAAAGAAATTCCAAGGCAGTCAAATGTTGAGGACATGGCATGGTTGCCATTGGGGACTTTCAGACAGATTTATGTTCAGAATCAAGAGCAAAGAGCCCAGGAAAACGCTTAAAAAATTAAGAGTTTGGCCAGAAAGGAAGCTTCAGTAAAGTTGCTGCCTGCTAAAATGGAACTGGTAGCTTAAAAGACTAGCAAGAAAAAGTCACATAAACAACATAAAAGATGGCCTGAAGAAATGAGAACAGGACATCACACTTTGGGGGCTCAAAATTGTAAGTGAAAGACTATGCTTTGAGAAGATGGCCACAGAGCATCATGTTCCAGAGTGGCAACAGCCTAGGCAAGTTGTTCAGGATTTGGTTCATAGACATTTGGCCACTACAGGAAAGAGAAGGAAGACAATTTCTCAAACTACTGGCAGACCTTGGCATCATCTACATGATGCTGGTTTTAGGTATATGTGGAATGCAAGAGTTGTGGAGTCAGAAAGCTGTCCACCCAGAGTTTGGGATGCCTGGAAGGTGCAGTAGTGTCCCCCTAAGGGGGAACTATATGAAAGCAAAGGTGCAGTGGAGATCCTGGCACTCTGAAGAAGTCAGGAAGATAGAGTGTCTGAGGAAAACTGTGAGGAAACAGAACCAGCCCAAGAGAAAAGCCGTGGGAGCTATAAACAGTACAAGGAGAGCCACCCAAACCCTTTAGAGCTCACATCTTACCAGAGGTTGCTTTGGATGCTGGACATGCAAATACAGGACTTAATGTTTGCCCTGCTGGATTTTGGACTTACTTGGTCCCATTCCTTTGTATCCCCATACTTGAACCTTTTGGAATGTTTATCTTACACCACCTTTTGGAATGTTTATTTTATAGCATCTTATAAAACATTCCTTTTGGAATGTTTATAACTTTATTTGTTCAGAAGCTTGCAGCTAAGAGATTTTTAAATTGAACTTTTCAACAATTCTGAAACTGTTAAGACGTTGGGAACTCTTTACAGATGGGCTAAATGCCTTCTGCATAAAGCGATGTTTATGTTTTGGGGATGGGAGGAACAGAGTGTCATGCCTTGTGTCTGGATGTCTTCCTAAAGCTTTGTGACCAAAGGGGCTTTTCAGAGGGGGTTGGATCTAACCTGTGCAAAGCTGGGATCAACAATGTGAATCTTCAATTGATTCAGATGCAATGCAAGGATTAAGAGTGCTACCTGCTTTAGTGATGGACAGCCTGGATAAGAATATAAGGGACAGAAAGAGGGCTGTTGTTGTCACTTGTCTGCTGCCTTCTTCTGGCCATAAACTGTTTTTCCTCTGCAGTGCCTCTGTCCAATGTGACCCTGCCTTACAGCCAGCAAAGCAGGAATTGAACCTCTACAAACTGTGAGCCAAATGAACCTATTTTCTTTTAACCCTGGGTGTCAAGTATTTTGTCTTAGCGACAAGACAGCAAGAAATCTTAATATAAAAAAATACTCATTCCATCTCACTAAATGTTAGAACACTTAAACCAGATCTGAAAAGTTCCTGTAGAAAAAGTATTAATTCATGTGTAATAAATGCTTGATAGGGATGCTAACTCTTGATGGGTATAGTAAACATTTAAGAATTATTCATAGAGCCTTTCATGAAGACAGCAGCATGGCAAATAGCATAGAAAGTGTCTCTGAGATATGGTGTCCAGACAATTGAATACAGCAATATGAGGAAAGAGGGAAGTAGGTCTCTGGCACCCAGGAAGGATCTGCAGCAAGAACTGAAGTCCACAGGGAGACAAAGAGATTTCCACAATGAAGATGGTAAAGCCAAGCTTCACTCTCTCCCAAAACCCTGTGTGGGAGTGGCAGCTGAAACTTTCATATACACAGTGACTGGTAGACTGAGGCCTTCCATGCCAAGTGGGATGGAGGAGTGGTTGCAGCAGATTGCAGAGGCTGGTGAGTTATCTCGGTTTAAGTGTACCCAAGGACAACTGGCCATAGACATTTTGGAGAGGCCAACTGAGTTACAAACTTATTAACAACTGCAGATTGCCTCCACCTACTAGCTCCCACTATCAGGGTGAGGTGGAACCAAGTTCAAACCAGCAGATGGCAAAGGGAATGCTGCGGGATGAACAAATGGGGATCCCGCCTCACTGCAACAAATCAGTCTGAACTTCAATAGAATTGTAGGTGCAGGCTCACTGGGATTATCTACTACCCCAAGGTAAATCTATGACTGGCTTGCTGGGATTAATTACCAAGGATACGGACTGTCAGCCAACTCTGTTTACAGTAAAGGGAGGCCTACCTTAAAGTGAGCATTTTTAAAATTTTTCGTTTCATTTTTTGGTCTTGATTAGTTGCTCTTTTTATGAATGTGAACATTCTAGTTTTCTATTGTAACTGTATTATTTTTATTTCTTCCTTTTCTTTCCCTCCCTTCTTCACCAGTTTCCTAAATTTTTATAATCTTCTTCTGTCCTCCAGCCTTGCTTCTATCTCTTCCTCTTCTTCTATTTCTCCATATTTTTCCCTATAACCTATTTTAAATTTTCTCCTCTGAGGGTAAAATTGCAATGCTGATATTTACTGTATACAATTTTCTGGTTTTAGACAGTATTATATAACCACAAAACTAGTTCATACAGTTCAAGGTGCAAATTTTTTTTTTCAATGTGCAAGTTAATAGTTAACACTGTGATTTTCTAGGCTGTGTTTGATGCTATTGAGGTCCTCCATTATAATACTTGAAAATCAATGGTATTCCTATCCACAAATAATAAATTCACTGAGACAGAAATTAGGGAAGCAATACTCTTTACAACATTATCTCCCCCAAAAAAGAAAAATATCGAGAAATAAATGTAACAAAGTAAGTCAAAGCCCTTTACAATGAAAACTACAATACTGTGAAAAGACTGACTAAGATATCACAAAATGGAAAGTTATCCCTTATTTTTTGGTAGAAAGAAGCAATATAGTGAAAATAGCCATAATCCAAAATTGTTATTCAGATTTAATGCAATCTTGATCAAAATACCAATAGCATATCTCATAGAAGTAAGGAAAACAATCCAAAAACTCATTTGGAACCAGAAGAGACCTAGAATAGCAAAAGCAATTCTGAGCAACAAAGGCAAGGCAGAACACACCACAATCCCTGACTTGGAATTATACTACAAAGCTACTGTGATAAAATCAGCACAGTACTGGCAAAAAAAAAAAAAAAAAAAAAAAAAAAAAAAAAATCACCAGAGGATTAATGGAACAGATTAGAAAATGAAGAACAAACTCCAAACAAATTCAGCCAGCCGGCTTATCTTTGACAAAGAATCCAAACACCTTCACTTGAAGAAAGATAGCCTCTTTAATAAATGGTGCTGGAAAAAGTAGCTTTCTACATGCCACAGATTAAAACAGGACCTGTATCTTTCACCATGCACTAAGCTAAAATTGAAATGAATCAAAGACCTAAATATTTAAACAGAAATATTAATTCTGCCAGAAGACAGCATAGGTAGAATTCTTTAGACACTAGTGTAGGAAAAGACTATGAACAAAACCTCAATCTCACAGGAAATATCACAAGAGTGAACAAGTGGGATCACATCTTATTAAAAAGCTTTTTGCCCAGCAAAAGATACTGAAAGAATGAAGAGACAACCCACAGAGTAGGAAAAAATGTTTTGCAGCTATTTCTCAGACAATGAACTAATATCTAGAATATAAAAAATTCAAAAAAATTAGACTTTTCCAAATTTAAAGATCCAATCCAAAATGGGCATCTGAAATGATTAGACCTTTTTTTTAGTACCAGGGATCTAACTTATGACCTTGCACTTGCCAGGCAGGCATTTATGCTGCTGAGCTAAATCCCCAGCCTATACTTCTCATATGAAGTAGAAATTGCAAATAAATACATGAAAAAATATTCAACATCAGTGGTGATTCAAGAGGTGCAAATTAAAAAACAATGCTGAAATTCAAGAGGTACAAATTAAAACAACACTCAGCCAAGAATGGCAGTTAACAAGAATTCAACCAATAACAAATATTAGCAGGGCTGTGAGGAAAAAGGAACCCTTATTCATTGTTGGTGAGAGTGTAGGCTGGTGCAGCTGCTATGGAAGACACTGGAGATTCCTTAAAAAATGAAAACTAGAGGCTCCATCTGACCAGGCAGACTACTGCTGGAGCTCTTGGCAAAAGAATTAAAGTTCATATCTGAGCAATATATGTACACCCATGATTTTAGCAGCATAGTTTATAACAGCTAAATCTTGGCAACAGCCCAAATGCCTACCTACCAATGAATGGGTAAAAATGTTGGCTTTTTATATAATGAAGTAATAACTCTGCTATAAGAGAGATAAGCTTAAGATATTTCTGGCTAAATGGATGCACCTTAAAACCATAGTCTTAAGTGAAATAAATCAGACACATATGTTTAAATACTGCATTGTTTCCCTGGTGTGAGAAACTGAAAGTGTAAATAAAGACCAAAATGTACAATAGATATTGGGAAGAAAATGTTCAAATGAGAGGAGGAACAAAGGAAAGGAATGAAGGGAAGAGGAAAAAAAAGAACAGAAGTAAAAAATACAAACAAAGCTTTTGTAAGTAAGGAGAGAAGAGGGGCTTGAAGGGAAGGGAGAGGAAAGAGACAAAAAGAAACAAGGTATTTAATGTACAGGTACAAATTTCCTATGATGAATATTATCATTATCTATATCTAAATGTAACAATAAAATTTTTAAAATGCAAAAAAATATATATACAAAGCAAAATTATTCACACATAAATATGAAACTACTCGGTATCCTTAAAATACTTTGAAAGTATCAGTGAAAGTAGACAATGTATGATTTTATTAATAAATAATGCAAAAGCATCAGTGATAACTGTTTCAACATTAAATTTTTTAAACAGCCAAGTTGGCTTAAATTTGTGCATAATGGCCGTATGGCACTGCAAATACACACATGAAAATATTTCCTATTTCCATGCACAGGTATTCAGCTATAACACTGCTTACAAATTATTAAGGACAAGATAAACTTTAACAATCAATATTGATTTGGACTGCCACAATTAAATGAATACTACACTGAGTAATAGCCTATGTTATACTCTGGATGTCAGGTTATAATATTTAAAGTTACTTAATTCTTGTTTCCTTCCAAGGGACATTTTTGTATATGTGGTACCCAAATGAAAGCTGAGGAATGCATTTTGACCATAACAGAATTCAGACACAACAGAATATTTGCCTCCTCCTCTAAAAGCTTTTTGTTTACTCAGAATCTCTCTCTCCAGGCATCATTTCCTGTATTACTAATGGACATGTTTATAAGCACCGACCCCAAAATTTATCCTCAAGGGAGTTATAAAGTTAGAAAAGAGTAGTTCTTTATATTGAGTCAAATGTCAGCAACACTAGCTTAACGTCATAAATTCAATTTCTTAGCATCCATGAAGTGTATTAGTTCCATAAGTTGTCCACTATGTGCAAATTTATTTTTTTTAAGAAGTAAAATGAAGTTTGAATAGTACAGTCTGTGGTGTGGTGACATCAGCAACTGCCAGTTCTTGTCCATCGACAAGTCCTAATTCTGAAACAGAAAAAGTGTAATTAACCCAAGTAAAAACTCAAAAAAATAATAATGATACACACTGACACAAACTATAGAGTTTTATGGCCTAGATAAACATCAAAATTCAGATCTCTTTAAGGAAGGTAATATTTGATTTCTTCAGAGTTTTGTTATTTTTCTACAAAAAGAGTAATAAACAGTATTAGCTCTTCTAGTAAAGAACTGTATCTAGAACAAGCATTTATTATTATTTTATCAAAAAGAAAAACCACTATTAAACATATCATTTAATATACCTTTCAAAGTTTTGGAAAGATTCGGCCTTGTTCGTTCTTCAATAGAGGTTACTGACTAGAAAACAAAATTATTTTAACATAAAGCACATTAACATAAAATTAAACTATTAATATAATTTTCCAGAAGAAAAAATGAGCACTGATCACCTGTAAGTAAAGTGTTCTATTTTTCCCTTCTAATGTGGCTGTGATAGCTGGAGATTTCATCTGCCTAAGTATAATCATGAGAAAAAGTATTGAACATCATTCTGTATCTTAAAATTTGTTTCTAAAGTTTTAATATGTAAAAAAATGTTTTACAATATAACAAAAGTCCAGAACACTTACAGAGAAGCACTATTGGTTAGATAGTCCAAAACTTCCTGCAGTTTAGCTGATGGAGAAAACTGAATATTTTGAGGAAGCTGGCTACAAGCTGGGCAGTTCTCCTATATATACAATACATAACAAATTATAGAGAGGCACATGAACTAATATTAGTTTCTTTATAAACAAAGAAATGCATATTTCTTATAAGAATTATTCTACACTTAAAACCTATTTGTCCCAATAAAATATTTCTTTTACATTATCTTGCTATAAGGTATTTATTTTATGCTAGACACCAAAAGACATATAATAGAGGTCTGGTGATTAAAAAATAAGATATTTAGGGTTTTGGTAATTCTTTTCAAATTTTTAAGGAGCAATTAACATGCATAATCAAAAATATTTTCATTAAATATTACTAACCTTTCTTTCTGCTTCAAATGTGTAAGTGTACAGACCATCTACATCATTGAATACCAAGTAATTATTAAGGGGAATGTATGCACTGTAATAAAAAACGTTCATCTTTAATTGGCCAAGTAAAAACATGAATTTACATACAACTTATTAAACATGAAATTCATTACCTTGTGGCTATTTTAAAAACCTCAGTGGCACACACAGCTGAAGAGGGGAGAAAATAAAAGTACTTTAACTCAATGAAAAAGACATTTAAGACGTCAATTATAAATCAGAACAAATAATGTATAATGGCTACTAATTAAAAATAGATTCAATAAAACACCAGCACTTGTCTTTAAAACTGAGAAAATGAATTTTATGTAGTATTTGTTTTATGTGATCCATGCAACAGAATGATTTTCTTCTTCATCAGTTTAATGAACAGACTGTTATGCTGATTAAAAAGATATGGAACTAAAATGTCCCTTTATTGAAGAACACTATCTAAGATATAATGTAAGACAGCTTGTTTATTATTTGATACTTTAATTATAGAACTTACTCAAGATATCAAATTCTTAAAATATAAGAACAGTAAAAATGTCAATTTAAATATTAAGTCAAAAAACACAGAAAAGAAAACTAAGAGAAGATTTTTTTCCTTACCTGCAATGACTGCATTTGTGGAAGCTACTGCAGGAATGATTCGCTTTACTACCCCTGGAAAAAATGTATCAATTACGGTCATATTTCCTTTATAAAATAGTTATCTCAAATAAAACTGTAATTATTAGATAACACTTTTTCATTTTACAATAATGGGGATTGAGCCCAAGGCCTCAAAAATGCTAGGAAAATGTATCATTGAGCTACATCCCCAACTTCTAAATAACATTTTTTGAAATCTAATTTTTTTAGGCTTTCCAGTCAGGAAGTAAGGTTACTTATGAAACAATCTTCTTAGAATCTTAAATAGTAACAAAAAAAAAAAAAAAGTAAAAATCTCTCACCTGACATAGTAATAGAAGTTAATAATTAGTGCTTACTGCATTCCAGGTAAGTATCAAGATTAAATAAAACACTATGCAATTTTTTTTTTTTTTTTGTCTTTTTCATTTTTATCGGTACCGGGGATTGAACTCACGACCACCTGGGCTTGCAAGGCAGGTGCTTATGCCACTGAGCTAAATCCCCAGCCCCAACACTATGCAATTTTCATAAAAGTTCCTACGTTAGTCTACTATTTAAAGAAAATGAGACTGATAAAAGTTCTAAAACATAGCCACACTGGGGGTGATACATAAACCCAACTATGCCCCAAAATGCATAATTTTGTTTTGTTGCGACAGGTCTCCCTATATATAACTCAGGCTGACCTCAAACTCACTCTGTAACCCAAACAAGCCTTAAACTTGCAGTCTTCTCTACCTTGGCCTCCCATGTACTGGGATGATGAGATGTGCACCACCAAAGCAGGATCAAAGGGCCTAACAATCTTTTTTTTTTTTTTTTTTAAGAGAGTAAAATTAACAGAACAATACAGATCATAAGGAAACAATTTTAAGAAACACATATTTCAAAGTAAGACCACCAGAGATCTTCACTGTCTATTTTTTGTCTCTTGTTTTCTTCCAAAGAGTTGTCCACGTCTTCACACACAGTGAATACATACTAAACAATATAGTACTAAACTAATCAGAACAGGATGATGAAGGCATTTTAGGTCTTCAAGACCGGACAATAGGGAAGTCAACAATGGCTGCCATAATGTCTCTCGTTCACTTCGAAATAGCTGTCCATATCTTTATGTATGTCGAAATTAAACATATGAAACTAGACTAATAACACTCTAAACAGTGAATAGGAGTATTGCTAGATTTTATATCATAATGTTACAGAATTAGCACTGGATATCTTAGTGTCTCTTCTTCTTCGCAGTATCTGTTCATTACAGTGCCTAACAATCTTAACTGATATATTATGTTGTACTCAGAGGTTTTTAAAATAGCCATAGGTAATTAATTTCATTTTTAATATATTGTATGTAAATCCAATTAACATACAAACATGAAAACATGCTTTCTAATTACTCTTCAAATAACAGATTCAGATGTTCAATTAACAAAAATCCACAACAAAATAAAAAATATACTTTTTTTTCTCCCTATGAATTCCAGGCTAGCCTTAAACTATGTAGCCCAGGCTGACTTTAATCCACCTGCCTCAGACTCCTGAGTGTTGGGATTATAGGCCTGGACCATTATGGTCAGCTCTGAAAACTGTTCTTTAGAAAGTATCTTTCTCTTATTCTACAACTTGAGCTACACAAAACAGCTCAGGTTTCAACCCCGTATCTTTGATATTAGTATTCACATATTAGGAATGAACAAAATCTAACCACTTTTAAAAGCACAGATGTCCTATTTCATAACTATGTTTAATTGTTCATTTTAAAAATAAGCAACCGTACTATCTTGAAGTATAAAGGTGCACTGTCAGACCTACTCCCAAAATTCCAGGAGTACGCTGGCCAATTTCAGAAACTTCAGACAAAAGGTACATATTTAAGAAGACATGAAAAAAAAAAAAATAAGCACTAAGGAGACTGGGAGGCTTTTATTTAAAATGATTATATAGTGCAGAGGAAGAGGATATTGAAAAGTGTAAGCCTCTTGATGGTAAAACTGGAAGTGCTCCAGTGAGCCACATCTAGCAAGGTATACCGAAATGAAGAACAAGTAGTCACAGTGAGGAGCAGTGAAGAAAAGTATCTGTTCTTATAGAACTTTCATTTTGAAGGAGGCCAAAACATATCAGAATTTCAGATACTAAAGAGTTCAATATGAAAAATGGAATGACATGTGACCCAAATAACAACAGTAAGCACAATACATTAGATGTGATCAGGGAAGGCCTTCTTGTTGAGGTGATAATTTGCACTGAAACTTAAACCATGAGAAGGACCAGCCATGCAATAACTTGGGGAAAGTTCTGCAAACACTAACGGCAAAAGGGTAACATGATGTAAGTGGGAGATATTCTTTGCATTAAGAAAAGGCTGCCATTAATTTCTGCTGGTGAATTATAAAAAGGGAAAACAATGCATGGTTCACTTAAGCTGAATAATTGGGAAAACTGTTTAACTGGATACCTGAAGGGTAAGGCACTAGCCTTGAAGAGATCCAGGCACAGAGAGAGTTCACCAGGCACAGTAACTAGGGAGTATGAAGGCTATGATGCAAATGAACTTGATGTCTTCAAGGAAGACAAAATAGGTCAGTGTAGAGAAGAGCAGGGAGCAACAGGTCTGTGTATGGCACACAATAGAAAGCATGAATCTTCCCAGTGAACTTGGTGATCCGGTCACAACTTTTTTTTCTTTGTCTTTTTGAGACAGGGTTTTTCTATGCAGTTCAGGCTGACTTTAAACTCACTTTGTAGCCCAAGTTGGCCTCAAACTGATGGCAATCCTCCTGCTTCAGCCTCCTGAGTGCTAGGATTGCAAGTGTATACCTTCCTGGGCAAAACTTTAGAAAGAATGAACTATGACTAAACTCAAAGCCTAATGATCACTGTGAGCAATGAAACTGTTTACTGAGACAGCTTGACTCTGACCAGCCTCACTAGTTACTGTGACTAGCTGAACAACTCAAGATGTTGTAGAAGAAAAGTTTATCTAGATTTCAGTAGAGTATCTGAAAAAACCTTTCATATGTCCTTGTGAACAAGACAAACCTCACAGATGAAATACTCAAGAAGGTCTGATTAAAAGAAAGATAAATCTAAAAAAGCCTGATAAGAGGTATGATCATGTCTTTTCTCAAACAGTTTGGTCTTACTAAAAATTTTAGTCAGTTATTTGCAAAATAAAAATGATTATCAAAATAACAGGCCAAATGAAACTGGCACAGAGAGAAAAGAGCAAGTTAAATTTTAAGAATAAATTTGTAAGAACTTACACTTAGATATAAAAAACAAAACACTTTCAATACTGCCAAGTCCAAGATGAGGTTTAGCAATTGCATAACAAAAAAGTACAGACATTTTAACACCAAAAAAAATCAAGAGTATAGCATCAATGCAAACAACTGATGATGAAAAAAGCCCACTCTCCTTTAAGACCGTCAATTATCAGAAGTCTGATCTCAAGTAAGACCAATTCTAGAATGCTGCCTTCTGGCCTAGTTAAGACAAATATGGATATACAGAATATGATCAGAGAAAAATGGTATGATGAGGACCTAAAGTCAGGTAAATATTTCAGAGGGTCAAAGGAATTAGGCAGGTTTAAGGCAGTGATAAAAATGTGCATGGAATGTAACCACATCCTCAATGTTAAAAGCTATTACTTTAAACAGAGTGAGAATAATGGGGCAAAACTTAAGACTAAAGTACAACTTTACTGCTCAATATATACAACAAAAGTCTGACACTCTTGTTCAAATATGACATATACTGCTTCCAAGAGGTAGTAAAGTTCTCTTCATTAAAAGAGTTAAGTAGATGGTTGGAGCTGAGTGACTTAGGGACTCTTTCAATCCTAAGAGTCAATAATTTTAGTAAAGCCCCTCTAGTTGAGAAGTAGTATGGATTCTGCTGATCTGGATTCCCATCTACTTTGGGTTAACTTAGAAATATTTCCATGGTATCTTCACTGATCCTCAAATGGATAGTACTATCCAAAATCACTTAGCAGGGATTCACTTCAAAGTATCGCCAATCCTTTAAACAGGGATTATATTGCGATTACAATTAGTAATTCAAAAAATTACCTTGAGTGAGTCTATAGGTAACACCTCTAATATTATATTGTGATGCTCTTTCTAGAGATTTTTGAAATATCCACTGAATATGCTCAGGATCATCTCCATCTAATGGAACCCCTTCTGTTTTTTTAAAAGAAAAAAAAAGAGAAATCAGTAATCACAAAGCAATTTGTCTTTTAATGAAATTATCCAAATGAATAGTACAGAGAAATACATATTTTATACAATTCTGGATTATTAGATTAGGTTTATTACCTCCAAAAGGCTGCTCTTTAGGCCACTGCAACATCCTTACATACTCAATACAATGTTCTGGTAGCCTGGGCATAGATGCAATGGTGCACATGGGAAAATTAACCTAAAACCACAGTTTGTCTTTTTTTAGTGAAATTTTAAATGATGGATTTTTTAAAAAAATGCAATTTCTAGTTATCACTTAGTTTGTAGCACTTACAATTCATCTCAGATCTTCACTTAAATAAGGAAAATAATGTATACCCTTAAAAGGACTTCTAAAACTAACAAGGAACATCTGAGTCACGTTAGGTTGATATACCTATTAAAGACAAGTTGCCCTACATTTTTAAAGTATATAAATTTAAGCTTTATTAGACCACAGAAATGCTGAACTGTCAAGAGTTCACCTGATATTTAAACACAACTAAAACAAACATAAACTACAAGAAAGCAAATTCATAGATATCAACTATAAATGCACATATAAAATTATTTAATTTATAAAATATCACTGTACAGTAGACCTTAGCAACCTCAGCATACAATTCTTTTATTTCCTTATTAAGTCAGTAACTTTCACCTTTTCACTTGAAGCACTTTAGTTTCTCTTTGATCTATCCAAAACGCCAGAATCACTACTCCTAAGATTTAGGGCCATCATTAAGTAAAACTAAGACTACTTGATCACAATCACAGTAACATCATGAACTTTAAATGTGATGAACAAGAAAACTACTAACTGATTACTGGGCATGTAGTATATTCAGCATGGATGACTTAAATCCTGAGCAGAAGAAACAGAATGGAACAGTGAGAGATTTCTACTACTCGCAACCTAGAACAAAGGAATTGTTTCCAAAATCTTTCATTTAATATTTTCAGACCATGACTAACTAAAACCATGGAATGCAAAACATTGGGTGTAGGGAGGAATCTTTGTGTAGGTGAAAGCCAAATATACTTCTAAAGCCAAATATATCTCTATCCCAACAAAAAGCTTCGTAATTCCCTTTGATCCCTACTCAGCAAATAATAAAAAATACAAATAAAGCAGAAAACCAGAACGGTATTAGAACTATGATATGCAATCCCTGTCTTTCTTCAAATAGAACAGAATTTCTTATTTCACATGTCTTATATACTTTAATTTTGTTAAATTTACTAATTTGGGGGATATTTGTTTAGGGTGTTTTTTGGGAGGTTTGTTTTGTTTATGATGCTAGAGATTGAACCTTGAGCCTCATGCATGATAAGCACACATTCTACTATTGAACTCTTTGCACACAGTAATTTTAATATGCTTACTTCTATTAAAAACCTTAAATGTTACTAAATGTAGTAATTCAACTCTAATTCTAACCCAAAGTTTTATAAAATAAGGTACTTTTCTGATTACCTGTGGTGGATAGAGTTCCAGTGTACATTCAATACAAGCAGTCATTCCAGGGAGAATCACTCGAGCATTTCCTTTAAAACCTTCTGTTCCCCCATCTATCATTGGGACAATGGAGCTTGGATCTAACACACCGTCTTCATAATTTAGAAGAGATATCTAGGAAAATGTTTTAAAGGGTTTAAATGGAGGAGTTGAGAATTAAAAAAAACAAGCAAAAAGAAAAAAGTAAAAGCAACCTGCTTCCAATTAATTCTTGAAATACATTCCAAGTAATGTATTAGTTAGTGTTGCTACTAATACATCAAGGAATTGTATTAACAATTTGTGTCCTCACCTGATAACAACTGAAAATAGTGAAGCATATCTACTAAACTGAAAATTAAATAAATTTTCAAAAACATGATCTTTAATTCTGAATTTTGGTATACCAAAGAGCAGCAGCAATAACTTCAGAGACCTATAACACTACAATCTTTACCAGCATTCCATTTATCCATCTTCTGGCTATAATTGAGTCCAGTCCACAAACAATAATATGAAATTCTATGAGAAAAAAACAACAAGTTTAGTTTTTAAAAATTGCAGTTCCCTATATTTCAAGGTAAGCTCATGGACTATAACAGATGTACTACTCTAGTATGAGACACTGATCACAGGGAAGCTGGGGTGGGGCACATGGAACCCAATGAAAAGTATGTATTTCCCATTCAATTCTGTTATAAACATAAAATTGTTCTAACAATAAAGTTTGGGTTTTTTCCAAGAGTAGAACATATTTATTCAGAGAAAGAAAGCTTCTATCTGAAGAGAGACAGAAGGTAACCCGAGTGGGTTGCCCAAAAAATAAAGTTTACTAAAAAAGCAGTTATATAAAATAATTCCTACTCCCTTAGAAACAAATGAAAAAGTACATTTTATTGTTATAAGTTGTTTGTGCAACCCCTGATCTTTTGAGAAATTCTTACTCAAATCAGCAATGAAAAATACACCAAATGTGTTGCTTAGAAATCAAAACAGTCTCATTCTTTTTTCAGGCAATAACCTAATGGAAAAGCCAACCCTGAGACAGGAAATCAACTTAAAAAAAAGCCTTCAGATAGCTAGTAATCTTCAGAGGCAGCATCTAGAAGTATCTAGAGTTTAATATTGCATGAACAACTTACGTCGATAGAAAGTATCATTAAAATCTTGGATCTTGTTGAAATGTCTGAATACAAGTAAAGGAATTTAAACTGTGTAGTTTTAAATTTCTATAACTTTTTTTTTTTTTTTTTGTCTTTTTCTTTTTCATCGGTACCAGGGATTGAACTCACGACCACACACTTGCAAGGCAGGCGCTTATGCCGCTGAGCTAAATCCCCAGCCCCAGTTTTAAATTTCTAAATGAACCTAATTAACAGTGCCATCTGGAAAAAAGTATATACTGCAATAAGAAGTAAGTAATGTTCAAGGCAGCAGAATTCAAGGAGGTAACAAAATGAACATAACAACTTTCTGACAAAAATTCTTTCCTATCATTCTTTTTCCTATTTACATTTTTTCATCCCTGAAACCCATTTGATCATATTAACGTTCCTGTTAGTAGCTACCTTCCACTTTGCTTTAGGTTTTATATAAAACCATAAACCACGGCAAAGGAAAAATGTGTGAATATTTAAACACTATCTTCAGAAAAACATGCAGTGTTTAGAGTGAAGGCAACACGCACATTATAGCTTCTATCTATGTGATTTTAAATTACTACAAAGCCAAGGGGAAAAAATATAGAAAATTTTAATAGCTTTTTCAGTTGCTACTTCCTTATTGTTAGTTTTTTGGAGAGGAGGTGGAGTGAGGCAGACATTTTTTTCCTACCTCTCTCATTTACCTAAGCCTCTTTATACCCTATCAGACCCTATCATCAGTCTTTTTGTGCTTGGAAGCTGAAAAGGGAACTTCACTCGAAACTGGTAGCCAATTAATAGTAGTCAATTAACCATTACATATAACCTTTTAACAGTATATGTGAGTAAAAATTGTTCTAATTTTTCTAATGGAGCCATTTAGCTAGTATGAATTATACTGCTACTCTAAAATCAAGATAATCCATATATTTTTCAAACAACACAGAGAGGGAAGATGCAAAATACGCTGGCTCTGTAATTTTCATTCTTGCCTACAAAGCCATGAAGAATGAATTCAATTCTCTCACTCTAGGCAAGCAAGAAACAACCATAGTTAGATTGAGACTTAAAAACAAAGAAATAAAGCAAGTAATGATGCTAGGTAAGCAGGAACTTATCCACAGCTGAGATTAAATAAATAAATAAGCAACCAATCAAAGAATAACATTAAGAGGAAGTCCAAGAAATCCCACACTATGGATTCTATAAAATACCTAAAAATTTCTAGGTCTAAATAATGGGATAGAGGGAGTAAAAATATTCTCCCTACCTTGTTTCCTACACAGCTCTGTATTTCCATTTAAAACTTAATTTTTAGATAATATAGATTCACAGGAAACTGCAGACACTACAGAAAGGTCCATGATTATATCTTACATTAGAACAAAACCATGAATATGTTAGTACAATGTGTGCAGCCGTCACTTAAGCACATATTTGTAGGGTTCAGGGATTTAGCTCAGTAGTGTAAGTGCCTGCTTGGCAAGTGCAAAGTCATGAGATTGATCGCTGGTACCAAGAAAAAAAAATATTTATGTAAACTCTACCCCAGTCAAGATATATAACTGCTCTATCACCACAAAAACTGCTCTTGGTATACTTCTTTATAGTCACATCAATCCTCACCCCCAAGTCTAATAACCTGTTTTCCAAATCTCTCTAAATGTACCATTTCAAGAAATATACATATATATATATATATATTGGCCCTCCTGAGATTAGCATTTTTTTCATTCAACAACATAATGCCAGGAGGTCCATTTTGTTGGTATATGCTTTATGAGCTATTCCCTTTTATTGTTCAGTAGTATTCCAAATTGTGGATATACTATTATCTACTAATTCATCTATTATGGGAAATTTTGTTCCCAGTTTTGGGTCACTACAAATAAAACTACAACATTAGTGTACATGTTTTTAGGCAGACCTAAGTGTTTATTTCTCTGAGATAAATGTCAACAAGGGAAACAATGCCATATATAAATATATACTTAAATGTTTTAGAAATAGCCAAACTTTTTCCAAATGATTATCCCATTTTACATTTTCTTCAGCAAAGAATAAATGGTCTGCTTTTTCTTTGCAAGCATTAGCTACTACTTTTAAAATTTTAGTCTAATCAGTATGTAGTATTCCAATATAGTCTTATTTTGACATTGAACATCATTTCATAGTTTTTTTTGCCATCTCTTTAGTAAAATATTCTTTTATATCTTTTGTTCATTTTAAAATTACATTATTTTTACCACTGGATTTGGAAATTTTATATATATTTGATCCTCTTCATCAGCAGGTTCTACATGCATGGATTCAATCAACCTTGATTCAAGAAAAAAATTGTTTTAAATTGTATCTAGTTTGACATGATGGTACAAACAAATACTATGATCCCAGCACTGGAAAGGATGAGGCAGAGGATTATAAATTCAAGTCCAGACTGCGTAACCTGGTGATTTAGCAGATCTTGTCTCAAAATTTAAAAATGGTTCAGGGTATAGCCCAGTGAAAAAAGTCCAAAACAGGAAAAAAAAAAAAAAAAAAAAAAAACTGCATGTAATCAGACATGATGCTATAGGCCTATTATCCCAGCACTGAGACAGGAAGGTTAGGAATTCAATACCAGCCACATAGTATGAGACTGGCCTGAGCTACATAACAAGACTATCTTAAAAATTCTAAAGAAAATAACTATATCTCTACTGAAAATGCACAGAAAGGCCGGGGGTTTAGTTCAGTGGCCTAAGTGCCTGTTTGGCAAACATGAGGTCGTGAGTTCAATCCTCAGTACCAAAAAAAGACAATGACGAAGAAAATGCACAGAATTTTCTTTTCATTCTCTAATGAACATAGCATTATATTTTCACATAATTTACATTGTTTTAAATGTAAGTAATCTAGAGATGATTTAAAAGTATAAAGGAAGAAATGTGCAGGTTATAAGCAACTACCATGCCATTTTACATTAGGAACTCAAGCATCAAGGGATTTTGGCATCCCATGGAATTAATCCCCCATGGATACTGAAGGACACTGTATTCTAGATGAGTCTTTTATGACCTGACTTACAGGAATTTCTTCCATTCCCTTAAGTGGATCTTTCACAGAGTACAAGTTTATAGTTGTGATGAAATCCAGCTTATTAATTTTTTTCCTATGGATCAGGCTCTTGACATAGTTTCAAGAACATTTCAACAAACTATGGGTTGCAATTTTTCTAGTTTCATGAAGTATATGTATACCTATGATCTATTTTGTTACATTTTATGTAAGAAGTAAGGATCAGGTTAAAATTCATTTTTAAATCTAAGATACCCAATTGCTCCAGCATAGTTTGTGGGTAAGTCTACCTTTGCTCCACTGAATATCTTTTATGCCTTAAAAACCCATTCACCATATAGTTCTTGTATTGAACTATTTCTGGTTTCTTTATTCCATTTTACCAATCTGTGTATGGCACTGTCCCTCTGATATTACCATACAGTCCTGATTATAGTTGTTACGTAAGAAATTTACAAATTTGATGATTCCTTCTACTTTTTACTTCAGAATTCAATTAGGTATTCCTTTATTTTCCCATATATACTTAGCAAAAGTTTTGCATATGTTGGTAAGAAATTATGCAAATATTTTGATAAATTATGCAAATATTTTGATAATACTTTGATAAGGTATACATATATATTTTTTGATAGATAAGAGTCATCATTAATACACTGAATTTTCTAAACTTAAACATGGATTCTCACACCATATATTTAGATCATTGATTTCTTTCAATAGTATTTTGGAGTTTTCAGTGTATATGTGATAATAATATATAATTTGTTTTTTTAGATTTACATCTAAAATTTTTTAGTGGTAGCAAATGGTAACACATCATCAATTTTAGTCTCCAGGTACTCACTACTAGTATATGGGAGTAAAATTGATTTTTTAAGGCTTTTTGTATTGTATGAGAACTGTTACGTAGAAATACCACCTGACTTTAAGTTCCTAAAAGTGAAAAAAAAAAAAAAACATAAAATATTAATATAATTAATATAATTCCTAGACCTAAATTCACATAAGAATGTGAATACTTGCCTTTAAAACAATTTTTTTGTTGTTGTTGTTTTGAGACAAGGTCTCACTAGCAGTTCAGGCAGGCCTTGGGCTCACTTTGTAGCCCGGGCTGACCTTGAATTTTCAACAATCCACCTGCCTCAACCTCCTGAATGGCTGGGATTACAGGAGACCACCACCACACCTGGATAAAAATATTTTTTAAAATAAAAAACATTTACAACATTGTAAATATAAATTTTCTTTGAAATGTCTTTCATTTGCCTAACAATATGTTCATTATTTACTACCATAGCACAATTAGATGCAGTCTAGGAACTTAATAGTTTAGCAAGGATGTAAAACTGATACTGAAATTAAGGGTAATATAATAAAATATAAAGTTAGATAACGATGAACAATATAAGATTAATTTAAAAATCAAGATAAAAAATACTTCTATAACCACCACAAAGACAGAATATAAAACAAAATATTATTAGCAGTCATCTCAGTAATAAAGTTATTATTCTTTTTTTTCTTTGTATTCTCTATTAAACATATCTTATACAATAAAAAAAAGCTTTGAAAAAAACTTGAGGGTCAAGGTTGTAGCTCAGCAGCATTAAGTGCCTGCCTGGTAAGCACAAAGTCCTGAGTTCAATTTTTAATACAGAAGGAAAAAAAAAAGTATTACTTTTGTGAAAAGGATACGGAACTACATTACAATTAGGAATTCTGTCATTTAGAAATTCTGCAGCAACTTCAGCCTTAGGTCTTCCAACATCTTTAGGTCTACAGGAAAAAAATTATATTGAAATTATCATTCATAATATAAACATCAAAGATGCATATAATTAACTTTCAGTTTTAAAAATCCAGTGATATTACAGAATATTTACAAAGGGTATTTTTCTAAAAAAATATTTTTATATCAACAGTAATTTCAGATGAATAATTATTTAAATGTCAGAATCAATCTTTGCTTGTGATTCAAATTAACACATCTAATTATGTGTTTAAGTGAAAATGTGAACACTGCTTTTTTCCCCAACGCATGTTAATGGCATGTTTCCTGGTCACTTTCTGCCCTGGTATTTCCCAGTATAAATTATCCTAGATCTACAGCCTCCTAAATTTTAAGCCTCAACCCCAGAAACTCAAGGTGTTCGTTACTATGCAAATCTTGACTGAAAAATACACAATGAGATTCATTCTAAAGGTTAACGAACCTTCTGTTACCACCTGCTTCCTATGTGTGCTGATTAGCAATTCTATCCCTTTAGAGAAACTTTATTCATGTTTATAGAGAAGGAATAATTCTAAAGGCAACACTTAAAAGCACAAATATTAGCATTTTGTCTTTGTTTGGTTTTTGGTTTTTTTGTTTTTGAGACAGGCTCTTAACTAGTTAATTCAGATTGGCCTTGAACTCACTATGTAGCTCAGGTTGGTCTCAACTTACGGCAATCCTCCTGCCTCAGCCTCCTAAGTACTGGGATTACAGGCATGCCAACATGCTTGGCTATCAGTAGTTTAAAGAAAATACAAAAGCTAAACATATAAGCCTCAAAATGTTGTTCCTTCATAATAATGAAAGATTTAAAGGAAAGAACACAAATTATCCCTTCCAATCAGTACAAGCAGTATTTTCTTCCCTAATATTTCCTTATTCTCTTCACAGAAATCACTCCTTCATGTCCATAGTGTTTATTACTTTTTCATACCATTTTTTTTTATCATAGTCTACCCATTAGCCTAGAAAACACCTGGAAGAAAGTCTTACTTTAACACTTTGTAATTCTTTTACATTTAGCATAAACAATTTAAGTAAAGAAAATAACATCAAATATGCTTGTTATAAATTGTGTTTTTATTTAAAATTGGAATTTCAAACAAGAGCACTTTAACAGGTCAGTTTTTCTCATTTCCACTAAAGGAAAATTCTTTTGATTCAAATCTCATACTAGGCCAGGAATATAGCTCAGTGGCACAGTGCCTGCCTAGTACAAAGTCATGAGTTTGATCCCTGGTAACAAATCTTATACAACTTTTATTCTCATTCGCACAGAAAATGCTTTGCTGTACAGCACTCAACAACTCTACCCAGAGGACACACAAAGGGAATAAAGGAAACTTCCATGATTCTTCTGAATTATGTACTTTATGTGCTTTCACAGTAGATACCAACAAAAAAAAAAAAGGAGGGGGGGAACTCCTGGATGGTTTGTGTGGTGACTGCTAATGTACCCTTCTTGGATTATGGGGCATGATATGTCATTCTAAGACTGGTCTTTTATATACATTATTCTTACTGGACATGTTGCCCAATTTATTTAACTTTGAAAACAAGTATTTACCCTAAGGATTACTCTGAGATTAAACAAGGTAATACAGAAAAAGAGCTTAGAAAGTGCTTGGAATCATAAATAGTAAATGTTAACTGTTACAATTATCTTCAACCATTTTAACTATAAATTAAAGGGTACTGCCTATTATCAATAATCATTTCACTTTCTTTAGACTATTCATACACCAAAAGTCTGTCAGACTGAAAAGAGCCCATAGGAAAAAGTATTTGTTTACAAAACTACATTCACCCTAACACTCAAAGTTTTCTTACAAAATTTTACGTAAAATTGAGTAGCAGCCCTTTTATTCTTTTTTTTAAAAAAAAAGTAGTTATCTTCTCTTTTTAAAAGACATCTCATCATCAAATGTTTATCATAGATTAAAGACATAAAACTTACCTAAATAAAAACTGCCTATTTAGATTGGAAACATCTATAGTGTCCATGTCTATGACATGAATCTGTCTAAAACCAGACAATGCCTGTGGGAATAAAAACAATCCAATTAAGTAGAAGTTTCCTCACATTTTGAAAATTTAAGATGCTTTCAATGTAGTCCTAAATCTACAAATTCACAGTGAAACTCTGCATAATTTCATTCTGTGGCTAAAAACAGTCTTACAAGGCATATAGAATACAGAGTTCTCGTATAAGTCAAAAATGTGTACCCACCGGTTTAAAGCAGTCTATAATCAAAAGACAACTCAAAATTTCTGTGGCTTTTGAACCTGCTGTTCCTTCTGACTTAAATGATTTTCCTCCGGATACTTACACAGCAAATGTTTCACCTCCTTTCTCAATATATTTTTCAGAAATCTTTTCTCTATACCTATCCTATATCCTGCCTTTCCTCACAGTATTTATTGCCATCTGGCATATTATATATTTCACTTGTCTTTTTTCTTCAATTAGAATGTGAACTCCACAAATACGAACATCTGTCTATACTGTTATAGATTCAGAATCTAAAAGAGTGCTTGACACATGGGAAGAGGGCTCAATAAATATTAGCTCAATTTGTTATTAACGTCATAATTTCTTTTTTTTTTTTCAGAATGAGTCTTGATGGGGCTTACAGTCACAAAAAAGTTCATCTCTGTGTTTATGTCTGAAATAACCAAAATAACACTGCTTATTTCAAATAAAACTACAATAAGCAAATAGCATTTCAAATAAAATTGAAAGCCCTAATTTTTTGTGTATATGAGATTACTATAATACACTAAGTATTATAGTACCACTCCTTCAAGGTGCTTGATGAGTAATCCTCAGACTTTAACTTTTTACATTTAAAATTAGTATCTATAACATTACCAAACAATGGTTTCAAAACGGAAAGAGACAAGCTTTAGGACTCTTGTACATAGAAAGTGCCTAAGAAAAACCAGTGGCAAAGGTTCATTAAACCCCTTTCTAGGAGTTCCTTGCTTTTATACTGCTGAAAAATTTAAGTCTACAACATACTATTAATTGGTGCCTCTCCAAATTACCAGTATGGTATGAGAGTATGGTATGTCAAACATACTGTTTATTTGAGACTTATCTCCCCAGTATATTTTTAAATTCACTGCACAGATCATGGTGACTTACAATTCCCACAGAACCCAGCAAACATTATGCATATTTAAGTTTGTGCAACTTCACCAGCAGTGACATTAGTGTTTTCAAGTAAAATTAATATAGCTGTGTTCATATTTAAACAGGAATTGCCTCAGCCAATTATGTAGGTCCTCCATCAATTACATGCTTCAGCATTTCCACTTTTCTACACGCCAGTGAGAAGCCTGGCATACAACAGCTCTAACTCTCCTTTTTGTTAAACTGATTTTAAAAACTTACAAAAAGCTAACATGTGGCTATAAGAAGTTAGCTAAACCAATTAAATATATAACAAATTATGGACATCTATTCAGTGTATAGAAAATTTCATGAAAGGTTTAGAGGTCCCTACTCTTACAGTTCTACCACCATTATGGTCATCAAAGATCACTATCTTATTAGGTCAAATGACCTAATACTTCAGTAAAAAAAGAACCCCCTTCTGAAAACTGACGACCCACATAAGATTTTAGGGACATTATTATAATCCAGAAATATTAGTTATTTCACTTTCTGAACCTCAATATTTCTCTCTGTATTTCTCTCTACGTGCCCAATACACCTAGCTGGCTTATTTAGAGAAGAAAAATAAACAGTAAAATATTTGAAACTACACTAAATTTGAATTACTTTAAATTTACTTGAATGAAATAAACTAAGCAATTTCAAGAATACCAAAATGTGTTTGGCAAAAGCAGAAAAGAAAATGGAAGAAATTCTATCAAGGACTTTACAGTTGAAAACTTTAAAGCATAAAAAGTCCAAAATTACAGTTATTTCAACTACTGCCTAGCATCTGACCTGCTAAACTAATCTAATATAGATCTAAAAAGTTAATAACAATAAAATAACTTTTCTAGTATGAGAAAAGCAAAAAGGTGTACTTATCACAAGAGAATATTACATATATATACATATATATTTATACATATATATTACCAGATTTTTCAGGAGCTCACATCCTAAGCCGCCAGCTCCAATGACTAGAACTTTACATGTATCTAACAAAAACTGGAGAGACTGTAAAGAATGGAAAGGTGTATTAAAATCTAGGTGATTATCTTAAGTACCATTAATAAAGAAACAAACTATAAGACAGTTTCAGTAAGTCATGAAAAATAAAGAATAAACAGCACATTTTGTATTTGACTGATTTCAAATTTGTGAGTTAAAAATAAATTCAGTATGCACCTGCCTGGCAAGCACATGGTCATGAGTTTGATCCTTGGTACCAAAAAATAAAACAACAGAAATTCTAAAATCATAATGATTTGAGTTTTAATCTCAATATTTTTAAACAGACTTTACCATGCAAATTAAAAGGCTTTTTTATTTGTTTGTTTTGTTTTTTTCAGACAAGTTCTGGCTATGTAGTTCAGGCTGGCCTTCAACTCACTAAGTTGCCCAAACTGACCTCAAACATCTGAGGCAATCCTCTTGCCTCAGCATCCCAAGGGCTGGGATTATAGGCATGTACCACCATGCCTGGATAAAGGGTATTTCTTATGAGAAAAACTATTTCTAGCTATTTTTTTTTGTTTAGTATTTTAAAGAAGAAAGCACTCAATTCAGTTACTTTACTGAGTTCCTAGAAATAGAAAAGTTCAGCAATCTTAACAGAGGATCAAGCATTCCATAAGGTATTTAAAGTTCTAAAACATGGAATAGTTGTTTTTGAACACAGTGGATACACTTGATCTTAGCTAAAAGGCCAAGAAGCAATGAACACAGTAGGTAAAACTCACAAAATATAGGATGCCAGAGGGGGCAAAAAAACTCTTAAAAAATTTTGTAATAGCAGAAATACTTTGGAACAACCATTTAAGAGAGTGACAATAGTAAATTATCAGGCAATAAAGCTTTCGAACCACAAGAAAATATGGTGCATTACCCAAAGAATGACAGAATTAGTATTGTCAATTCTGCCCAACATTAGAGGAGAAAGGTTACTCAGAGGAAACCCTGGGCCAAACTCAAGAGTCTGCACATTAATTTCTAAGAATATGACAATATTTCTATTTCCAAGTATTATCTCTTCATGAACACAAAAGGACATATAAACACTTGTTTAGACTTTTTAATAAAAAGCAAATTCTATTTGAACATGTGCTTTTAGTTAGACATCAGCCCAAAATTCTGTATGTTCCTGTTAAATAGTACACACTTTTAACATGCAATTAATCATTCAGTGCTAAGATGCTCATTCCAAATAACTTTCAAAATTAAAACAAGCACATCTATATGCCTATCAAAATTAATTTCTAATAGCAGGGCTACAAAATGAGAATGTGTCTAAAAATCATTTTAAATAGCAATTTTAAGCATACCAATATTCCAAATGAAGATATAGTTATTTTTCTCCTGAAAATTTCAACTTACATGTGGAAATGACTCAAATGTTAATCAAATAAAAATAGCTATATATTCAATTAATACTTAGATTTAGTTTCACAAAACAAGCTTAGTAGTAATTGTATTATAAAAGCAAATTTAAAAGGAAGCATTCTATTATTTCTGAAACAAAAAACTATTAGTGCAGTTATTTAAAAATAAACGTCTCTCACTTCAGTGCTTGGTTCGAAATCAGGGTGTGTGAAGGGTCCAGATCGCTCGAGGAACTTCTTTACATGGTTCCAGCGACCTTCCCAGTCTCCAGTGTCCCCACACCCACCATCAACAGCCATTCTGCACAGAACACAGTAAATTCAGCTGCAAAGATGAGAATGAAAAAGCCATACCTACAACAATTATGGTTTCCCCAAAAGAAAAGGTAACCACACTGCACCTGCTCAAATAAAAAGAAAAATGTTCTACATGGTTATGTTTATGCTTTCCAATTTCTTGTCCATTATACGATTCATTTAAATTAAGAACTGTATGTGTGAAGGGCTAAGGATATATCTCCAGGGGACCTTGCTTATCATGTTCAAGGTCCTGGGCTTTATCTAAGCACCACAAAAATATAAGTAAAATAAAGTACCATATATGTGTTCTTTCTAGCCTGTGTTTCTGAAGCAATTCCCTATCAAATTTAGAATACTGATCAAGCAGCGAGAAATTTACTTCTCTATGTTTGGTATTTATGAAAGATTACTGCAAACCTTCACCATGTTTAATATACATGGAAAAAGAAGTAGCAGATACATGGGATGGGCAGACTTTCAGAACTATAATGCTTCAAATATAATACTATCTATCTGTCCTTTGCAAGTTTGAAAGGTGTGGTTTAAAGATCATTTCTTATGTAAACTTTCATACTTTTTCAGAGGTCCCAGTCTTCAAAGCAGAATCTCTTAATACAATGAGATAGCTCTTACTGTCATTAAACACAAAAGTTTTAGGTTATAATTATGCCACAGATAGGCACTGACATCTAGAAACCTTTCTGAACACACAACTGAGTAAAATAGGACTCTTCTAACCAAATGCATACACATTTTTCCTAGTCAGCACAAGATTTATGTTTGGTAGTACCTGTTTTTCATTTTCTAATTTCCTAAAACCCTACAAACATTACCTCCAAATATATTAATGATATCCAATTTCTACAAAAGGAACCAGTAAGTATTGCCTAACAATAAAGATTCTGATGAAGAACTGTTTGATTCCACAACTTACAGCACTATATATATAACCTTGAGCAGATTATTGAGCAGTCATAAACCTAATCTGTAGGTAGTGTGCACCTACTTCTCAGGGTCACGAAGATAAAGATAATCACACAGGGGACTTAGTACAGTATTTGACATACAGAAAGCATTCAAACTTTTAACTCATTTTATGCAAAGGAAGTAAAAGGTGGTCAAGAATGTGAAATGAAGCTTGTCATTCTAGTCTTCTTGCAGTTAAAAGCCAATCAGAGTGAAATACCTACAGACCAAGGCACTACTATTAATTGGCAAAAACTTCCAAACTCACCACACCCAGTACAAGAATATTTTTCCTTCCCACATAGGGAGGGGAATTGTCAGGCTGGTCAAGTGAGAAAAAAATTGTTTTAAATCTGTGGTATCAGCACAAAACTTAGGATCTGATAAAATACAGGTGTGTAGTAAGTGGTAAAATAAGTTATTAGGGTTAAGATCTCCTTTAAGACACAATTATTTTGCAAAAATGGTTGAAATGCTTCATACAATCTGATATAACAGAGACTATCATAAGAAGTTTGCAATTACTACAGTCTCAGTGCTTACGAAAGTAAAAAAGAAAACAGCCTTTCTTCCGTCTCATATGTTTAGATGGGACTGTTTTCATAAGGTCATGGTTCTGACAATTTGGGATACAGGAAGAGGGGGCACACGGGTCTTTCCGCGAGACTTTTAGGTCAGGACCCCGACGGGCTCTGCGGGACCTAGGGTGGTGCATCCCGATCCCGACGCCCGCCAGGCCCCGGAGCTGCGGGGCAGGGGTCAGGGATGAGGCCGCGCGGCCCGCCTCCGGGCGCCCCCCTCCCAGCCCCCCGGGCCCGCTGCGGCTGTCCCCTAGGCCTGGGGTGGGGGGAGGCGGCACTAACTTCTCAGCCAGCAGCTCCTCTATTCTCCTTCTTTTCTTCTCCCTAAAAGAAAGAGAGAATAAAAGAAGGGTCAGCATCACGCTACACACTGGGCGCCGCGAGGGGATGGGGCGAGGGGACGGGGCGGGGAGTGGGGGGCCTCCGGGTGGCGTCGGCGACCGCCCACCGCCGCGCTCTCTCACAACCCAGCCCAACTCAGCGCGCCGGGACAGTCCCAGTACTTACGGCTCCTCACCATCCGCCATATTGTTCCCCGCCTCTTCCCAGGTGCCCTTGCGGCGGGGCGGGGTCAGTGAGGGAGAGGGGAGGGGCCGGCGGGAAGGGAGGGGCAGGGCTGGCTGGGTTCCCGCGGGTTTTAAAGTATTCGACTGTAATTATAATTTTCATTAACTACTCCTAATTAAATGTGATACCGTTTATAGTGTGCCGCATGAAATACGATATACTATGCTATATGTTTATACAATTATATGTTAATAAACAATTACGTAAAATATTGATATGTTCTATGAAAAAAGTCCTGGAAGAAGCACATCCATACGCCAGAGCTGTCTTCTGGATCACAAAACATCAGGGAAATTTCCGCTTTCTACTTCTCAAGATGGCTTCAAAATGGTAGGGTGGAGGGATTATTCTTTTCTTTGTAAAAATCAGTATTTTACAGTCACATCATTCTTGTCAGATATCAGAATTCTGGAATATATATGTATATATATGAAAGTAGAAAGAAAAAGTGCAAAAGTTAAAAATTTAGAGCATTCATAATTCCATCATCTAAAAGTTTATATAATGGTGACAAAACATTCAACCATTTTCCTCCAGAGTCAGAAATAGTATATATATATATATATATATATATATATATATATATACAAACATTTATATGGGAGTCTGGATGACTGGATGGAGAGAAATAATACTTTTATTCATATATTTCAAATAAATCTCAAACCTACCTGCGCTGCTCAGGCACACACACACCTTGGAGTGGAACAAGAATAAGGTATGGCATCAGAACAGAATTTAAATTTTTACTCTCAGTCATGAGTTACAAGACCTCAGGCACTCCTGTTCATTTGTAAATTGTTTTGTTTTGTTTCCTTATTTTGTTTTGTTTTTGAGACTGAGTTTCCCTATGTAGTTCAGGCTGGCCTTGAACTCACTGTGTAGCTCAGGCTGGTCTTGAATTTATAGCAATCTTCCTGCCTTCAGCCTCTGGAGTACTGAGATCACAGGCGTGCACCACCAAGCCTGCCTGATTTGTCATCTGGTCATGACAATATTTGCCCTATAAATTTGATAATTAAGTGAAATTCACAATGGTTCTCAAAATATAGTTCCTGATTCCCTTGATCTGCATTAATTGGAAATTTATTACAAATGCAAACTTTCAGTCTTACCTCCAACCTCTTGGGAAACATCCATCAAACCTACGGATGTAAAATTTGAAAACCATTAAAAGTATTAAAGTCTGATGGGCAAAAGCTGGTGGTAATGGTTAGCTGTTGTTAGTAATTTGTGATATTTAATCTCCTCTTTGTCACATTGAACCAATGAACCTTTTCTTCACTGAACCTAAAGGAAGTCTTGACTTTTACGATTCCTCAAGTTCAGCAGTAGCGTTCATTGAGCTGGTCAATGTGTGCCTGGCAGAGAGTGCAGGAATGGAGGTCTTAGTTTGTATGAGGATTTAATGTCTACTCCTGGGTCCCAGCTCTCTGCAGATGAATCAGACAATGCTGCCTTCAGGATGTTCTTTGACTAGTGGCAGCAGAGCATCACAGCCCCCTGGGATAGCAAAAACCAGCTGGCTCCTAGGGATTACCTAGTCCTCTCACACCCACTTCACAGAGAAAGAAACTGAAACCTAGAGACAGAATGGAATTAGCCCAGGAAGAAGACTGCAAAGGCACTGATCTTGATTCTGTGTACCTCCGAACTGATCCCCTGACTCTTGATATAGATGACGCCAGACGCTTCCCTTGCTGGCTCACACTAATTAGAAATAGCCACCTGTCCTTGCCAGTAATGAAAGCAGCAGAGACATGTCTTTTTCAATGGATTTGCTTCATTTTAAATGGAATCTGTCTTAATTATTAGACTTTCCTCTATGGTTTATAAAAAGACAGGTCAGGGCAGTCCTTTCTAGAAAGACAAGTCCCCATATAAAAGCCCCAGAAAGACATCTACAGTGAATCTGATTACTCCCTGCCCACCAAATGAGAGAGACAAGGAACTACTACTACCAATTGCTTACAAATGGGGACCAGGACAAAGACTCAGTATTCATTTTCATTTAAAATGAAAAATTTATGATTAAAGTAGAAATACATTTTTTTTTTTGTGGTCTTTTTCATTTTTATCGGTACCAGGGATTGAACTCACGACTGCCTGCTTGCAAGGAAGGTGCTTATGCCGCTGAGCTAACTCCCCAGCCCCCAGAAATACATTTTTTAAAAGATTTCTGCATTCCAACCAAATGGAAAAGAAGCTTAGTTAATATTTTGGAAAAGAAACAGAAAACCATCATGCTACCAACAATTTTATCTTTTTCATTTCTTTATTTTTAAATCTTTTGGGAGATTTAAGCAAGTACGTAAAAATATACTGAAAAAATGTTTACTGGACATCAATTACCTGTAATCAGTGAGTAACAGCTTTTCTGCCAGCAGTTCTGAACTGTCAGAAGCGAAGGCACAACTTCTAACACTCACAGTTCTGCAATAGGGCTCCCACCCTGGTTTTGACCAAGAACATTTACTCAGCTTCCTCTCACTGCTGTACTTCAAAAATTCGTATTTGCTGGGGGAATTCCTCTATACCCTCTGACTTCCTGCCACCAAGCACAAGGCCTGGCAGGTACATCTCATCTCACTGTCTCATATTTAACTAATATTTCTCGCAATGCAGGATCCTTACAGGCAGGACATGGTTGTATCCTTCTCCACCTTCCCCCCTTTTTTTGTTTGTGTTTTGAGACAGGGTCTCACTGTGTAGTACAGGCTGGCCTTGAACCTACTATGTAGCCCAGGCTGGCCCACTATGATCCTCCTGCCTCAGTGTTCTGAGTTCTGGGATTAAGGTGAGCACCATCATGCCCAGCTTCCCACCTTTGGCACCCACAGTGTTTTCCCATTGGCTTAAAAAGTTGCAGAATACCTTAGTATTTTACTGAATATTTTCCACATTCCCCCATCCCATCTTCTCTATCTAGACACAGCCACAACAATAAAATGACACAGAAAAGTTAGTGGATGTTTATTGTGAAAGCAGAGAAAAATCAGGTTAAAACCATATTAATATCATCCAGATGAATCATGGGCTATACTGTTATTAATGAGAGTGAAATCTAAGTCTGAGCACTAATTATACACTGACCACTTTCCAAAACATTCCTTCATTTATCTTCAGCTATGTGACGGTGTTCTGCTATCCCCAGTTCCCGCATGAAGAAACTGAATCTGGAGGAGATTAAATGTCTCCAAAGTCATGTGCCAGAGAGGGAAGATCTGGGACTTTAATTTTGCTTTTTGTATCTTCAACCCTCCCATTCTTTCAGAAGCAAGAAAATGTGAGAACACAGAACATTTTTCACATTACAGAACTCTATTCAAAAAACAGCACCAAAGGTAAATTTTAGCACTGATTTGGTTTAATTACCAAACTTTCCTAAACATCAGTGGCAGTAGTCATTTCTTAGATTCTGTAAATTCATTAGCTGCCTTTGGAATCATCAAGGAAAACTAACTCAGGTCTTCTAGACTTTGGATTAAAGTATATTTGATTGCTTTTCAATTTTTTGAACTTGCTGATTTTGAAAGGATAAATTTATTGTGTTAGTACAATACTACTAGTAGGTTTAGGGACTCTGTTTTCCTGGACATTATTATCTCAGAATTCTGCCTACCACATTATAAAACTAATCAAAATACAGTCTGCTCACCTCCAATACACAGATTTAAGCAACCACTGATAACAATTATTTTTTAAAATTTTATCTGCTATGAACATGTTTATTTTTGACATTGTTCCATAGTGATGTAGCGTAACAACTTTATATAGCATTTACATAGCACTGGCCTTATATTAGGTATTTAAATCATGTAGAGAGGTCTAAAGCATATAGAGTATACATAAACTCTACATCACTTTAAATAAAAAACTTATGCATCTATAGATTTTGGTGTGGGTGTGGAAAAAGGTGTCCTGAAACTTAATTTCCCCAAAGTTATGGAGGGAAGCTTGTACTTTTCTTACATATGTTATAAAAGGTTTATGATGTCAGCACTTGAACTAAAAAAAAAAAAAAAAAAAAATCGGCCGGGTGTGGTGGTGCACTCCTGTAATACCAGCACTGGCTGAAGCAGGAGGATTGTTGTGAGTTCAAGGCCAGCCTGAGCTACAAAGTAAGCTCAAGACCACACAAGAGAATTTTACAAGTTCATTGGGCTGGGATAGAAACATCTATTAAAATACTGTGCTTCATTATTAAAAGTTTTTGCCAAATATTGGGATAAAACTAAGAAAACTTGTTTTGGAGTGAAAGCCATGTTTCTGCCCAGAAAATACTTGAGTGTAGAATAATTGTTTCAAGGCAGTCAATTGTTTACTTTAAAATGTAAACAACATGCTCAGCAAAAGGGCTAAAGTTGGCCAGTGTCATTTTATTACAGTGTCACAGTAGTTTGGTAATTTGGCTGCAAGAGAACAGAGATGGAAAACAGATGAGTGAACAGAACAAACCAGCCCTTCAGTTGCACATGTTCTCCTTTCCCCTTTTCCAACCTGATTTCACGCACCATGACTTAGGATGAAAGATGGAAAACATGAGGTTTGCGTTTAGATTCAGAGATTAGTAATACTTAATTTTCAAAACCAGCTCATCTTGTAGTAACACTATGGTTGTCTTTCTCGCCATTCTACTTAGATTGGCATCTGAACAGCTGCCAAGTTTTTTTCTCTAAGGCACAGAACACGCTCCTGGGTTCAACACTCAAAAAGAAGATTTAAAAAGGGACAGTTTGTTGCCAGGGAAGGCAGGGCCACCTCCCCTCAGACAAGCGATTTCCGCTGGTTACGGGTTGGTTGGATTTTTTTGTTTTGTTTTAGCTGCTGTCTTTCATTTCGTGTATATTCTGCCTTTGGTCCCTTGCTCTTAAGCGGCGACTGTTTTCCTGTAACCAATCTTTTCCGAGCCAATGAAGAAGCGAAAAAGAGCAAACACGCCCTCCCGCGGCTGATTTCCTTTGCTCGCTGCCCACCAACCGCAGAGCCGATCGAGAAGAGAGCGGCTGTCATCTCTTCCTCCTAGCTCGGTTGCCGCGGCCGCCTCCTCCGGATTCCGGAGGTGAAGAAGGCGAAGCTAAGAAACATGGACGTGACCGTCGCCCCACTCCGCGCCTGGGACGATTTCTTTCCGGGCTCTGACCGTTTCGCCCGGCCAGACTTCAGGGACATTTCCAAATGGAACAACCGTGTCGTGAGCAATCTGCTCTATTACCAGACCAACTACCTAGTGGTGGCTGCCATGATGATCTCCGTCGTGGGGTGAGTGGAGTGGCCCGCGCCGAGCGCGGACGGGGCGCCGCTTCAGGGTCAGCGCGGACGGGGCTGGCGGGCGCCATCCCGGGCGCGGAGGCGCCGCCTGTCATCGCTCAGCGCCCGCCCTGGCAACTCTACGAGCAGCTCAGCCGGTGGAAACTTGTTCTTAGGGCGAGGCCACAGCTGTGGGGGCCCCTTCTCTTCCCACACCCAGGGTCCTAGGGAAGAGCCCTAGGGAGAAGCGGGTGGCGGGAGCCTTGCAACCTCGGGCGAGAAAAATGACTTCTCTTCTGTTCGGGATATGGCTTATAGTACCTCGGTCTTTTAAAAACAAGAGAGAAGCGTTCAAGCCTTGTCCTGGAGATGCCTTCGGGTAGCCTTTGCAAGCCTAGGGAGGCTGGGTGTGGGCGCAGGGTGGGATCCTAAATGGACATCTAGGTGGCTTATCCTCCCACTGCCTACCATACTATACAGGAAAGCTGAGCTTAGAAGAAAGAGGGTGGGTGTCTGTCTCCTGGTGTCGCATCTCCCAGTGTGGGGTGACTTGAGAACAGGGCCCTCTGGCATTTCCTTCTAGGAGTTGCCAGCCAAGGCCACTTTATCTTCACTCCCTGTCCTGGGGTCATAGTGTATATGAATGCCTTTTCATTACTTGATAGTTGCAAAGTACCCTCTGTTAACTAAGATTCCATATTCCTATGTATACATTATGCATATGCAGGAACAGACACACGCACACACACTGCCCTGCACCTGCTTTGCTATTTTTTTTGTAGTTAACCTTTCTAAAAAATGCTTCCTTCTCCCACTTCTGCAGGCTGGGTGGCAGTATTCTGCATCTTACTGATTATCTTCTACCTACCTTTAAAGAAAAGCTACCCTCATGCCTTATAAAAGACTTACTTCGCCTTAAAGAAGCATCTGACATTTCTATTTGAGAGCAGAGAGAAAAAGCAAACTGGCTTGAGAGTAAAAGAGACCAAGTTGGAGATTGTGAGAAAGGGGAAGTGGGGTGGTTTCTTAAGTTGGCACGCTGTTAGTTGGCTCATTTATTGAGCCACCTTTGTGCACCAGGCTCAGAGTGCACCAAGATGAATCAGACTCGAATTCTGGCCCAGGGACACATGGCATTTGCTAAAGGAGCAAATACATAGCGCTGAGGACAGGAGAGAACTCACATTTTCCGGGTGTGGTTCAGAACTGGTTCCCCACACAGAGGTGGAAGCCCTCACGTGGCTTCTAGATAATCAGATGGGTCCTTTCTGTGCCTTGCTGAAGAATGGAGAACTCCTTAGTGTCTGAAGCCTTTAGGGTGGCAGCGTAGGTACAGTTAGGGCAGGGCAGGGCCCACCTGAGACCTGAAGCAGCTGACTTTGAACTTTTCTCTAGCTTGTAGAGAACACAAAGAAATTTCTTTACCACAAAATAAGTAGTAAATAGTTTTTCATGATTTGCTTTACTTTCTGTTTTTTTTTCTCTTTGTAGAGAAGCAAGAGGGCATCTTATCTGTTGATCTCGTTATGGGGTATTTTTGTTTTGGGGGGGTATTTTTCTTGAGATAGTGCCAAAACTTATAGAGCAAGGTTTAACACAGATCAATCAAATTTATAGAAAGAAAAATTATTTTTTTTCCAGAGAGCTATGCTGCCCAGATGAGACACAAGTTCAGGAGCCCAGTACCTTGATGGGAAAGACCTTGACCGCAAAGACTGGGGCCAGCCCCTCAACAAAGTATAGCTCCTTCTCTGTGGTATCTTAAGTCACTGATTCAAGCACTTAATGAATGTCTTTCCCTTTCAAGTAAGAGACACTGGTTGTTCGTTATTTTTTTAAAGAGAAAGTAGAAAGGACTCACAGAAGTTTTATATTGTTATTTAAAAGGTATAGACCAGCAGTAAAAGTTGTTTTGAAAATTACATGTGTATAAAATATGAAATTTCCTTCATATTCCTGTGAAAGCTTGGTTTATAATCTACAGTTTGGTGTATAAACAAGTCTTTCTTCCCATAAAGTATTAATTTCTTTATTAATAAAAGTAAACATTTATTGAGGACTTTATATACTTAGCTATTTTACCTGTGTCATGTATGTGGCTTAGTAAGTAAACTATTATTATTATTTAAACCCCAAGCTCAGAGAAGTTAAATGACTTACTCAAAGCCACCAAGCCAGGCTTATTCTTAGTTATGATGACGTCTTCCTAGGAGTCATGAGGTTTGGAATTGTAGTCTCTTTGACCTGGAAGAAACTAAATACCTTTAGGGCTGGGGAATTCCGCTGATTCTGGAACATTCTCCTAAAGAGAACTATCTTTCTTAGTGATACAGTGGATGTGTCGGTCAGACTTTTGCTGGAGGCTGTTTATCAGTATCTCCAGACTGTGTATGAAAATGTGGCCTGACATTACCTCAGGTAAGGACTTTGTCCAAAGGGCTGTCCTTTGTGGCTCCAGGTCTGTTTTTAAGGAGGCAAGTTAGGGCACGTCCTTCTAGGGAAACTAGAGGGCTTTGTAGGCCTTCGGTGAGTTCTAGCTTTGCTCTCTATCTGGTGTTGAAACCTAACTTTATTAAGGATTAGAGAAGGCTGGTCCTTCAAGACTGCAGTTTTGAAAAGAGAAAGGGATTCCATGGCAGATGTACTCCAGATCCCAAAACACAGAAAAGGAGTGCGTATCCAAAGTAGAGATTAAGAAGGATTAGGCTAGAGATAATCTGTGTCATCTGGCAGGGTTTTTGTAATCTGTGGTTAGACGTTTGATCTTTACCTGCAAAACATGGTTTATTGGGCACAGGCCTTCCCTTCAGTAGGTATACTGTGCATCTGAAAGTAATTCTGACTAAATATGTTACCTTACAACCCTTCTTGAAGGCAGTGTTCATATGTTCTGGCTCTTTGAGTAGTGTAAAGTAATGGTTAAAAGCCAGATTTAGTTTGAGTCTCAACCACCAGTCTCTAGCTGTATGACCCTGTGCAAGCCACTTGAACCACAATGTGCCCAGCTTACTTATCTGTACAATGAGGCTAATAATAGTACCAAGTCCACCGCCCTTCTGGAGGATTAACTGAGTTCAGCTCAGTGCCAGCCTCCTGGTTTTTGCTCCACAAATTGTTGCCTGCTCTTTTTTTTTTAATCTCTATTCTTGTTATTAAAGATACAGCAGAGAAGCATAGACAGCATCTGTCAGGCTTCATCTACCCAAAGCCCATTCCCCAACTTCTTTAGCCACTCCTGCAAGGCTGCTTTGATGTGGCGTCTTTATGGAAACCTTTCTCCCTCATTCCCTGTGTTAATTAGGCCCCAAGTCCGTGCTTACAGCTTTCCTGTTAGCCTATAAGCTTTTAAATTATTCACTTATCTTTACTCTGGACTGCAGCCTTCCAGAAGCCACAGTCAGTAGGTTTTGGCTTCGAGTATTTTTTTCCTTGTCATAGTTGTGGCTTCTTTGTTTTTGTTCTCTGTCTTCCTGACACCTGCTGTATAGCAGAATGATGAGTGCAAAGACTTTAAGTGAATGTAGGTTTTGGCACAATCATAGAGTCAGCTTTCAGACTATTAAAGTGGAACAAATTATTTTTTGAAGCCCATAGGAACATAAAAACACACGGCACAACAGACTCCCAAAGTGATGGTGATGATTTGTTGCTGACACCACCATGTTATGCACATGGTTAGCATTACTAGCTTTGTAGAAATTAAAAAAATTATAGTTCAAACTATTCACTAACTCATTTTAATATTGTAAAATCTTAGTGCAGTGCTCTGAGGGTTCTCAACCTGAGCGTTACACATTTTGAGCTGTGTGATTTTTGTTGCAGGAGTCATTTATATGTCCTGCTTCCTCCTGGTTTTTTACCCACATGACACTAAAGCACACACACCCTCTAGGCTTAACCTTTGAAAATGTCTCCTGTAGACATGGTGGTGGTTGATAACTACTGTCCTACTACCCAGACATTCATGCTAATTCTTCTGTGTACCCACTCATTAAATACAGAGTCCTTCCTGACAAGCTACAGAAGAGGGTTCATGGTGGCTACCTAGCCAAGCAGCTCCTGGTTCCTGATCTCTCAAACATTAGAGTGAATTTGAAGCTTTTCACACCTTTGATTATTATTCTCAATTTATTAAATTTGCTATGCCATCATCCTTAAGTTAGTCTGCCTGGAAACTACTGGTTCTACAGACTCAGACTTTTTTGTTTTTTTGACAGAATTCTAGCATTTGCTTTAATTAATTTTCTACTCTAAAGTTCATTTGCTCTAGAAACATTGCTATAAAACAGGAATTAAGACTTAATTGGTATGAAGTACACCAAGGCCTAGCCAATTGTAACACTCAAACATTAGCTGCTTTTATTATTACGTTAAATCCTAGATCATTTTGTGAGCATATTTAAAATGCTCACAAATTATGTCTTCTCTTAAGCAGAAATATTAGGTGATAGATACACTTTAGTGGTATTGTCCTAACTGCAAATCATGTTACTTACAGAATTTTGCCTCCCTTGAGGACTTCAATTTCTTTTTGAGACTCAGGTATCACTTTAGAAGAGATTAAATGACTTTAAAGTAGCATGAATAATGAGCTCAAAAAATGTGTCTTGAAACAATGGCTTTGAATCCTTCAAACTAAAAAAGGCAAAAAGTCTAAGGTCAAAGATTCCATAACTTACTTTCTCTGTCCTGACATTAAGACATTCTTTTCAAAATAGGGCATGTTGGTGCACACCTGTAATTCCAGCAGAAGCAGGAGTTCAAATTTGAGACCAGCCTGAGGCACATTAGTGAGTTCAAGGCTAATCTGAACTGCATAGCAAGACCCTATCTCAAGAAAACAAAACAACACAACAAAAAAAGACATTCTTTTCACATCACGTACTCTTGTTATTATTATAGAAGTCTCTGCCTCTTTTCACGAAGTAGAAAATCAAAGTCAAGAACTAACTGCACTTCCAATATAAGTAGGGAGTACTTGAGATATTCTAGTTGTAGAGAGGAATTTCTGT